AGGTTGATGTATTTTGCAGAACCGTTGTAAACCAGAATCTTTCCCCCTCTCGTGTTACTAATTTGTAATGAACGATTCAAACCAGCGAGAACTGTGATACCTCGGTGAAATAGGATCCGATACGTAATCAGTCCGCCGGAGTTTTACCATAAAAGTTTTGACAAAACTCGTCGACGTATCATCTTGGCTCCTAAGAACTGAATGAGGGATTTCTTGAATCCGTACCTTTCCAGTGTCATAAGTAAACGATCACCGTTAAAGATTCAAAAATGATCAGATCGGCTGAGCTGCGCATGACAGTGAAAAAAGGATGCTGGAATTCCATAAATTTTATTCAAAGGTGCAAAATATTCGCGTACACCAATAATCACTCAGCATTTCAAATTGTACCTCTGCAACACCTTTTTGCTTTTTTCATCTGCATATGGAGTAAATTTTTCTTTGCTTTGGCCTGGGTGACACATTTTTCGGCGAAGAACGCTTAATCTGAATGATGTCGGCCGTTTAGAGCAAACAGGGGTGGAGAGGGGAGTTGGTAGTTATTAATGCATGATTTTAAGTCTCCGTGGGAGTTTACAGAATTGTGGACACAAATAAATTATGTGCCCTGGTCTTTCGTTCTCTTTTTTCTTAGGAGATGGACTTTATTCATTCGTCTCACGATGGAGTCACTTTGGATGTTGATCGCGACGTTTCGACTGCAATACTGCTAGTGTTTGTTGGGCGATGAGGTCGATTGTTTACGTGTCGCTATTTGAAGCACGTTGGCGCGCTGCTATTGGTGCATTTCGATCCTCATTTTTATTCCGGTCGTTAGATGGTGTTATCTCTTAGGTTCGCATTGATAGGCTTTTGTGTTGTTTGATCGTGAATATCCACATCCAAAGTGACTCCATCGTGAGACAAAAAATTAAGTCCATCTCCTTTCTTACACCACGATGAACAATAACCACAAAGATTTTTCTTCATAGTGTCCATGATGCGCTCATCACACCGATTAAATTTTTCTGCAAGGAAAAAGTTTATTTTTCATCATGCATCGGGTAGAGGCACTGATTTGTGAAATTATTGTGAAATGTCTTTTGTCTTCTCTAGTGTCTCGGAAAGAACTGAATAAAGTATTTCTTTGGTGCTACTGGGCATAATTCGCTGATACAAACACTAATATGCTCTCTCTTCAATATGATGTACCAATTTTTCTAATTTGCCTGTGAATATGTAATAATCTTCTGCAACACCACCTTCTAACTGGTAAAAACTTGATTAAAATATTTGCAGCAGTAACCGGTTTGTATTGTCAAGGCGCAAAAGCCATCAGTTCGGAAACGATTATGCCTAGATTGTGTTCCTAATTCTTACAGAAATCACATAGGGACAAAATTTTTACTCACCGCATCCCTTGAGTTAAATTTGAAGAAATTTTTTTAAATTAACGTTGTTGTTGTTGTCAGGAGCCCACTACTTCTCATGTTGTTGTTTAATGATGGAAAAGGCTAACCCACCAATTAATTAGAATTCCACGTGAGGGCCTAGCGGCAAGTACTGAACGCGAAATAAAACTGCCTTAAAATATCGCTTTTGCTTACTTATTGACATTTTGGTGTGGTTTTAATACCCATAGGGATTTAACCTGACCTACGTTAGTTGATTGCGTCTCTCTCGGGAGAATTGAACCACAATTCAACAATTCTCGGTGTTTTTCGATTACATAACCTATTTCGAACTTGGACAAAACTACGCCTTTCGAAAGAGGCTTGAAGAGGCAAATAATAAGCTTAAGTGACTGTCACTTACAACAATCCAGGAAGGAAGCTTTGCAAGGTACGAACTTTTAGTTTCTTTTTCTTGCTAGGCTATTTTATAATCCCGTGCTCTCTTGAGCTGCACTCACCTTTGAAAGTATCCACGTGCTTTAGCAGGAAATTGTGCTGAGATAGCGTTTGTGAAAGCGTGAATAACGAGCTGGCGAGGGCCCCGAGTTTGAAACTCGTGGTGACTTGACGGGCTCGCAGACATTTTAAAATTTAGATCTAAGGAATGGTAGTGCGGCTCTAGACTAAAACGCAGTTGGACTCCATTCTGTCCGTTTCCTCGTTATATTCCTTTAATTTCAGAACGGTTGTTCAAAATATATTAATCTTGAATGCTTTACTCGCGCGGTGAACAAAAGACAGCTTTTTCCACGCGTATTTTCACGGTTTACGGTCAATTCGTAACCACAACAAGCTTGCCACCACAAAACCAACTACCACTAAAAGTCAAATCACCACCGGTAGCAATTTGACTCAAACTTTATGTGTAGCCTGTCTTGTGAAACTAAAATCAAATGAAAGCTGAGATATAGCAATACATTGCGAAAAGGGAAATATAACTCAGAAGTTATGTTTAGCCTCTCAATTATGACACCGAGTAATTTTCGCCGTGTGATTTTCGCCCCGATGTTTATAAAACCGAACGAAACTTGCATCAAATAAAGGCTTAGAAGTATTCGTAAATTGCGACAAAAAGCGTGCACAAATACAGCGAATTTCACAGAAGCGGACTTGGCGTCCTTTTATTGTTTTAAGCACAAAGAATGTCGACGTGACCTTCGTTCTTTCGAACAGAATTCGCAATCAAATCTAATAAAAATTAATATTATGAAAGCTTTGATCTTGAATTTTATTCATTTTTTAGTTCTGATAGTGCGAAATTTATAGTGTGCGCGAAATTTTGCTGAGAGCGACTTGACCTCCTCTGGGAGTCCCTGAATTTCTTGGAATGATTAGTATGTAAGCGATGTTCCCTCCGACAGCCGCATTTGTTAAATTATTCGATCAATATCGATGTAGAATACAGTATTATGGATGAAGGCTCTTTCTCTGGATTTCTAAAAACTGTTTAAGACTTCTGATTAAGAAACAAATCCTTAAGGTATATCCCTAAACGCCGAAAAATATGTTGGCTCTTTAATTAGTTCCCCAATGCTGTAGGAACGATCGATGAGTTAACAAGTGCAGAAATAGAACACAAAGATTAAATCTTGGTGAAGGGTGTAACATAACGTGATTTGTTTTCAACTCATCGAAAGGCCTCTCAATGCGGGTGTTTTCAGCCGGTGGATCAAAATCGCCGTCTTTGGACACGCTCCAAGACACACTGACCGAATCTATTGCTCCATTCTGTACAGCATTCTGTACAGCAACCCTGCTCAAACCGGTACCGCAAGTGCGGTGCTGCCACATGAAACATCCATCACGATGCAATACCTCCCAGCGCGGACACACCTCAAAGCCGCATGCGATACAAAGATATATAATGAGTAGGGATAATTTCAAAGAGTTGTGTTTGTAATGATCTCAGAATGAAAACCATGCTCCTTTATTACCCGCCACGGATCGAAATCTACGAATAAATTAATAGTTTAATGAATGCAGTCATCAGAGGAAACATCGCTTACATGCTATTTATCATTCGAATACACCGCGCTCGGGCACACTTTTAATTTTACATCTTTAAAACCAAAATTAGTTAAACTTTAAGATCTAACCTTTCCTATGATATAAGTTTCATTAAAATTGATTTCAAAATGCGTGTAAAAGAAAGAAATTCGTGTTACAGGTCACGTCGACGTTCTTTGCGATGGACACAAAGAAAGGAAGCCAAGTCCGTTTCTGTGAACTTCGCTGTATTTGTACACATTCTTAATGTCGCAATCTACTACCACATCTTAGCTTTCATTTGATGTAAATTTTATGCGTCTTAATGAATGTCGACGAAAATCACTCGATGAAAACACTGGTTTCGCTTTACGCAAACTGATCATAATTTTTGTGATATCAACATAATGGCCAGCTCCCAGTTGGCTTTTTAGCTCAGTTGGTGTAGTGCTGTACCGGTATCGCAAAGGTCCTTGGTTCAAATCCCGTACGGACTTGAATTTTTTTCAGGCCTTTTTTTCAACTACTAGTTCAGTAGTGTTCATAATTGCGAGGATCGCTTAGATTCGCTATGATTTATTTTATTTAACGGTTAACGTTCCATAATTGAGTAATCACTGACGTTCTACCTTCCCCTTCAGTTTTCAGAAGAAGATGGCAAGGATAACAATGCTGAAAAATTTCCTTAAGCCTCGCTTCCAGCCTGTCCTTTCAAGACGATTTGAATCCCATTTGTTGAACCGACCAACGGTCTCATGCAGCCTCAAGCCAAAAAAGAGTCTTAACATCCTCTTTTTCGCAAAACAAGCACAACAGCCTCAGCCAAAGGATGGCTCTAGAATTGAGAAAGAGACAACATAACATCACTGTGCATGAGATCAACGAGCCTGTAGAGATGACAAAGTTGGCTTTTGATGCCCAACCCGATCTCATTCTTTGTCCATTTCTTACCAAACGAATTCCAGAAGAAGTGTTTTCTAATCCCAACATCCCTTGCTGGATTGTTCATCCTGGAATCGAGGGCGACCGTGGCATGAGTTCCATTGACTGGGCCTTGTATGACAGGGAGGAGGAATGGGGAGTGAGCGTCCTTCAAGCGGCCTCGGAGATGGACGCAGGCGATATTTGGAGCACCAAAACTTTTCCTGTCAGGCGCCCAGAAGTCAACACACTTACCAAGTCGAGCATGTATGTGAATGAGGTTACACAAACAGCCCTGAAAGCTGTTCTGGAGGCCATAGATAATCTCCTGGTTGGAAAAGCACCCAGACCTCTTGACTACAGCAATCCACAAGTGAGGGGAATCTGCCGCCCTAACATGACCAAGGCTGACCGAACTGTGAACTGGGAATTGCCAGCTGACGAGATAGCCTGTCAGATTCGTATGTCTGATTCAGCACCAGGGGCCGTCGGTCGCTTTAGAACAAAAGAAGCAGATAGTGATTGGGACTGGACCAAGGATTTTCGCCTCTTTGGAGCACATCTGGAGAAAGGAAGACTTAGATTCCTGCCGGGAAAACCTGGTGAAATACTGGGCCAAAGCCATGGATCTGTTCTGGTCAAGTGCGGCAGGGGAGCTCTATGGGTTTCACACCTGAAGAAGAGCAAGCTCAAACTTCCTGCTACGATGTGGTTAAAATGTCAAGCACCAACCGTGATAGACCCCTCTCTATCATTCTGTGCGGCTCCTATCCTCACGCAGCTCAGGACATCTGGACGAGTATGACATCTGACGGCGTCTGCTTTGTACACTTCGAGTTTTACAACGGAGTTATGAGCACCATCCAATGTCAGCGTCTTGTTTCCGTTTTGCGGGAGGTTGAAAATAATGATTTTTGCAAGGTAATGGTTCTGATGGGTGGCCGAGACGTGTTCAGCAATGGTATCCACCTTAATGTTATCGAAGCAGCAGATGACCCAGTACAGGAATCATGGAAGAACATCAATGCTATTAACGATGTCGTGCGTTGTATCTTCTCCAGCAGAAAGATCACGATCTCCGCATTACGTGGAAACGCTGGAGCCGGTGGGGCCATGTTGGCTTTGGCCAGCGACTTCGCCTTTGCACGTGATGGGGTGGTGCTGAATCCTCACTATAAGCTAATGAGGCTTTATGGTTCAGAATATCACACATATTTTCTGCCAAAGCGTGTGGGCCAAGAAAAGGCGGATGAGTTGTTGTCCAGTGCCAAACCCATCCTGGCCTCTGATGCCGCTGAAATTGGTTTTTTGGACGGAAGTGTTGGAGACAGCGTAGAGGAGTTTGAAATCTGGATTAAGGAGCAAGCATCGTACCTTGCCCGCACCCCTTTGCAGTCGTACATTGTCCGAGAAAAGAACAAAAAGGCACAGCGCCAAGTCATGGAGAACATCGAAGAATGTCGCTCAAATGAGCTCTCAATCATGGCGAGAAACTTTCAAGATCCCGAGTATCATCAAGCCAGAAAAAACTTTGTTTATCACTAACATTCTTGGGGTACGGACAATTTACGCGAGCTTTGACTTAGATAAAGCTTTCTTTTACCTACACATGGGGTCGGCTGTCGCATTTCCATTTGTAACGAGAGCCCAAGAGGCGCTTTGTGATATCGATTTTAACTTTTCACATAGTTTTTATTCTATTTTGTGACACCTCTTTTACTTTTATAATTCTACTTTGCAAAACAATTCCTTCCTTACTAGTTTTTACTGAAGTAGATGGCTTCCCATTGCAATAAACGTTTAAACTCTCTCGGCGTGTCTGTTATCCCTTTACACCCCAACATAAGCGTCAATATTCTCCATACTGTTATTCATACATTTCCTCAGGCGCTGATAAGGAGAATTTGTTAAACAATCAAAAGCTTTTTTAATAGTGATCAGTTCCTTTATTCTCATGATCTTTATGTGTGATTCAGGGGTGATTGGTTGGGAGAAATTACTTAAGTCACTTTTAAGTGTCAAAGGGTCAAGAAGAGGATTCTTCTGAACAGAATTCAAAATACTATAAGGAATCTGTGAAATGACGAACGGCGAATGTATTTGCCGTAAAACAGTTGACTATAAGTCCAAGATGGCTCCTGAGAAAGACGATTTTAGAAGGTTTTCAGTGATCTGGGAATTTCGTGTTGCAGGAAATTGGGTCGCGGCGCGCGTTGCATCAAGGTTGGAAATGGACCTTTAAGTGAATGTTTGTCTTTAACCCTTTAAATCACAGAAGTGATTCGCATCTAACTTCTCCCTGCAATATTCGTACATTATCCAGCAAACAGGTAATGAGAATACCCAAACATATCAAGTAGAAGTTGTTTTGATCTAACAACAACTTCTTGTAACTAATTTCAAAGGAAATATGTAGTTGCTGGAGGGGAGAATTGACTATCAGATCTTGGGAGTTAAAGGGTTAAGGGTCATGAGCAATCACCTTCAGCAATAGTGTGTAAGTGTTGACAGCCAACAAAGAGATGACACAAACAGAAAGAGAGGAAGATGGTAAGACGCGGATTGCAATGATGCATTAATAGACACACTTTTTTAAACAAATGAAGAGTTGTTTATTCCTTGTAAAACACTTTTAATTACACCCCGAGACGTATCAAAGCATATTATTTAGATGTCAGTTTTACGTTAAGGATAGGTACACGAAGGATTTGGCAAGAAATATTGTTTGAAACCCCTCAAGTGAAATTGGTGAACCATCAAAGTTAAGTTCGCGAACTTCGTCATCATCACACTTTTTTACCCATTCAAAAGTAACCGAAGTTTATGAAAAACGCTAGTAGGCGTGTATATCTTTTTTGGAACTCAACGACTTCTCAAAGTTTACACTTTCAATTTTATATGTAAACAACATAAACCATAGGGTAAATAATTCGACAGCTTCGAATAAATATTTCAGCTATTTGTTGAACGTATTACTTTCCATCAAAAACGGCGGCTATCTACAATGAGTTGATTTGTATCCAATATTTTTCAACAATGGACTGAGACTTAAACAATCTAATCCACTGATACTTTAGTGAAGCGTTACATTTGGCTGTCGAACTAATCAGTTCCTTGACTGTCTCTAGACGATTCTGTTCAATGGAAGACCCGTTCATTCCTCTTTCACTATATTGTTTCATTCAAACTCTCCGTCACGATGTCTAAGTTCATGGACAAACTGTGTGACAAAGTTTCTCCCAATGGGTGACATAGTCGCTCTCATTGCGTGACTGACGTCGAACTTTTTCAAGCGGTCCGGTTGTAATTTTAAGCATGAAGTCCTCTTCCCGATCAGATCAGATGTGTTGTGGTGTTTCCAAACCAACTAAAAGGCGATACATGGAGGCAGGCATGGTCTTCATACGGATCTGAAGAGATACAAATCAGTAAGAAATTCTGATCGTCTAAAAATTCAAGACTTGATTTCATGGCACTCAGTAGAAAAGTGCTTTGACAAATAAAACCCCGTAACGTCAACAAACCTCTCCTATTGTGGTGGCCAATAGTTCCACTATATGCTGATGAGACGTGGCTACCACACTCTCGCCATTTATTTCAATAATCCTGTGTCCCACTCGAACACCGCCTCTCTCTGCTATACTTCCGCGCATTAAACTGCAAATCTAAAGAGGACAAGATAACTAAAATCAGTAACAGTAGCGCGACAAGGATAAGTTAGAATATTACTTGAAACATAAGAGTCCTGATTGACGAAACTGAGGTTTAGCATGACAAAAATTCAGCTTATATCTGAGTTGTCTTTTTTCGTAGGAACCTAAGTCTAACAACACGTTCAAGCCACAACACTTCATGTGATCGTTCCGAATATCGTCATGAAGACGCGCAGTTGAATTTTTACGAGGTGAAGTCAAGATCGTGTGTAGAGCTGCAAAGGCCGACGGGAGAAGAATAGAAAGAGAGACTATCTACACCAGGAAGTTTTCCTTCACAAGTACACTTGTCAAAGAAATATCGGATCAATATCAGTATCTGGGCAACTGCCCACCCACCCCTCCTCTAACCCAACAACAGTCAATTGATGACAAGTTAGGGTTAATGTTGGGTGTCTGAGTCAGTAACTACTCAAAAGCTTTAAACGCACCATACAAATTACACGTTTACATAAAACAACGATCAACCCACTTACCATTCCATTTTGCACACTGAATCCAAGCTGATATTTGGTATCCGGTCTGTTAACCACCACTTGTACAGTTGGAGGACACGACACGATTTTCATCACCACTTTCGTCTCTGGACGTATGCCCTATGACACATTAACAGTCAGCACTTGTTAAACATGAAGAAGATTACTACTGGCGAATAACTTTTACGAGCGTCTACTTTTGCTTAGAGTCAGGGTAATACTCAATTAAGGTGTCAACATTCTTTTGGAAATATTGCAAGCACTTTGTTAGTAACAGGAGAAGGGGAGAGAGGAAGAGGAAAGAGATGAATCTCAGAGGAAACGAGCGAAAAAAAGGGAGGTTTACAGGTTGCCTTCCTTGTTTTTACACTCGCATGCTTTGCTGTTTTAGCTCGTCCTCACAGACTGAATGGTTTCCACGGTACAAGCTAAGGTGCTGAGAGGCAGGAATTTATAAACTATCAAAGACTATACTCGGCTAAAATTCATTTCTGTGAATCGAAGGTAGAGCTGTTAAACAGCACTGAAAGATTAACACGTCTTAAGGGAAAGTGAGAAAAAAATTCCACACTGCTTGAAATACGCCCATGATGTGATGTTCTTCTGGAATCTCACTCCCGTAACTAGATTTGTTAAACTCATTATTTGTTCCTAATGATCAACCAACCAGGAAACGCCAGTTTGTCACGTGCACGTGGTTTGCACCCCTGTGGCAAAATCAACCCTACAATCTAGTCAACTGTTCCAATTTCGTTGCCTTACCTTAATAATATTTTGACATTCTAACAAAGGCAGACCGACTAAACTTGTACCGTTCACTGAGAGGATCTGATCACCAACATTAAGCCTGCCAGACTTAGCCGCTGGTCCATCTTTCGCTAGATGAGCTATGATGGCACAAGGAATCATGGATCCCCAACCTGATTCCACGATCATCACACCAAGTATTTCAGCGGGCTTCTTATTAACAATCACCTACAACAAGATAGGATTTGAAAACATAAACTTCAAAGTCTGCAGTCATCTCGAAAGATCATATTTGCGCTAATATCTTTGAGTTTCTCGTTGGCAATCCATCTAAATCCTTCTCATCTTTATTGCATTCTGATTATTTTCTTATCATTTTATCATCTCTTAGGAATTTTTATAAATTGCAACTTCCATATCTTGCGGTTTTAACTACCTCGACGCTGGTTTCGTAAGACGTAAAAAGCGAACATGAACATCATTAACTATCTCTCAAACATCGTTCATCCAACTTACTTCTTTGGCGCTATTTTCATCGGACAACAGGGACAAGTCCTCGCCGAGTATTTTCTGTGCCTCCAACACACCGTTATACTCGGCATCTTCAATAACGTCCTCACTTAGTCCGTTTTGTCTTAAAAATTCTTGGTAAGCCACATTGAATGCCTGACCAATACTCTTGGCTATAACCTGAGCCTGCAAAGAATCAAGCCAAGTTTAGATTAGATTGAATTACTTGGGGGTGAAGATACCTTTTGTTTTGAATTTTTGATTGAAGGCAACAAAATCAGGTAAAAAAAAAGGTACGATTTGAAAGGTTTAAAGTCAAGTCGCCCGAAACCTGAGTCATGTTGCCCGAAATTTTAGTTATGTCACCCGAAAAAAAAAGTCAAGTCGCCCGAAGAAACAAATACTAAAAAGATTAGAATTTCATACTGTAAATAGGCAATAACGTTGAGAAATTTTTATCACGAAGGCGCTCTTAGTTTCTGACAACACCATGAAGATTCTTAAAGCGTTGTTCGTTCCTAACAACAAAGGGAAACGTTGTTCGTTTCCAACAACAAAATTCAGCGTTGTTCGTTTGGTATGTAATCGTTTCTTACTCACGAACGTTTCGTAAGCTTGAGAAACTTTTTCTTGGTTTCTAACAATACCATGAAGACTTTGACTACACAGAAAACGATCATATGCATGTTCGGAATTGAAATATGTTTGAGTAACGATTCTAAAAGCGTGGTTCGTTTCTAACAACAAAGGGAAGCGTTCTCCGTTTCAAACAAAAAAAAATTCAAGCGTTGTTCGTTTGGTATGTACTCGTTTCTTACTCACGGGCAATTCGTAAGCTTGAGAAACTCTTTCTTGTTTCTTAACATGCCATGAAGACTTTCTATAACAACATATGCATGGATGCAGCGCAACATACAAGTAAAGTTCTGTTGTGTCTATTTGTGACTTTCTTAACAATAACAGATGAAAACACCTGGTAAACGAATGTCGATTGTCGCGTTCGACAAGTCGGTAAAAGGTAAAGCGAGTAACATACAAATAAAATTAACTTGTTGCCTTGCGTAAGGTAAGTGTGATATTTTTAAGATAAAAGTCTATTGTTTATGCTTGTGGCTTTTTTCACAGTAATAGTCTGATAGCATAATTTCCCTTAGGATCAGAATAGGCAAAAATTATGTAATTGTGCTCTGTTTCCTCTGGCGGTCGCATGTATGTTTTGATCCGATCAAAGTACATATGAAGAGGGTAGAGCTAGCTACAATACGAATACGAACTGATCAAAATGAGCATTCATCCGTGTATTGAGTGTGATGATGAAGTTAGACCACGTCAACAAACCCTACAGTGCGACGATTACGGTCGATCATATGACCTTTCTGACCATATGATCGATTTCTGTGTAGCGACTCTGATAAATATAGTAAAGAGTTACCAGACAGAATCATACTCGTGCTCTGGAGACTAGAGACTAAATTTACAAAAGTAACGTCAACACCTGTTGCTCAAATGCGTTCAATTCTTCTAATCCGAGCTGTCATTGTTACTTTTTCGTTATATAATCGCCTATTTTTGTGATTTTTCCATCTCACCGAGCTGATATTTTGGACCTTCTTCCGAATCGCAGCTAAGTTTTTCAAGTTGCGAAAAACCCAACGATTAAAAATAGGGCGAGAAAGCTCTCAAAACGTCTCTCTTTACAAGAAGGTTCCTTCATGAAACATCTTTGAAGATAAATTATATATTTAGGACTGACCTCTGGCGCCTGAAAAACGTGGCAAGTGATCTTGACGTTTTTGTGGTCCGTCTGCGCCGTTCCTACGCTAGCCAGGATCTGTGAAGGTTTTAAAACCTCTTTGTTGGCGCGTTCCTCGGATTGCTGACGAGCCATTAGCACAAGAACATCTCCGATATCTGCGATGAACGACACGGAGCGGAGGGAGTGGTCTAACATGACCTCCTGTTGAAGAACAAGTTAATAGAACTATTATTTTTACATTTCTTGGGTTGGGAAACAACGCAACGATGATGGAGTTCTTTTCCTTTGTGTATGCCTGTGTCATTAGTGAAGAACATCATCTTTAATCTAGTCGCTAAACAGCTCAGTGTAGAGTGCTTATGAATCAAGATGGTGCAACTCACAACAAAAATTGTCTAAGTAACACTAAGGAAATTTTCGCTGCGATTTGTTGCCGCGTCGTGCTGTTTCCTGTCCTTTTCACGGCGTACTTCAGTACTTCAGATACAGCAGTCCCATTTAACTCCACATATTAGAACAGTTATCTTCAGAGAACGAACAGCAAACAAGAAACCTGCAAAATTGGGATAACTTACCTTTGTAGTGGAATTGACCACTTTAAGTCTTTCAGTAGAAATGAAAAAGTCAATATCAGTAGTTGGTTGATCCTCACCCTCAGGAACCTAACGGACAACAAACAAAACTGGCTGAAAAAGGGGAATTGTTAAAACTTGTGTATCAACGTTACTTTTTGCAATCCGCGTCAATCTTTTCCACCTTCACTATCCATGTTCCTACGTGCTATATTTTTACCTACTGAGAGTTTTTCTACCTTCGCAAACGATCATTCTGAAATTCTTTTTGGTTTTGAAGACGTCTGTACGTCGCAAAACCCTCAAAATATCATATATAGCTCCTTTTGTTATAAGCAAATCACTCTTCATCCCTTTACACCCTAATATCAGTATGTATATTCTCCATACTGTTCGCTAAACATTTCCTAAGTTGGTGACAAGGAGAATTTTTTTTACAACAGAAAACGTCTTTAGTGGGTGTTCATTCCTTTATTCTTGTGACTTAAATGTGCGATTTTGGGGTGATATTTCAAGGAGAAATTAGATGTTGGTCACTCTTAGGATCGAACGGTTAAAGGCGGATTTACAAGCCAGAGTACAAACTGTAATCAACTCGGCAGTGCCGCACATGGAACGACAAAGCACAAAGCCTCTTTGGTGAATTATAAATTTAAAGCTTACATAGTAACCCTGAGGAAGCAAAGGATTTCAGTAAGTCTAACCTTTATTCGTCCCACGGCTTCCTGAGCCTGTTCCATCCGAACAGCTTTGTTTGGGGCCTGGGGCGACATAATTTGCGACGAACCCAGGTACTAAAAAGAGAAGAAATGGAAGCATATAAAAGCTCAGAATTATAATTTTAAGGACGGATCAAATCCAGGTTGCATTCAGCTTGTCAGAAATGAATATGGAAGTTGTCTAAAATAGGTCATGATTATCTGTACCATCTCGAGCAAACAAGGGGGATTCATTTATGACGACTTGATTACAATCAATTCTATTTGCATATTTATGACAGGGCATCAGATGTTAAACCAATATTCAGTCGTGCTATTCACTTGATTAGAATTGCCTTCAAATATACTTTGCTGTCGAAGTGCTAATTTTTGCACATAAATTAACCCTTAAGATCTGAGTGAAGTTACAACCGTCACGGTCTTAGTTACGTCGTCTGTTAGGGCGACCAAAACTTATTTGAGATTAAGTATTATCAAAGATGGTTCTAGCCTTTTTTTAATGTTTATTCTTATTGAATTTAACCACACAAACACATCGCCGATGGTCGAATCAGCCGTGTTAAGAAACAGTAATGACTTGGTCGACATTAAATTAGGACTCATTTAAATGCAAAGTGCTAATCGATCGTGAGAAAAATAACCGTTGGTTTTCCATTCTTGAACACAACCTCTTACTCTAAAAATCATACTACTCAAACATTTGAAAGGATATGAAAGACGACAAAATTTGTTAGTTTTAAACCTTTTCATTAGGCCGTTTGTTTATAGAGTAACCTGTCAGTAGAGACAATAACGGGTCTTTCGGATGCAAATTTTCAAAATGATCGCGAATGATCGAAGCTATAGTTAAGAGACTGAGAGACCTATATTCGCAACACCAGAGAAGCAACACTTCTCCATTGAAAGAGTAAAACTGAAAGCATGTAGATGTGACGCTAAAAAGCGTCAGAAAAAAGCAATTCGAAGGCTATGCCCACGGGCCTTCAGACGTTTATTTTTAGGATCGACTTCCGCCGTTGATTCATCCACCAAACTGATGTAAATATCAACTTCTCAACTTTAAGACTTTTTCATAACTACACTCAGCGAAATTCTTAATAAAGGTTACGCGTTGACAAAAGATGCGCGGCAAAAAAAGTCTTATCTAATAATACGCTAAAAGCTGGAACGAGAATAAAGACAATGAATCGAATAAAAATTGGAAAAACCCGCAAACTAAACAACTAATGTTGAACAACGCTTCGTGATTAATGACTGACTTACCTTGGCTGTGTACACAACTCCAAGAAGAAGATTCCTCGGATGATGTGGGCCATCCCAAGCTTAAATCAAAAAGAAAAAAACGCTGTTAATTGAATTATTTACAGCAGTTGGAAGCGATTCAGTGAAGCGAACGTGGTTCTTCTTCTTGCGACAGTCAATCAATTTATCATCACAATCTCTCCCCCAGTTTTGTAGAAATTAATCTAACGAGATTGCCGCGTTTGCAAAGGGGCAAAGAATTTTCGCTAGACAAAGTTGAAAGCTACTATCGAAACTTTGTACCTATTGGAAGTACATCGTGGTCCTTATGCTCGCAGAATCGGAAGAAAAGTCTGACTTCCGGAATGTTAAACTCAAACACATCGGAAACCATCTTGAAGACGTACGACTAAGCAACATCAGGTTTACATCTGAACCAGTCACATTTTCGCTACGAAATTGCGATCCAAGCCACAAAACTAACAAGCGCGTGCCCCACACAAACTCATTTTTTTCACCGCGGAACACGAAACAGTGTTGACTTTACCCGACTCTGGTTTAGAACATTTGACAAATATGATATGGGCACCCAACGACTACAGGTGATTAAATATTTATGTCTACAATGCGTGAAAAATACACACAGAAACGATAAACGAGTGGAGAACGAAAACGAAATGTTTACAGTTGCATTGGCGAAACTAGAGACTGATGGTCGAGTATTTCTCAAAGTTTAATCCATTTCAAAGTACCAACATCCGATATAAAAAAATTTCCTCAAATGACAGTTAACAAGAAAAGCTCTTTAAAGGTGCTTGTCTTCATACACGCAGCTGTCTTGGCGCGAAACGGGTTGTCTCTTTCAATCTCTCTCGTTTACACTTCTCATTGTATTTCGCACCCAACGTTCTCGACTATTTATCGCATTTTGACAAGCCAGCACGATCCGACCGAAAAATCGATTTCACTGCAGGGACGCAATTTAATCAGACAAAAACCGTTAAGAGGTAAATGGATTTGGAGATTTCTTTTTTAATGCATCATAACTATAAACAAAGATTGTTTTGGGAGTGAAACATGAAATCGAGCTATTTCAAGCACTTGAAACTCTAAACTTATCTCTAGGTAGTAAAAAAGAGGAAAACGATTTAAATTCGCCTCCTTTCAAACCGCAAAATTGCAATAAACATGACTAAAAATAACCAATTTGTTCTCGAATGCATTTTCTTTTTCAATTAAAATCATTTTCACCTACAGAGTCCACTTGCCTTATTTCATTAAAGGTAAATAAAAGCAAAATCGCTTTTGTTTGTGACAAGCCGACAACGTTAATGGAAATAATGCTAAAAAAGATATTTGTTTGGGCCAAATTTGGATTTGCAGTCTCGAATAAAGAACTACAGTAGCTTGCAAACATGCCCTCATAATCGGTACTTTGACACAAGCGTTTCTTCGGGCGCGGGAAAGTATTAAATGAGGCCTTGAGCGACTCGTCTCAAATCTTCCCGCGAGCGAAGAAACGCACGTCCTGCAGCGTCAATAATAGGTACATTCTTTTGCATATAAAGAGTACTTCGGTGGGGTACACACTCGTTAGCAACCACACAGCTCTTCTAACTTACTTAAACCCTTTCCATTTAAAAATCCTTTAAGCAAAATTACTTTATTCATAGTCTTTCTACCGTAGACATAGAAATATCGGCAAAATTAAGAATTAAAATTTTGACAACAATTATGAAGCCATCCACTCAAAAATACACACTTTACAGAAACGATGGCTCCGAAAGTGTGGAGCGCTAATTCGTTCTTGCTCCTTTGCTCCCAGACCTCCGTCTCAAAACGAGGCCTGGCTCCAAACCGTGCACAACAAGGATAGACAGATGAAAAAGTAACGGGGATTGAAGAGGGAAGAACTATTAGCAAAATTTTCAAATAAGTGTCGAAAGTAATCTGCGGTTGCTTAGGTGTTGCTCGATTGGTTCAAAACAGGCGCTTCTCTCTCCACCAATCAGATTCCAAACTTAAAACCAATCGCGATTTGGTGTCTCGCCTTTTCCCGCGCTTTAGGCAGTATGACTGTTTTTACTTGTTGTTATTCTTCCTTCCAATTAGCTGTCGTATTACTTTACTTTTGTTTTATTTAACTCAATCGTAATGCGCTCTAAGATGACAAATTTGTCTTATAAAAAACAGAAAAAAAATTTGTGCCGCCGGCGTCTGCTGGCTGGTCAAGTCAGCGAAAAAGTAACCGACGTAGCGAAATTTGAAAATCTGCAGTTTCCAGCGTAAAGACCTTTCCCAAAACAAAGGAGAAAATTAAAATATTGTAAAAAAACACATTTTTGTAAGTAAGCCGTACCTTAAAACGACTTTTTCGATCAATAATATGGGACATGCTTACGTATTCAGACATTATTACTGGAACATTAGTATCACATCCGAGCTCATAATAATGATCACATGCCGAGTTCGTTGTCGGCTAATAAATTATCTCAGTTTTCCCTTGTTGTCGAGCGAAAAGCGAAAAATAGTGATCTAAATTTGGAAATTTTCGTTCTACTTTTAGTAATATTATAAGAGTAACAAAAATTAAACCTCAAAATGACCCTTCCCCCCCCCCCCAAAAAAAAGTATGTCGATTAGACTTCATTAAAGAATTCAGACATCTAATTTCGATCATCATTGAAAACACTTCCAGTCATAAAATATTAAGTGCGCTACATAAATTTGCTCGTAGTTCAATGCGAATCGCGGGTCTTAGTAGCTTAGAGAGATTATAAATTGTAATCGGCAGTAGTCACAGAGTGTGAAAAAAGAAGTGATCACTCGCCTTAAAACTGAGTAAGTTTAACTAATAAAAAAAAAGCGAATGCAAAATTGACAGGATGACAAATGTTTGGTAAGTGTTAACCGGGATGTTTTGTTTCTCGCCAAACGTTTATTCACAGTCGTTTCTCAACCAACTACGATTAACCATATTTCGATGGAATCTCAAGTTCTACTGTGAATTCCTCACATATTCAGCGGGCCTAGCTCTGAACAAGGTGATTGAATTTCACTTGCTCCACTATCTCTTTTTGGTAAATCACTCGGCGAGAAAATAGAGATATTTCCAATTATCTGTCAGCACAAACTCGACGATGTAAAAGTAAACACTAAATAAAGACACATCACAAACTTACCTGGATTTCGCTCTCGGGCCTTGTTTGCCGCAGCCTACGAATAAAAATTAGGAAAGTAGGTTAAAATATCCAAACAACCTGTACCGCGGGCAATACGGAATATTATGACCCGGAAGGTAAATAACTCATATTTTACGTACAAAACCATGGCACTCTTCGAGAAGGCAGGTTTCGTGGAGATACGGCATGAAGTTTCCAGTTTGGAAGTGCGAACTGAAAAAAATACCGATTTGCTTAACGGCTCGGTAAAACTCGTTTGGCCATCGCCAAGAACAGAAAAGAGGAAATTCGAGCCAAAATGGTCCGCTTCGAAACTTTCTTGCACAACATCCGAAAGTTATTCTTACTGTTGACCGACTTGATTTGTATCCATCACAGCGGTGGTTTAGCGCTCAATTATTTATCCCATTGATTCGCAATAAAACCACATTCTTCTAGTCAAAATAGCCCCGCAATTCAGTTTACAAACGCAGTAACAATGAAATCCATCCCGTAGAATAACAATTTCATCCGTGTCAAAAGGAGAAGGGAAAATGTTGAGCCCCGGGCCGATCGATCCAGAGCGCTTTTTCATTCGAGTCTTGTGATAAAAAACGAAACGAAGAAATATAAAGAGACGACAGATGTTTCAAGGAATATTGTGGTTACAAGATAACTAGCTTGCTTTTAGGAATAAGTAAAGATCATTACAGAAACAGGAATTTAAATCCTTTAATCACGCTTAAATTGACGGAAACAGCAACCGAAGGCAGATATGCATTTGTACTTGACAAAGCGCAATTACTTTTAAGGACATGTGAGCGACCGATAAACAGGCTTTGAGAAATGAAACACTTTCATGGGATAGGATCTTTTAACCGTGATAGCTAACTTTTCTTCTTTTTTTATGAGTTCCACGAGAAGCAAATGAGAAACAAATTTTCCACAAGTTTTTGCAACAGATTTTCTCCGCTTCTTCCCAAAAGCATCATCATTTGTAATCATCTCTCAATGAAATTTTTCCCCGAGGAGATCATCAAGCCTCAAAGAAAAAATTTTTGTTGAGCGAGAGCAAATTGCTATTGAGAACATAATCTCCTTTCTGCACGCGATGTAACCTCTAATCAAGATCCTTTATGATAAAGATAAAATGAAACGATACTCAGGAGTTACAAGTAGATATTTTGAGTCTACTAAAGACAGACTTCAATGTTACCATCCACATCACCTATACTAACCAAGAAAGAAAAACGCCATCTGCAATATCACGTTTTCTAAAAGCCGCCCCTCGTTTGTCCCCAACCCCTTCCCGCCTCCACCACTCACCCTCTCCTTGCCTCACCCACTTTCCCACGTATTATGATTTGCCCCTGTACTCCAAGATCTTTTTCCAATCCATGCGAAAAACATCAAGAAATACAAGAGAAGCTTCAAGATTAGGGGATGAAAGCGGAATAAAACGGAGAAAGCGTCAGACGCTAGTCACTGGAAACAAACGACTTCGCGAGAACAGCCGCGCTCTTAGCAAGAAATACGATGATAAATAATTTAACCAGATAGAAGGATTTCAAACTCAACTAAACGGCGGCGTCAAAAGAAAAAAAAAATTAAAAAAACAAAACAAAATGAAGCACACATGAGAGACTGTTTAACATTTATGAAATAAATGAATAAAGCCGTCTATAAAATACAGACATGTGAGCAGTTCACGATGAAGATTTGTCAGGAATATAATCTCTTATGAAGAAAGTGTATCGAGACGGGAAAAATGTATGCCAGCACTTAGTTCAAAATCTGACGCATGGAAGTAACTTACAGATGAGTCAAAGAAAGGTCCCGGCAAGCGGAAAGTTTGAAGCGGTGGAAGAGGGAGAGTTCGGGAATCATCACAGTCCTGCTGCCCCCGGCGTTGGGTCACGGCCTGCTTACAGCTCTTTACATACTCATGCCAAGTCATCTTAAAACAACCAGCAAATACAGACACAACGTGGAGAGCCAAGGAAAAGAGAAAATAAAGACACAGTTAGATTGAAGTTGAGTTTGTCTTCCAGTTTTCACTTTTGTCCACTATTTCTCTGTATCCTTGCAAGACAAAGATGAGATGAAGTCTAAGGTTCAAGTTGGAGAAAGTCAAGAAAGTTACTGTAAAGGGAGGAAGAACTCAGTGAGGTCTTGCTTTTGAGTACAAGACAACTGTAACAGTACGGTGTAGGAAAAACGTGATTAGAAAACTGTAAGTGTAGGTTAGAACTGTGCTGAAGTACCATATGTAACACAGAACCTTCAGTCAACATAGAAGCGAGTATTTCTTTGAGTGTGTTGTGGTAATGCGGGGGTAAATACGAAGACGGAGTAGAAGGCAAAAAAAGGAAAAAGCTCACACCACAAAAATTGAGATTTTAATTGCGATTTGGACATTTTTAGCTTCTTTGGAGGTCTGAAATCGCAACTTCAGAATTGCAAGTTCGTCCACGGCCTAAATTGGTTTACTCAGTGATGTCTTAAATTTTTTTTAAAAGGTAACGTTTTCAGTAAGGACGTCTTATGTTCTGGATGTTCGTGTTGTCACGAGTGAGGGTCAAAGAAATAAAATCTGAGTTGCCATGAGGAATCGAGCCCTACACCGTCGGATTCCGAGTTCCGATGTTTCACCATTGAACTATACCGAACTCCATGACAAGCAACGCCATTTTTAGGGTCACAAGTGAAAAGCATTATGCATATTGCTAGGATCAGCAATTTAGACAGCAAATAGGATAAGACAGTGAAAATTGAGCTTGGTTAAATGAAAAAAAAAAAAAAAAAAAAGAAGATATTCTAGAAGTTAGGCGGACTGAGATGAGAACAGAATCTAACTGCTCCATACCTTCTCTGCAGCACAATATTCACAAGTCTCCTCGTGTTCCGAGTCACTCTCTCCTGCTGGTTCCGAATGCTCGATGTTACGTGACGCTAGTCCCACCGCAAAAGTTCCCGTTTTCTTCACCTCTGCTGCCCTGTTCGTGCGTTCGTCGTCATCTGTTGACGATCCAGTGTATGAAAGCTGCAGAGATTGACGCTTATCCTTCCTCCGAGAGCTGTAAGGAACACCGCCTGGGATGACCTCGCTCATCGGTCTCGTTTGTCTTCTGTTCGGTTTGCTGCTAACGAATCCCACGTCAGGCAGATCGGCAGGATCCTCTTCCCGCTTGTGACGACTCTTGTGTCCTGAAACTAAAAGCACAACATAACATAACTGACCCAAGATTAAAAACAAGCAGCCGAAGTCAAACGTAAGAAGGGCGCTGAGTTCGTTTCACGTACTATCTATAGTCTCTTTCGCAGCCGCCGTTTCAGAGGGTCAGGCAACATGCTCCATAACCCGACCATACCTTGTTAGCCAGGACGCATTGCTTTCAGGATAGACCTAATCCTTTTTTACGCTTTTTTCAATGGACGGCAGGCAACGATACACGCACGACGGACGAGTCACGCTCCTCCTCTCGCTTCCACCTCGTGCTGCTCCTCGCCTACTTTAGGGAAAGGAACCAAGTTTATTGATCGCGACTTCCCTTCACCAGGGTTTAATAACTGTTAAATATCATATAATTATTTACTCACAAACTTTCCTGCCAGCCAAGCTTCCTGACTCGTACTCCTTTAACAAGGAAGCCTTTTGTGCAATGAGTTTATGGATCTCATCATCTCTGCAAAGCCAGACGTGTTTGCTTCGATCATGGGTGTGGCCACTGTGCTTGTGAGTGCCACGTTCTCTAGGAACATGGTCCCTATTACCATGATCCCTAGCATCATGCTCTCTGATACCATGGTCTCTAGCAACATTCTCCCTGCTACCATGGTCCCTTGCAATGCGCTCCCTACTACCATGGCCCCTGGCAGTGTGATCCTTAGTAACATTGTCCCTCAAACTGTGGTCCTTAGCAACATGGTCCCTCGCAAGATGACCCCTGAGACCATGTTCCCTGGGGCTTTGATCGTGGTGACCAGAATGAAAGGAAAGTTTTTCTTGTGAACTCGAAAGGTGACCATTACTCGTCGGTCTTCCTCTCGGTTTGGATTTCGATTCACCTGGATTTTTAACCGGTGCATCGCTCCGTTTCTTCCTTTCACGACTGATTTCCTCTTCCTGATCAGATTCATCGGGCTTACTCACAGTCCTTTTAGATTTGTTTTTTCTCACCTCTGCCTTTTCTGAGGACTTTTCTCTTTCCCCGCGCGTAGTTGTAGCGGTCGAACTAGATTTCTGTTTCTTGGAAGATACAGATTCAGACGAAGTTGTTTTCTGTGGTTTTTTCCTTGTTAACGAGTCCGATGTTGAGTCACTGTCACTTTTCCGCGGTTTCTTCGCTTCCTTTCTTGGTTGATTAGCAGCTACATGCACCTCGTCTGTCTGGTTATGTGAACGAGAATCAGCACGAAAATCACTGACTGGCCTTGTTTTCTTCTTCTCTTTTGTTGGCTGATTTCTCCGCTGCACATCCGCACCAATAGGCAATGACGAAACTGAGGCAGACTTAACATTCCCAGCTTTAGAAATTCCTTCCCTTTCCATGGCGGATGTTTTAGATACTTTTGAGCTTTCTTTAAAACCCTTCTTAAGTTTTTCAGTCTGTTGCTTATTCGTTTCCTCTAGATTCTTATCTGCAGCTTTCATTTTTCCTTTCTTCGGCTTTGCTGCATTGTCAACTGGCTTTGAAGAGACTACAGTTTTTGATTTATCTTTGACCACCAAATCCTTGACAACTTTCTTTTCAATTTTCACGTGTTCATTATTACCTGGATTATCTTTTGTTACCTTTCTAGGATATTTTCCAGACTCAGGTTTTAAATCTTTAGTTTCCAAATCTTTTGAACTACCAAGTGCACGTTCCTTATCGTCCTCAAGAATTTTCTTTTCTCTTACTCCTTTATCAACCTTTTTCTTTGATTCAGCTTTCTGTTCAGTTCTGACAACCTTCATACCTTCTGCTTCACTCTTTAGAGTGTCCAGAAAAGTCTTTTTCAATTTGTCAACTTCTTGTACTTCTTTATTCACCTTTGAAGTCCTTTTAACAGTTTTGTGTTCAGGAACATCAAAATCTTCTACATCCCATTCCAATTCATTGTCGTCTTCAATGGGAACAAATTCTTGTGACTCGTCACTATCGTGATCGCTATCATCACGACGCGCCTCTTCTTCTCTAAAAGTATGTGAAACATTGTGGTCATGATCAGATTTTAGAGTACCTTTCTCATCAAATTCACCGCCAACTGTATCTCCAGTTTCACCTTCATCCTCGCTTTCCTCTTTTTCGTCTTCGTGCGATTCCTCGACTGGGACTAAAGAGCTGCTAACCTCATCAGCAACAGACGCGACATGTTCGTTTTCTATTGTATCCAAAACTGCTTCATGATAACTCTCTTTATCATCCTCAACATCGTCATCAGGGTCGTCAGACTGATCCTGCTTTGGAATCTGCGTCTCAACTTCTGGAGATGAATCAGACAGTTCACCTTCCTCTGAATTTTCAGATTCAGGTGTGACAGGCCTAGGAGACTGCGGCACTACCTCAACATCTTCTTCTTCCTTCTTGTCGTCATTATCACCATCGTCAGCATTACCATCATTACTGATAGGTTGTTCCTCCTCCTCTTCGTCATCATCATCTTCATCAAACTTACCACCAGGCTGCTCATCGTCATTATCATTCGCATCTTCAGCTGGTGAATCATGAGCATAACCTCCAACAGAATCCACATCAGCACTTTCGGCAGCTTCTACAGCAGGGCTTCTGGAATCATTTTCTTCTCCTTCATCTTCACTATCAAGAGGTGGAGGCACTTCCCTTTCACTATCACTGTCAGAGTCATCAGAACTCTTCACGCCTCTCCTTTCCCTGGGTACAGGGGCTTTCCTGGAGCTCAAATCCTCCCTGCTACCACTGTCAGGTGAGGTAACCAGCTCATCTCCATTATCTGTGTTCTCAGCGTTGTCATCGCTGTGCAATGGAGGGGGGCCGTCAATACCGTCCACATCACTACCCTCATCGTCATCCTCATCACTATCCAAAGGGGGAGGACCCTCGTTTCCCTCATTCTCACTATCACTTTCGCTTGATGTTTCTGGATTGTCATACTGCATCTCTTCTCTGGTGTGTGCCACAACCTCAGTGTCACTGCTCTCAGAAATGGCATCACCATCTTGAATATCAATAAAGCCAGCATCTTCCGATGGCTCAAAGATATCTGCAAAAGAAAGATATACATTGAATGTACGTAGAGAATAACTAAATTCTGCTCATCTATTTCAGAAGCCATTCGCTCTGACGAAGGGCTAACGCATAAAACGTCAGCTTTGAAACTCTTTACTGTAAGCAATTTATGTTATCAACTCAGTTGATAATACCGTATTACCCTGTTATACTCTCCCACCGACGCAGTACCAGTTTCTCTAGAAACTTACCCCCTTTATTTTCAGAAGCAGTTGCTTTATGTTGGTACAAAAGTCATCTGCTTAGTCTATTCTTCTATCACAGTGCTTGGATTACCAGTGTTGGATTACCACTACACACAGTGCTCATTACATGATAATTTCCCTCTTAACAACCCTTCACCTTCAAAGTGCCTCATTTCAAATCCAATATCTCATCAATGAAATTTCTAGGCGTAAATTTAAACAGAAAATTCTACATCAAAAAGCACAATAATGAACCCTTTTTTACTCACCATATTCTAACACTGATCTACTTCCACAACTGCAGAAATATCTTATAGGCATTGAATTTTTTAATAGCTCTTGATTAAATGAGAGAGAACTCATAACTATGTTGCTATTAAAACTACCTTGTACCAATAAATTTACTTTACATCTCTAAGTACCTTTCATCTAAATATACAGCACTATATTGAACTGACCACTAATAGTTGAGATATTGATTAGAAAATTACCCTTAAGGCAATTAAATATATTAGCAGTTTTATTTGGCATGACTTACAATATCTGGAGTAATAAATTCTGATAAGCCATCTCTCTCGTAGCATTTAACGAGAGTTTTCTATGAACATAAAATAATCAATAAGGTTTGGGTACTTTTAAATTGTCACTCAGGTTGGTAGTCACCAAAACATATGATTGGCACATGCAATATCAAATTTAATACTTTAAAAAACTACGCTTTGATTTAGTAAAAGTTGTACAGACGAGAGCAAGGAAATACAACTGCAAGCAAATGGAACTGTCAAAATATACATGTCAAAAAGGCAACAAGTAATTCACTCTAAAGAAGTGAAATAGGGGATGGCCCTAACAGACATATCAAAATAAAAGCAATTACATAGAAATCAATCTCGTATGCAATTTGGTGAGATCAATTAAATAAGGAAATAATATCAATACATTTTCATGGAAAATGATTCTTTTTGCTCCACTATCAGCCTGAAAATAAATATTTTGGGTAAGTTAATTACATAACATAATGAGACTAGAAGCCAAATGAATTCTATTGCTTGTGTACTTGATTTACAATCAGTAGTTGTAAAATGAGAGTTCTAGGGAAAGGCAAAACCAAGGATAAAAAGTTGTCCGGTTTAAACCCAGAAATTGAGAAGCTTTGTCCCATTATACCAGAAAGAAGAATTTATTTTAACTATGCTTGCCATTTTATTTATCTTCAACATTATTTTGGAGAATCGACAACAAGTATTCATCATGAAACTTTTGATGAAGCTTATCCTCTTAATCACTGAGACAGAATGTGAATACAGTCGCAATGATTGCGCAGACTTCTGCTTACTTAATTGCATTCATTGAAAATCGGCTGACCATTTTAGGAAGGTGAGATGTTTATCTTCTTCTGAGTACACTACGAGACGAACAATAAGTAGCACCGAAACACAGTGTGATTACCTGCTAATATTCCGTGTAACATTCGAAGCGATTCGAAGAAATCGTCACTAAGCGTTGAACGACCGAAGATGTTCCGAAACAAACAAAAGCCAAGAGCGAGGAATATCGGGTAAATCTAGGCAGACTTCGTTGTGAACGAAGAGGTCGTTCGTATTCTATTGTTACCCTCACTCACTCAACAGGACAACATTATGGCTTCGCCTCCATAGGAGGCAGCAGCCATGAAAATTGTGGGTGAGAAAAATTAAAATTATTTGTAAATGACTCTTAAGGAATCAAATATGACGTTGAAAATCGTGAGAGTTTTATCGCACAAAAAGAATTATTTGAGTGGATGCGTCAGCAGGTGATTTCAAATTTACTTTCTCGCATAACATATCATACGTTTTAGATTTTACAATATTTATCTGAAGTTAATTTCACCTATTTTTGTTTATCTTTATAATTAATCGGATTCAGAATATGATACGCGAACCATTACTGTTCAGTTTCTTCACGTTTTTCCTTCTTTAAATATGGATTGCGTCCTCCTTTGTTGACGTTTCTTCTTTAATTCCTCTTTCAAAGTCCTCATTTCATCACCTCTTTTTATCTCCATTTCCAATCTCCTTCGGAATCTCTCCATTTTTAAAATTTTTTTGTACTCTTCCAATAAGATCGTGTTATTATCCAACTCTCTCTCCGTCTGAGTGATATCTTTACTTTCAAGGTTATATATTGCTTGATCAATATCAAATTGAAACTCTTCTCGCTATTGTAATCGTCGTTTTATTCCGAAAAGATTAGCCAGATTATTGTCACGAATGATCTTCTTATTCCTCGGATTATGCATTTCCAAACCTCCATTCTACCGGAGTATTCATTTGAACCATACCTCCTTCGCTCTTCAATGTTTCTTGAAGTGCTAAACCAAGGCTATTGAGTGAATAGTTACTTTCAGGAATTTTTTTACACCTGCTTTGACCTGGTAATCGAATATAGAGATTTCTCCAGAACGACTTAAGTTGTGCCAAGAGTTATATTGAGAACAACTCACCAGTTTGTTATGTGAAATTTATAGAGAAGTTCTCGGAAGCGAACCGTGTGATCACTCGAATCTGTTGTTAAGGTCAATACAACCATTTTTAATTGTTTGATACAATTAAAATATTTACATGGTTAGGATCAGACGAAGCGAATAAAATTGCAGATAAAGCTAAGACAAAAGCCTGGAACTACTTCAAAGCACGATATCCAAATGCAGACTTTAATAAGTTCAGTGCGCAAGTGTCGTTCGATGATAAAAGACAGGCAACAGATGGAGTTTACTTCAGTCGATCAGATGGAGTTCAGTGGAGCGTCACAGGATCAGACATAAGATATTAGGATGATGATAAGAAGAAGCCACTTGAAATTGAAGGTTTTCCCCTTGAACTCACTCTGAATCGAAGAGGAAAGAAGCAGGCGCCGGCAGTTCAATTTTTATGGCTACTGTCACCTATAGAGGCAAAGCCATAATGTTGTCCTGTTGAGTGAGTGAGTGAGGGCAGCAAAGAATACGAACGACCTCTTCGTCTCTGGCACGTAATTGAAAAAAGACTTTTTTCCTTACAGAAATATATTAATAGGCTTGATCTGCACATCGTGGAGACTTTGAAGAAAAATTTTATTTATTCGAAAAGTAATCATTTTGCTATTTTAATCAGCGACAAATTAATGCTCAAAAAAAGCCGCTATATTTGCGAAGCGAGCAAGCTCCAAAATACGATACGTTGACTTCAACAGGGTGACGCCATTCGATGAAATGATGGAATGGCGGAATATTAACAACGCGGAATGCCTTGTTGTATGAAACAAAAGTCTCGCGAAAATGAAATTGCAATGAAATTAGAAAACGATCTATCATTACCAGGCAAATCAAAATTTAAAAGAAGGCTAGTTTAATCATTATTAGAGCCTAGGGATAGACCGAAAGAGGAACAGTGAGGTTCATGAGCTAACCCCTATAAGTTATCATTATTATTACTTTTGTTATCATCATCAATTGTTATTATTAGTGTGATTGTTTGTTACCATTTCGTGGTTGAGTGTCGTTATATTCTTGAACCATCTTTCTCTTGTGGAACAGGGCTTTTATAACTGTGTGGGATGCGACAGTTTCTCTTGAAAGTTTAGGATTCAGGGCCCCTTCTGAATTGAATGAAGGGGTCTTTCCTCCTCGAGGACCAACAACAACAACTTTATCTCTGCATCGACCTTTGTCGACAACTGAGTTTAGTACTTTAGCATTTTTACCATATTCAGGAAACTTTTCTTCAAATTGTAAGTTTGCCATAGTTGTTCTTGTTTGTTTAAACGAATCACCATCAATGAAAGACGTTTTAGCAGTTTCCGGTGCTTTCTCTCCCTCCCTATTCATTGTTGCCTTTTCATATTGATCACCTGAAGGACCGGAAGTTGAATTGTAATAAGGATTAAAAGTTAAGTGTCCTGTCATATTTCCACCATCTTCATCATATCCATCATTTGCATTTCCTTCTTTGTCTAGCATAGGATCAGTATCAACAAAATCTCTTAAAATGGAAGTCAGCGAAAAAAATTAAACCAATTTTTGAAAAAAAAGACGTCAAACGCCCTCAAGGTAGACCGTATAATTCATCGAGTAACATTTAACCCTTTGGGGCTTCTCTGGGTGAAGTCCTTAGAGTCCCAGCTCCAAGGTTTTATGATGATGTAGTGCTTGTGCCGGGATTTCTTTCACTCATCTTTGACTCGACAGTTAGTGGTGAATCAAACCATTTTCTCGTGAACAATGCATTAAGGAGCACTTGTTACTCGACTAACAGTTAAATTCGCAGGAGAAATCGTTCAGGACACTGATGGCTATGATCTTTTCAAGCTCTATGAAGACCTCTTCTTGACTGAGAGTGAGAGGGAGAGCATCGTGTTCAGAGAAGGTAGTCAATCTGAAGATCTTTCGAAGATCAGATGCAAAGCTGGGAACAAATATAGGGTTCCATTGGATCATGAAATTCGGAAGGATCATGGAGTCTTTTTTCCCAAGAGCTCTTTCTGATGAGCTTCTTTTCGAGCTCAGGCTTGCACCTGCCAGCAATGTTGTGATAGGATCTGACGAGACACAGCTCACCTATGAATTGACTAACATCCACCTTGAGTATAAAGTAATGCACAGTCAAGAACTCGCTGGTGACACCTTGTTTAACTACACAAATGAAAAGAGATTCCGGTGCGAGCATGTCACTCACCTCAAGGCAATCTCAATAGATAAGGGAACTGACTCAATAAGCAATGACATAGTAAATGCCCCAAGGAGGTCAATGAGGGAACTTCTTCTTCAATTCTACAAGCTATACACAGCAGTAGCAAGAAATAGTGAGAAGACATTCTATCCTGATATAACTGAGGTAAAGGTGATTGTGACTAGAATCCCAAATAAGATTTACAGTAAAGGAATGAGGACAAGAGGTATGTGGGAGGAGGTCTTCAGAAGATTTGGAAAGGAAAACAGTGCAATGAATGCAACAGACTTCTATGCTGCAGATAGATTATGTCTTTTCATTGATCTCAGGAGTATGAAAAACAACAATCTTCACAGCTCAGGATTGACATTGGTGAATAAGAAAGAAGGAATTCAGCTCATAAATAACAGGAAAGTATCAGATTCAGGTAATGTGAAATGCTACATCTTCATCCTCTCAGATGCTCTCCTCAACATCATCAACCGAGAGCTTGAGAGTGTGACCTATCAATGAAACTGCCATACTTTTCTCGTTTACAAAAGCACTCTTTTGATAAAAGAGAAAATCAAGGCACACCATGAATTCTTTATAAAAGATCCATTATTGATGGTGAGCCTGTTGTACGATTGAATTTATCAAAATTCGTCCTGATACTGAAGATTGACATGTTAATGTGTTATAATTTAAAAAAAAAAAAAAAAAAGACTTGAGATTTTTGAGCTTGTCTCTGTAGTAGTGGTTGTAAAATAAGAGTTCTGGGAGAAGTTAAAGGATAAGTATGAAAAGGTGGTCTGGCTTGACGTGGACAAAATTATCCTTGGTTTTGACTTGTTCTAGAACTCTCATTTTACAACTACTCATTCAATGAAGGTTTAACACCAATGTGTTAAATTAGCCTTGATTAACATATGCATGATGCATAAAAATTGATGAAGGAATGTGTTAGAAACCAGTCACTGCAGGAGACTTTCTTTTTGCAGGGAAAAGTTGTTAACATAGTTCTAATCCTAAACAATTAAAGTTGTTTGATCTACTGAAAAGCCTGGAGGGCAAAATAAAGCTAAATGTAACCCTCACATATGTTCTCTGGTAAGAAACAAGAAAGCATGATAGCATTACTTGTTTTGTTTAATTATGTAATGGACTGTCTCTACATCAATACTCTGAAGTACAAAAAAGGCATATTATCCTTTCAAGAGCATCCGAATTGAGCTTATAATGGAGTTACATGAGAAAAATGCAGATTAGATTGAACACCTGTTAAATTTGCCTCACCCTAAAATATGCCAACTAGAAAAAGTTTTAATATACCTTGCCACTGAACTAGAAAATGCTGAAGTAAATCTTGGCAAATGTTTGATCAACTTTCAGTTAATATTTTTCTCTGATATTTAAGTGATGCAACATTACCTATAAGTTTTATCAGATCCTGAGGTAAAACAAGAGAGCATGAAAGCATCACTTATTTCCTTTTAATAATGTAATGCACTGTCTCTACAATATTCAATACTCTGAAATACAAAAACGCATATCACAATCAATTTCAGAACTGCATGGAAGTCTGTAGGTAACAACAGGCTGTGTTGGAAAATAACATCCACTTCATTTTTTAATTGAAATTGAAAACCCCACCTGATTAGACTTTCAGAATGAATCTTTTTGCACAAATTATAATTCTGTTCATATATTCACCATATTGACAAGTGCAAATCATCTCAATTACAAAGCAGCAACAAATTGATTCAAGACTCTCTGGAAAATCCCCAGACATCACCTAAATCATGTATTTTGATGCCTCTTGATTTGAATTTTTCATCTATAAAAAATTACCAGTAATATAAAAGGATATTGGAAGTCATGCTTAAGTTTCTACACCAGTAAAAATACTTGAAACAAATCCTAAAAAAATTGGATTTTTCCTTCCAAATTTCAAACAGTTTTCTTTAATGAACAATGAGCAAGATAAATAAAATTCTGAAGTTGCAAAGTTGAATTCTAAATGACTAATTTTCTTAAAATTAACAATACCTTTTATTTGCTCATATACAAAAGGAACATAGGTAGTTGATAAATCCATGTATTTCATTTACATAAACTGACTAACAGGTTATTTAATAAAGGACATCAATTTAAAATAAATGATCCAAATTACAACTCTGTACATCAAAATAATTTTTTTTCAATTTGTTTGACTTTGAAGACCCAAGTACATAACTATTACAAAAACATTACCTTTGCATTACAAAATTACTATAATTTCAAGAGCATCCAAATTGAGCTTAAAATGTAATTATATGTCTGAGAAAGTGTAGGTTAGATTGAACCCCTGTTAAAGTTGCCTGTTCCTATAATCTGCTAACTAGACAAACTGCTAACATACCTTGCCAGTGAACTAGAAAATGCTGAGCAAATCTATAGTCCACTTTCATTTAATACTTTTCATTAATATTTTGTTAATGCAACATCACCTATTGGTTTTATCTGACCTTGAAGTTAAGATTTCTTTTTTGTAGAATGTTGTAAAAACAAAGCTGATTACAAGTACGGTAATATCAAAGACTGATAAGAATGAAAAAAAAAGGTGATGCAAATTTCATTAGGACCCAAACAGAATACTGATAACAGTAAAAGAAAATACACATAACTATCCCCGATAAGCAAGTAAAAAGTCACTTTATGTAACCAAATACAAAGCTCTGCTCTCAGAGGAACCACAAAATGCCTGAGAGCTTCTGTCTAAAAAGGGGAGTTCGGCAAGTATAAGCTTTCAAAAAGCAGTTATGAAAGTCACCCAAAGCCACTGATTGACTAACATCTGATTTCTCCTTACAATATTACTCCTGAATCACACATCAAGGTCAGGAGAATAAAGGAAATTATCACTAACTAAAGAGGATCTTGATTGTTAAAACAAATTCTCCTAGTTAGCACCTTGAGAAATGTATAAAGAACAATATGGAGAGTATGAGTTCTGATTTTATACCGTAGAGCTCCAGCATTGGAAGCCATAAGCTTGAGAACAGACTTATCTTTTTTTACATAATAATAATTTTATAATTCAGCTTAATTTGTTACCTGAGTACTCCATGACTAGATCTTTGTGATCTGCAGATAAATCCACAGGCACATCATCCAACTGGGGTTTTGTGCTTCCTCCAGATATCACCACAGCACGACCAGGTTTACTAACTCCTCTTTTTTTGAACCTCTCTTTCTCACTGATGGTATGTTTCCCTACATTTTAATAGAAGTAAATTAAACATTTAGGTCAAATGTGAAATTTTTAAGAATATGGTTTTTCTGTTTGAGTTCAAGATCCAAAAGCAGGCAAATTAGGAGAAAACAAAGTGCTTGAGAAGTGATAGAACAGGATTTTTCATTGGCAAATGCTGTAGCAGAAGAGAAGTTAAAAGGAAACCTCTGCTGGTAGAAAAATATTTATAAAATATAGAAACAATCTTAAAAGTTAACATTTCTGGGCCTAAGTGAGATTAAGTATTTAGTGTAAGAAAAGAGTGGAACAAGATATAGGCTCCTTTAAAACTGGAATTTTGAGCATTCTGCAGTGTTGGGTCTCACTTCACGGTTCCCACTACTGTCTACATGATCCCTGGAAACAAAAGAGCTACTGTGTGATGATAACAGTGGCAAAGGTATTACTGACAATAAACAATGCAAAATGACATCTACTGGGAAGTGCTTGTGGTTACTATAGGTAGTTTTTTGGCTCTTGTTTTTCTTTATAACTCACATGAACAACCCAATGGCAATGTGTGAGTATGTGTACTTTGGTTCATGTGCAATTTATACTTTCAAAAATACAAACTTTACAATCATGGTATTCTCAGGTAAATGAGCCACTACAAAAATTGGCTCATAAGTCAGAGATCTGCTTTTACTTATGCTTTCCTATATCCAAGTATTTTGTAAACATATTGTTATTGTGAAAATAATTTTAAATGAAAAGTAAATAAAAGGGTTAGTTTTGCCTATAATAATGACTAGTATTTTGAAAGACACTTCACCTTTGAGTTTACCTGAAACTAGAATATTCTTATGTAAAAACTGGTTCCTAATGAAAACACCATCTTGATCAGCTTTATTAGCATATGAGGTTTCTCACAGAGAAGTTAAAGATAAACTTCCCTCAAATTGACTTCCAAAATCTCAAATTAGGCTTTCACTGCCTTTCTAAAGTGCTGTTCTTTCTTTGTGTGGTGACTAGAATGACAGCATATGACAACTTCCTAATCACAAGACTTAGACAAATGAAAAATTGATCTTTATCTCCAAAAAAATAAATCACACACTTATAATAAGATTTTTCTTTGTATGTCTCAAAACAGAGTCAAGTTACAAAGACAATCACAAGCAAATAGGGTAATCAAGGATGATAACATTATAAGATGGTCAAGTAAATATTATCAATTTTCTTGAGGTAAATTCAACTTAGTTTGTTATAGTTTTAGTGAAAATTCACTGCAACAATTTTAATACATGGAATTCCTCTTAGTATGCTTCAGGCTGTTAATCAAACAAAAATAACGAGACGATTCCTCCAGAAAATGGAGTGGGCGTGTGGTCAGTGATAGTTACGAGATGTTAAACATAAATTTTAGATTGTCTCATAAAATAACAAAATTAAAAGCTAAGCGTTGTGGTGTCGCCATACCACGGATTAAAAATTAAATCAGAGCGAAACATGGCTGTTTTATCTTCAAGCAATCGTTCTTGCTTCTTCAACGAATTGTACAGGAAAAAGAAGTATTTCTATGCGAAGTTTTATTCGTTGTCATCTTAGGCATCTTCCGGTGTGCACAAGTACCACGCCGTCGTAGACTTTGTATTTAAGTACCATTTCTCCTCTTACAATTTGTCGCAGCAAGAAGGAAAACCTTCCTAAGGGGGTATCAATTTAATGGTGTCCGATTACACAAAAGAAAATATCTCCTCTCCCACTGAAAAAAAGGACATTACTCGATCAATCAAATATTAGTCGCTTTCCCAAAATCAGCGGCTTTTAATTCACAGGGTGCGACGGTCTCACATCTAATAGATTTCACCGCCTTGAGCGGTAAATTTATGAACAGTAGAGAGACTTTGTCTCTAGAATAGCCGTTATTTAATACGATAGGAAACAGTAACGTAATTTTTACCTTTTCTTTTCTCTTTTGAATGCTCTGTACCGACATTCTTTTGCTCAGAAATTGTCAATTCTTGGCCGTCGGAATCCGAATCCGCCATTTGGAAAAAGTTAACTTGACAGTATACGTTCCAGACCTCCTCGACCTTTATAGAATCCTTATAAAAAAAGACTGGAGCGATTGGAAAAATAAGAAGCTAACATGGCCGACGACATCAACGAAGAGCATCCTCTTGATACTGTTATTTCGAGCTTTGAGGACGCTTTTGATCATCCAGAATTGTATCTTAAACCTCCCACTTCTCTTCATAAGAATACGTTAATTGCAATCAAGCAGATATTTGACTTTTGCAAGAGAGATGAACTACGTGGAAAGCGTTCTGTTGCGAGCACGTGTCCTTTGCAGGAACTCTTGATCGAAAATTTTGATGATGAACAGATATGGCAAGAAATTGAGCTGCAGAATACTCCTTTGATGCGTGGACTTAAGCAAGAAATTTTAGATTTGAAAGAAAATCCTAACAAGCTTTCTCTTTTACTTGGAGGAAGACATATCGTGAATCACAGACAGGACTTGGAAGAGAAAAAAGCCAATTTTGGAAATGACAATGGCGAAGTAAAACATGCAGAGAATTCTGATGATCAGTTGGATAAAGATGATGAAAATGGTGATGAAGACGATAATGATGATGACATCAGCTGCAATGATGATGATGATGATGACTACAATGACAATGGTGGAGATCATGAAGAGGAAGATGCCAATATTAATGATGATGATAGTAGAGAAGTTAGCTTTTCTAATGGTGGTAACAGGAAATCAAGACCATCCAAGAAAAAATCTCAAGTTGATGACACTTTCTTCAAACTTTCTGATATGCTTGAATTTTTAGATAAAGAGGACAGAAAATATGAAAGAGCTTATAAAAAGGACAACAAAATAAATGATGAAGATGAGGATGTTAGTGGCAAAGAAGATATTGAGCCTATTGACTACTTTATGGATATGGATAGTGATGACACTGATGATGATGAAGATGAGGGGTGGAGTGAAGCTATAGATGCAACAGAGTCTTTTGTTAGAAGGTATGCCTGATGTGCTAGGATTCTACAGAAATTAGTCTTTTTCAACCTCCTCACTCTCAGGAATGACCTAAGAACAATTTTGTTCCTACAATATCAAAAAGTTTTCAAGGAAAAGGGTGATGAGAAATAGGAAAATACCTGCAAGGAGATAACTTTTATTTCACACAAAATTCATACAGCTACAACTACAAGACATGTATGACAGACAGTACAAATAATTTATGTTTAGATGTTCTGAGTGAGAAAGTAACATACATGAAGTGGTATCTCAAGACACACTCAATGTATTTAAGGAAAGTATCTTGCCCAGGATCACCAAACATTAAACTTAGGTAGGACTTATAATTTAATTATGCTGGATGAACATGATCCTGTGAAAGTTTGGCATGTATATATAAAGCTTCACTTTTGTAGCCTTCACCATATTTATTGTTTTTGAAACAATAAAAAGACAGGTAACAGCATAATAGCTAGGATTTTGGCTTACCAGTGATTATATGAATTTTTTTACTTTTGTTTGAGAAGAAAAAAGGAGAAAAATAGGAAAGTAACCAGAAGGAAAACATCTGCTATCAAAATGAAATATGCAGACTTCTTTGATCCCCCTGAGGGAGAGGATGGCGATGGAACAAATGAACAAAATGGAGATGTTGACGAAGATGAAGAAGAAGAAGAAATGGAAGTAGATACAGAAGCTGATACAGATCAAGACACAGAGGATGATGAAATTGCTTCTATAGGTCACAAGGAAGAGGATACTAAAATATTGTCAAATTTTGAGAAAAAACAAGAAAGGGTAAGCTTGAGAGTACACATCAAAATTTTTAATCAAAATTGAAGGTTACTAGTAAATAGGAACTCTATAACTCAGACAGTAGTGCTTATTGTGGTTTTGCCTTCTGTATTACAAAACATTCTTTAGACTGAGCCACACACCAGAAAAAATATTTAATGAAACTGTATGATCATGTTGAAATACTCTCAGGGATCTTCACTTATCTAACAGAAATAATTTTCAGTGGTCAGTGCAAGGTAATTCAGTCCATGTAGTATTCTTTTAAACGTCTCAGCAGTTGTGTAGGTGTTAATGGCATATAATAATGTACCAGTGGCTTACATGTACCATACTCATAAACCATTTTAATGCTTTTGTAAAATGATGTCACTATAGTAATTAGAGATCTTGTGAGGATGTTTTTCAACCCCTTAATTCACCCAAGTGACCAGAACATATTAATTTCCCCTTGCGACATCACTACATTAACAAGTACCAGTACACAAATGATGAGAATAAAGACAAATATCAACCAGGAGATTATTAGTTAATCCAATACCAAGTTCTCAGGACTAACATCACAAGAATTCTATGGCAGGCAGTAAGGAGAAATACTGTACTCATGAGATCTTGGGAGTGAAAGGTTTAATACTATTTTCCCCTTCATTCCTGTACTTTGCTGGGATTTGAGGATTTATTGGACAAGGACCACCATAAGAGATCAATTTGAATGAAGCCATAGAAAGATTCCAAATTAATCTTTGTTTTCTTTATTTAGTTGAAACAGAAAATTGAAAAGCTAGAGAAAGCCAACTTGGCTGAAAAACCCTGGCAGATGTCAGGAGAAACTGGTGGAACTGTGCGACCAATCAACAGCTTGCTTGAAGAAGATGTCAGCTTTGACCATGCATCCACTTCTGGTAATCAAACTGATTACAACTCTTTTTCCATAAGTTTAGTTATTGACAATGATTTTATTGTGTCCCGAGTTGAAATTAGTGTTCATTTATATACAGCATCACTCTTGAGAAATTTCTCCAATGATCACGGCTGTTACTCAACAAGGCATTAAGAATGTTGTTTAAAGTTTCAAAATTAGAGCTTTTAAGTTTGAGATTCTCAATTAGAAAGAAGCACAATGAGTCCAATGAGATTTCTTACTTCCCTCAAAGCCCTTGATACCTTGAGACTGAATCAGGATTCATAAGATCATGATTTTACAGGAACCATGCTTTGTGTCACCCCTATGTATTTTCTGGAGAACAGATTTACTTAATATGAAGTAATGTAAAGTGGCAAGTAATTAAAGGTGATCACACATTTGATCTCAACCCATAGAAAAATTACTTTGGTAAATGTTTTAAACTGTTTGGTTTTGTCAGTGAAGTATGGCAGGCGATATATGCAAACTAGCACATTGCAAGTTGTCAAATGTCTCTAAAATAGGTGTGATACTTTCACATCTTAGTGATGCTCTATTTCTGTCACAGCTCCAGACATAACAGAGGAGACAACACAAAACTTGGAGGATATAGTGAAACAGCGCATCAAAGATGAGGTACATTTTTTTACCAATTAAGGATGTGATACAGTGCCAAGTTGAGTGATGTGATGTTATGTGATATAGTGTGATGCAGTGCCGTGTAGCAAAATCACCTGATTTTTCACAAATTTTACTCCCTTTTTTTCTTCTTTTTGAGACAGCTGCCACATTAACTTTTATGACAGGATCTAGGATTGTTAGTTCTTACTCTCAACTAGAATATTTCATTTTGTGACATCCCTAGTATTTCTTTACAAGTCACCTGCCAATGGCTGCAACAATATAAAGCATTTGAATTAGATTTTGTTGAGAAACTGTCAATGGCATGTTTTTACAGGCATGGGATGATGTTGAACGTAAAGTTAAACCTGTCACTGAGCCATATGAGTACAAGAAAAAGTTACCTCTGGATCAAGAAAAGAGCAAATTAAGTCTTAGCCAGATCTACGAACAGGAATATCTTAAACAAACACAGGTACAGTAAATACCAGGCAAGAAAATAGAAATTGCCAGCTTGGACAAAAAATTAGTTATCAATTACAGGATTATCATTGGTAGTTGATTAACTAGCATCCAAACTAGCATCATAAGAATTTTACAGCACACAGTAAAGATAATGAGATGCTGAGGGTGAAGGGTGAACCCTTCAATAGTCAACAAAGTCTTCACATCTATTTATTATAATAATTAAAATTGTTAATACTTTTAGTCCAGGATGATTTAAGTTATGTTATGAAATGTCATTTTTAAACTCTATATTTTGCAGGTGGAAGCTGAAGAGAAAGAAATTGAAGAGCATGCAGAGATCAAAGCCTTGATGACAAAACTTTTTGTCAAGCTAGATGCTTTGTCAAACTTTCATTTTACACCTAAACCAGTAAGTTGTCCAGTTCAGACCTAAAGTAAAGAATTCTCTTCCAGAATCTATTATTATAAGTTGCTCTTAGTAGAAACTCTTTTGCTTCTCTCGTGTTCTCCAAATTTCCAGCATGCATCCATACCTTGATCTAAGCATGCCAAGCATGAATTAATTCTTAATTCTTTTATTAGCGCTTGGGGCTTAGCCTACAAGCAGGCCCCCACTAAAAACACTGCTGCATAAATGTTTCTATACCCCTGAGAGAGTTTGAGGCATTGGACAAAGCAAACTGGCTAAAGGTCTGCAGCTCAAGGCCTCAAACTTTCTGGCAGGTTAAGAAATGCTTGCTCCTCAGCATAATGACAAGCTGTCCAGGGTTGAGTTAGATGTGTACACTGCAAGCCAGTCCCAATGTTGACTTTCTCTTATTTCAGCCCAAACCAGAACTTAAAGTTGTCAGTAATGTCCCAGTGATATCTGTAGAAGAAGTGACCCCAGCAACTGTGAGTGATGCAATGATGTTGGCTCCAGAGGAGGTCCATGAAAAGAAGAGAGATCAGAAAGGAAGTTCTGAGAAAACAGACACTGACAGAAAACGCGACAGAAGGGCCAAGAAAAGAAGGCAACATGACCAAGCTGCGGCAAGAGGAAAGAAAGCCAAACTTAAGGAAAAGCTCAAACCTGGCCTGGGAAACAAGTATTCTAAAAAGGCTGCTCTAAAGAAATTGGAAAAAGATCAGACATCTCAAAAAAATGTGTCTGTGTTGAGAGACGAAGGTAGTGATAAACCTGTCAAAACTTCATCAACCTTCTTTTCTCGCCTTCAAGATGAAGTCAGGGATCAAGTAAAAGCTAAGAAAGATAGCAAGAAAAAGAAGGAGAAGTCTGCTGCTAAAGTGTCCCAATTGAAACTCTGAAGTCAAAGCATGGTGTGGTTCTACATTCTGCTTGTCTAAATGATTACTGAGCAATTCTGCATGAGTGACCTGTCCACAGTTGTGATGTGAGGTTGCATTGGAAGATTTGTGTGTCAAGTATGGACATGCACACCTCTGAAGCTAATTTAAATTGTAAAATTAGTGAACAAGTTCGGAAGTAAATTCTGTTCGTGATGATACACAATAAAGGTATCTGAGAGAAGAAGGTCTATAACCGTATGTCTATCATCTCTAGTCCTATTTTCTGAAGCAAAACAAGTAATCAATTGCTGTTGATAACTTTGGTGGAGCTTAAATAAAAGAATTTGTTTGATAGTCATTTGGTATCAGTGTAACATTAAAAACATATGTTGGCAAGCTAAAAGTGAGTGTGGACAAGAGGTTTGATGTCAGTTATGAAAAAGTGGCAATTGCTTACCAATCATAATCATTGTCACCATTACAGCCTTTTCAAAGTCTATTTTTTCTTAAAGGATAATAAAAGGGGAGGATGTGTTTTTTCTACTATTCCTTCTTTCATGTTTAAACCCAGCAACAATGGTAGTTTTTTTTTAAACAAGTTTAACTTATTAAACTCAACTTTGAAGCTCTCTGAGAAGCTACAAACTACAACAAAAGTTACACACCTAACAAAACCTAGGTTGTTATCAACATAACTATTATTTTACAATTTGATATACAGACAAATAACATTGTCTAACATATTTACAATTCTGGCATAGATAATTGGGAGGGAAAGATCCTGTTAAAATTTCCATCCTTCTCCTGGCTTAGGTGCATCTTTGTACTCATCTATTGGAGTACTAAAGGCAGCATTTTTACGGAATGGGGTGTCCTTGGTCCGCACTTGAGATACACCCTAGAAAGAAAAAAAAATCCAGATTATTATAGGTTTAGACTACACAAATTTCAGGTTGCAGTTAATGTTTTCTGTAAGTTTTTCTCAGTATATTTGAGGACTTGATGCATAAGATAAGCCCTGTTCACAAATATGATAATTGGTTCACATCTCATTATTACCTGTAAAAACAACCTTGCAGGCTGCTAAATGTAATTAATCAAGACCCTGCTAGAGCTCTCTTCCAACCTTACTAAAAATGTTGACATCCATAGTACTTACATGAACTTCTTCAGATCTTTCCAGCCAAAAGGTTGCAGGTTGTTCTGTCTTGACATCATGATCCTGAGTAGCAAGACAAAACAGAAATTTTCTAAGGATTATTTTGTAGAAAATACAGGTTGTAAAGTCTGAAGGTCAAGTGGCTCTCATCTGCCTATCCCCAGTTTTTGTAGTATAACGTAACCAGGAGGATGTCCCAAGTGGATGGGATGCCAAATCATTGCAGGTGACCCCATGGATTATTTCAAGTTTTCCTTAGTTTCTGATGGTTTTCTAATTCCCATTTAAACTCCTGAGCTGAGTTGTTCAAAGCTGGTTTAAGAAAAGCCAGGGTTAGTGTGAAATTTGATTTCAGATCTGAATTTCAAAGCTTTGAAAGAAAGTCAACATCAACAAAATTTTGTCTACAATTTCATAATTAGATGGTTTAAAAAGAATAAGGAAAATTATCCTGAAGGGGCTTTAGAACAGAGAAATATTGAAACCTGGATTAACATTTAACCCTGGGTTAGCACTAATCTGCCTTCAAACAACTGGGCCCTGTTGTAGTTAGGTGCCTTGCCAAAGAATACAACACAATAACCCATATGTATTGCGTTAACTAAATAATTAAGGCAATCTGCTTCAAGTAGTCTATTCCAAAAAAATTCTAGAGGTTGTCAGAAAAATTGGAGTGCATGGTTAAGTGTGAATGACAACAGCTTAAATAACAGTTACAGAATCATCCACTGAAAACATTTCCTTCTAAATGTTTTTAATAAGCTTACCCGTGTTGGTACCTTGACTATCGGAGTAAACTCTGTAACAAATTAACAAATAACAACAATGATATTAACACACCAATTTGTGATACAAGTTACTGACAATAAAATACATAGTTAGGAAGATTCAAGCACATTACTAACAGGTAAGTGATATTTTGCACAAATTATGACATTACAAGTAATTTGCTGTTAACATTTAACATGACAAACCTTTTGAAAAATCCTTCTTGGTTGTGGAAAGATATTCCACAGTAGGTGGTGGAGGGTTAAATTCTTCATCAACTTCAGCACTAAAAACAAAAGAAGCAAATTCACTTCTCTTTGCAATTCCAATATGTTGTCATGCCAGCAGATTATGAGAACAGGCAAGCTTATCAGCTGGAGAGTGTTATTTCATATGAGACCAAATTCTGATCTTTAAGTCACAAGGAAATGTATAGCAGACAATAGGGAGGATTACTAATTGGATCTTGGGAGTTCAATGGTTGACTACCATTGTTCATGGCAAAACCATAACGCTCATTTAGTTAAAAAAAATCCCTACAGAAAAGGTATTTTAATTTTGTAAATTTATAACAGTGAAGAAGCATATAAAACTGGGTAACCTGCAGATGCAAATTAAATGCAAATGTAGTAATTAATAAAATTTCTTCCATTGTCATAAGTGTTCGTTTATTGGAGTCTGTAAACAGGAGAGTGACCAGTTCATTTGCTGGCCAAAACAAAAGTTTCATTCACTTGGCATCCAAGCAAACTTCCTTTTAATATACCTCACTTGTCTGTAGAGCTCTTCCTGTAAAAGTTGTTGCCTCAAACCAATTTTTCGTACTCCAAGTGTCTCTGGTTTCCTGTATGAATCTCTGACAGTTGACAATCTCTCTGCTTCGGCATTAAAATCTGTCGTCAAGATACCCTGATATAGAAAAGATGAACAATTTCATAACAAATCAATCATCACGATGCATATTGGAACATCTTATCAACCATGATAATAACTTGTACAGGCATGAATTTAAATAAACTCCTCTTTTCAAGAAAACGACAAAGAAGGGACAAAGGATACGTCAGTCCTTCCCTCGCCTAAGTTTCCCCCCTCAACCAAGAGGAAAGCAGTGGACAGGTATGACTACCAACATGGGTGCCTCGATGTTCTCCAAACTATTTTCTTCTCTAATCCCCCCCCCCCCCCCCCCCTTCAGCAATCCACAAGAATAAGTTACACTTTCATTAATTATTATATATCTTCCTTTACCTTATGTCCTTGCTTATGTAGCTCAGAAACATCGACATCACTGGCTTTATCAAACTGTTCAGTTTGTCGCTGCAGGCAAAAAGGGTAAAAAACAGGTTTAATATTTCCAATTTTGACAACCAATACCTGTACTTCTAAAGCTTCATGTGAGTTTTCACTACATTATAAACACTGACACCGAGTTTTACTCGCTTACCTCTTCTACCCAGTTGTCTAAGAGAGTTTTTCCAGAAGAATTGTTATGTCTGGTAACACTTAGAGTATCTGCACTCATTTTATAAAATAAAAGATGCAAAAAATGTAAACCAGAATCGAAAGAAAGCAACAAGTTTGTCTTCAGTACTCGACCCCAGCTGGTAATAATGCAATTATTTTGTTGTCCTGGAAACTACTCTCATTGGCATTATGGGAAGGTTTACTACATTAGCATAAATAAAGATCGTCGGTAAACATACAAGATGGCGGCAAGCTCATCTTCAGAAGAATCGCTCGCCTCGCTCTGTAGGGAAGCGGAGCAATTGAAAGTGAAGATAGATGAAGAGAAGCAGAAGGTTAACGATCTTCAACGTAAGTTGTTATTTATCAATCGAGAGGGTAGGGTCGGTATCTGTCACCTGCTTAGATGTGAAAATGAACAGCGCTCACTGGCTTTCGAAACTAGAGTTGATCTTTTGCATCAGCTGTTGTCTCGGAACGTGACTTTAGATTGTGCTTGCGATGAGCTCTCCCTGGTTATAATACTGCGATTACTATTCCTTATGATTCTGTGATTTAATGATTAGTCACGCTTTCAAGCGTGTTACATGCACCTACTGCAAAAGTTTTGTTACGAATCTTTCGTTTAATTTGTCTTGAGCAGGTCTGATTTATACGAGACCTCTATTAGACGAGAGTTATGCAATATCGTGCCCTAAGATATATTGTTTCTCCTTGTTCATTAAAATCGTTTTAAATTTATTTCAACTTATAACGCGTTATTTTGATTTATATAAGATAGCAAAAAATGTTTGGCGAAAAGATCAACTTAACAAATAGATTTCATGTTATTGTGCATCAGGTGCGTAATAGATCACAGATGACGTCAAAATGTGGTAAGAACAAAAAAAGGGGCACACGGAGCGTAGCCTAGTGTGTTCCTTAGGCCCAAGTTGTTTCCTTTTTTCCCATTCATATCTGACTTAGAGGTCTTTTGATTTCAGTAAAAGATGTTGCTCAGAGAGTGGACAACCTTCTCCACTCACCTCTCAAAGTTCGCAGAATTCTGAAGGGTCATCAAGGGAAGGTGCTCTGTTTAGATTGGGCACAGGACAGACGTCACCTTGTCAGCAGCTCACAGGTTGAATGATTTGAATTACATTTGATATCTCTTACTGTCTCTCTTGCTTTAATCAGTTGAGTGAATGATTGTGGACACTGCAGCTAGTTACAGAACAATGGCACAATCAGTTAGTCTCAATGTATGATAAGTCCAAACAATGGTGTAGAAGGAGACTAATGATCTGTGGAACACTTCACTCTCTTTGCTACCTTAAGGTTTGGTCCTCACTACCCCCTCCTCCATCTCCCCTTGTCCACCCCAAACACAGTGCAGTATTTTGTTTTCTTACCTTGTGGCTAGATATTGATATTTCATTTTTGTGGTGGAACAGTGATCGACTTGTTTAGAGTTGATAGTCCTTGTACTTTTATCCTGTTCTTGAGTATTTTATTTTCTTTCTTTTCCTAGGATGGAAAAGTGATCGTCTGGGATGGATTTACAACTCACAAGGTATATAATTATTTATTCTAACAAATAAAGCACTGACTGGTCAGTCTTGTCCTCTCATAAGGACAAGACTGATACAAGCAAAAGGAATACCTCTTTTGTTCTCCAAGCCCTGTTTTTAAGCTGGATTGTGGTGTCTCAAAATAGCTTGTTGTGTATGAAAGTACTTGTTTTCTAGTTCAGAATCAAAATATATTACCCTTAACCTTTTGGTATTTTTTTTCTCTAACAGGAACATGCTATTTCCATGCCAACAACATGGGTCATGGCTTGTGCTTATTCACCGACAGGAACCATGGTTGCTTGTGGGTAAGTTAAGCTGTAATTTTGATGGAAAGTCGTATAGAGAAGTAGTTCCTCTTTGTCAACCAATTCAATGCAAAACTTACTCCTGTCAGAACTAGCTAGGTCATTCAATAAGGTGATCTCCCAACTCTCAATAACTCTGCAGTCCAACATCAGCATTTATATTCTCTTTACTATTCTCCATATCTTTCCCTTGGTACTGGTAAAGAGAATTTGTCCAACAATCAAAGCTTCTGAAGTTTATTCTCATGATCTTAATGAATGATTACAGTATTATTGCAAGAAGAAATTAGATTCATGTCACTCTAAGGATTTAAAAGATTAAGAGTTGTCCACTCTGAAGTTGCACATTACTCATTATATCATTGTGTCTTTGAGTATGCAAAGTGGGCTTGTTTATTTGAGTTCTTTTTCATATGCTTTACTTTTTTTTCGGGTGGAAGAATAATCTTTGTCCTCCCAAGATGTTCAGTCAACAATCCATGTGTATTAGTCTTGGTAACGATAAGTGGAATTAGGACAAATCTTTCAGTTCAAACATGATATGAGATTATTACTTTTCCTCCTAGGGGACTTGACAACAAGTGTTCTCTGTTTAAATTGAGCTTTGATGATGATGCTGCCACTAAGAAACAAACTGTTGCTATGCACACCAGCTACATGGCTTGCTGTACATTCACAAACTCAGACCAACAGGTAAATATAGTACAGTAATAACAGTATTTTTAATAGTAATCAGCATGAAGCAAGAGACATGATGGCCTTATCATTAGTGCACAGGAATTCTGATCAGAGGGTTACTAATTGATCCGATACCAAATTCTCCAAATAACATAATGAGAATCATTTGCAGACAGTAAGGAGAATTACTAATGAGATCTTGGGAGTTAAAGGGTTAACAAGCTTGGTTTTCCATGGTTATGTTTCGTAGATATTGACTGGCAGTGGAGACACAACCTGTGCCTTATGGGATGTTGAGTCAGGACAGCTGTTGCAAAGTTTTCATGGTCATTCGTCCGATGTGATGAGGTGGGGAGGGGCATCTTCCTATTGCTAAGTCTATGTATCCCAAATTTTCTGATATCTTGAACCTAGACAGCTTCTCAAGACATGTTACACCCTATCATTACTATTTATTTTTTCCACATAGTTCTCTCTACATTTGCAATGGCACTGACAAGGAGAATTTGTTTGACAATCCAGAGTTTCTTGAATTGATGATCATTTCCTTAATTCTTATGTCCTTGATGTTTAATTCAAGGATGATACTGTAAGGAGAAGTTAGAAGCCAGTCACTCCTTGGAGTTGAATGGAAATTAGAACTTAAAAAGTTAGGAATTAGAAATTTGAAGCCAGTCACTCTGGGGAGTTCAACAGTTAAGTCAGTCTGTAGAAACCTATCCCCCTCCTAGCCCCAGTCCGCACAGCTATCTATAAGTTTGACTTTCATGCAGATCATTCAAATAAAAAAGGTGTGAGCTTGAGTTAAAAGGTAATTGCAAGTACTTCCTTATGCCAGCTGTATTTCAAAATTGTCAGGTAGATTGTTCTTTCATCGAGTATTCCATGTTTCTTATGTTATTAGTATTACCTATGTTATACATATTTCTTGTTATTTGTATTTCTTATGTTATTTCCAATTTTGTAGTTAGCCATTCTGTTCATGATGTATCATGTTCGTAATACTTTACTTTGAAACCACTGGCAATGGCATGTAAATAAAAGAGTTCAGTTGAGTCATCAGGAAATTAAACTTCTCTTAAATTTATTGCTGGTACATTGGTTACACAGTCTATCTGTGAGTCTGTCATTGTCCCTGGATGTCTCAAACCTGTGGTATCTAGTATATTTGCTATTCCATAACAACTAATGAAAGAAAAACAATTATTTAAGGTACTTTCCAATTAATTATTTACAGCATTGATCTTGCACCTTCAGAGGGAAGGAATATATTTGTTTCTGGTGTAAGTAACTTCATTCAATCTTTTACAGAAACTAGAGGAAGTGTTGTTTTTTTTTTTTAAAGAATCAGGATGTTTGAATATAGAATCATTGTACATCATGTAACATTATGTTACCTTTTGTTACTTTACACATTCTATAAATTAATTATCTTAACATGAAGTTTGTTTAAATGGTTAAAATTTTCTCTATTGTTTTTAATCATTTAATACAAATATTTCGCCAAATAGGGATGTGATAAAACTGCTCTTGTTTGGGACATAAGGACTGGACGTTCTGTGAACTCATTTCAAACACATGAATCTGACATCAATGGAGTAAGGTACAGTAGACTACTGTTCATTGGGGTATTACATACCTTGTTTTACTTTGCCTAATGATTTATAACAAAGTTTGTGCACACTCAAGTGGGTTGCAAAGCCAGACTGGTTCTCTATCATTGTTCCCCATTGCCAAACCAACTGCCAGAGATCTAACTAGGATTGCCAGTCAGCACTTAACAGAAAAATCTTGTAATTCATTTGTAAACTGGCCTCTTTGTTTTGTTCTTGTTAGGTTTTACCCCAGTGGTGAAGCATTTGGCACTGCTTCAGATGATGCAACAGTGAGTAGTGCTGCCAGAACTTTGTTACATTTCCTTACAGATAATTGACTACTAATATCATACTCTGATTATTGATTTGATGCTTGGTGATGGTTCTGTAAGGCCTGGTAGATGTTAATGACTGGTTTAAATAATTATGTGGCCTTTTTTCTCTGCAGTGTCGTTTGTATGATTTAAGGGCAGATCATGAGTTAGCAGTGTTTTCTAAAGAACACATTATTTTTGGAGCAGCTGCTTTAGATTTCTCATTAAGTGGTGAGTTCTCAGACTGGAAATATTAAATGTTTTTTTTTTTAATCAGCTAAGGTCTAACCTAAACTTTAGGGCCAAAAGGTGGGTTCTCAACCAAGGAGCATTATTGTTTACTAATGGACTGTTGGGGAAACCTGATCAAAAGCTCCAATGTAGATGGAAGAAAGAAAAAGGATAGAACTAGGGTGGTGAGGGATAAACTAGATGGAAATGGAAATTGAATGAAATACATTGAAATAATCATATGACTGTTCATGTGCAAATTTATGATTGAAACGTGTTTACTTGTTTTGTTATTCATTGTAGGAAGATTATTGTTCACTGGGTATCATGATTACACCATGAATGTCTGGGATACTCTCAAGGTAAGATGACTGTATTATGGTAATGTGTACTTCATATAATGGAAGTTAAGATACTATCGACATTGAATGATATACCTCAAAAGGATAAAGGGCAAAGTTCAATTTTTATCCATAACAGGCTGAGCAGCTGTCAGTGTATTATGCCCATGACAACCGCATCACTTGTCTAGAAGTATCCCCAGATGGGACAGCAGTTGGCACAGGAAGCTGGGACAACACACTGAGAGTAAGTTGGGGGTAAATCTCTCCAGAACCTCAATCAGTAGAAAATTGGGTTGACATGTTGAAACTACTTCTGAGGAAGTATTAGGACATGTAGTTTAGAGTGAACCCTAGTTTCTCACAATACTCTCTTGTCCCCATTCGGTGATGTACACTCACAGAAAGTGAAGTGCAAAGTTGTAGTAATGGAGAGGCAGTGAAATGAGGGGTGTAAGAGATTTGCTTATTGGTTCACCATTCTCAGTGTTTTTTCCCTGTTACTTGACTGTGGCACAATTATATTGTTAGCATAGTTCAGTTTTATTCAACACTCAGTTGAGTGTTTTTTATTCAAATGGCTAATGTGTGAGTGATTTTGTCACAGATTGTGGTATATGCAACTGTGTTGCAACAGAGTGTTTCTTCCCTGGTACTTGACTGAGGCACAAGTATATTGTTAGCATGGTTCAGTTTTATTCTTTTACACAGTGCACTATATTTTACCTAAATTTCGAAACATGAAAGGAAAGACAGAAGCAGCTTTGTGGTTAAAAAACTGATGAACCCCTTAGGTCAAAAATGAGACTCTCTTGAAAATTTGTACAAAAGAAATTATTTATCTTTGCTAGTTATTGACAGGAATCTCCGAAAAAAATTAAAGAGCAGATTAAAAACTAGGCTGCTTCTCTGATTGCTCTCAACCAGTTCTCTTGTTGTTTTTTTTTAGGTTTGGGCTTGATAAACCAGTGTTATATGATTGTGCAGCCATCCTCCATCCATCATAATAAGAGTACACAGATTTTATTCATGGTTTGATGTATATTGCTGTTACTGAGCTGTTTGGCTTGTGAACCTTGGAAACTTCAAACCTGATTTTAGTTTTGAGCATCTACATCACAGGTTTTGCATCAAAACATTGTTAGACTAAGTATTAATATGTTAAGTGAATCGCTTTTTGTGCTTGTTACAAAAATGCCAACTCATTAAAAAAAAGGAAGGTATAAGGGTGTAGCAAAGCTGCATCCAAGATCACTATGGCTGCAGACTGCAAGGAGATTCAGAGGCATGTGCAAGCAGAAGAATTTTATTCACTGAAAAGCTGCTCACTTATGTTCCTCAGCTTCCTTTACAGAACTGCAGAAAAAACCTATTGCTCTTAATCAAGCAATTGTTGACTATTTCTCTTATTTACTTTGTCTGAATACAAATTTTAAGATGTATCATGAGAATTATTTAATGGATTTTTAGGGTAAAAATTTTCATTTAGTAATATATTTAAAAATTGAAATATGATTTTAAGGTTAATTTGAAGCAAATTATCAAGATTTGATTGACTAGAATTTTCTAACTAAATGAAATGTAAATAAGAGAATGGTAAGGAACAATTTTTGTCCATATACTCAAGAGAGAGTTTGTGTAATGTGCACAATTTGACAGTGGAAAATAAATCGTTATTTTTTAAGTTCTATGTGTGGTGAAATTATCAGAGAGATTTGATTGACTAGAATTTTCTAACTAAATGAAATGTAAATAAGAGAATGGTAAGGAACAATTTTTGTCCATATACTCAAGAGAGAGTTTGTGTAATGTGCACAATTTGACAGTGGAAAATAAATCGTTATTTTTTAAGTTCTATGTGTGGTGAAATTATCAGAGAGAAGTATCTTCCTAAAATACCATCTACCACCAACTGAGTCATGGCCTATATCAGACCTTTGAATCTGGTGTTCAGTTGGAAACCATTTTTCCCTCAAGATGTTCTGTCCCTGTTCCATTTAGCCAATACAGACATAGAACAGGTAAATATTTATAATCAGTCATCATTCTTTGTCTATTCCACTTGTTACCAGTCTCCTCACTCTAGTCTCCTAAGGGGCTCTGTTAAAGGAAATTTTATTTCCTGGTTGTAGCATAATGATCTTAAGAAATAGAGCTTGGTATATTGAGACAGAATGTTTCAGAATTGGATTTAAAAACTAGTAAAAAATTGGTGAAGCACAATCAGACCCCACAGCTTTTTCAGGGATTCCAATCCAGAGGGACACCCTACTCAAGACCCCTGAGAATGATTCCAGTATGAGATCACAGCACTGCCAAAGACAAATTGAATTTATTTTGAAGTCATTGCCATAATTAAGAGAGTACTGCCTCCCACAAAAAAAACTTTGCAATTTGAATGTATGTATAAAGTTTAATTTCTTAGACACAAGACAACCTACTCAAATTACCAAGACCTTATCTTTCTATGAGCATTTCACAGCATCACCTCAGACTGAAACAACTCTTGAAATTTTAAAACTATATCACTAAATATGAAAGTTATGTAGTTATTTCCTTGATAAATGTTCATGCCCTACATAAAATATCAATGAAATTAAATTGTCTTTCAAACACACATAACAACAAAGTTTTTGTGCCAAAAAGGTGCATATGATTTTTTGGGGCCAATTTCAATATTTTTGCCAAGATAGAGCCCCTGTTCAGTATAACAACTTATGTTGAAATAACATAAACCATTTTGTAATTTCTGTATTAATGTACCCAAAGATACACCATTGACAAGCCATAAAAAGGTGGTATTTAAATAGAAACATATTAAAGAAACCTGTTGATTTCATAAAAAGTAAGGTGTATGTCTTTGTGATTCCTTAAATAGGAGGATAACAGCCAAGTTTCCTTCATAGAGCATTTGCTAAAATTTAATGAAGATTCTCCCTTTCAGCTGTTTTCTAGTTGAGGTTTACCAATGCTTGAGTCACAATTTCTAGTTTTTTTTCAAAATCACCTCATAAGCCATATATACCTCCTTTGCACAAAACCCATTATAAAAGCTGTTATATAAGTATTGTTTTAATTACTGAATAACACAAGTTCTGGATTGGACAGTTTGTTCCTCTTGTGATCTGTGTGAGTCTGACTTGTGTGACGAGGAAGCCTGTACTGAAGCCAAGTATGCTTCTCTGTGTGCCCGTGGCATCTCATCAGAGTAATCACTTCTTGCAGGGGAGGCCACTCTGTCATCAGTTACCTGCTCATAGATGTTGTCTCCTTGTGTTGACTTCAGTGGTTCTCTGGATGCCAAATCTCGAGCTTTCTGTGATTGGCGGTGTTTTCTCTCTCTCCTTTCCCTCTCCCTGATGACACGTTCTTCCTCAGTGGAACTTGTAGACGTCATTTTCCTTTCCCTTTTCCCATTGGCTGTTTTTCTTTCATGATGAACTTCAGCTTCAGTAGTTATCACCCTTTGGAGGAAATGATGATCCTTGACAGCTTGTTCGTTCTCTTGCACCTCTTCATCACTAGAAGTGGACTCCTCTCCTGAACCTTCAGATTCCTCTGAGGGAGTTTGATCTCCATCAATTCCTCTAGCAATCAGCTGGTGATGCTCCTGTCTTGAACGTGTTTTGCCAATTCGCTTTCCTTTCTTTTTAACCTTCTCGACATTGTCTACAACATCACTTTTCACACTGTTCAATCTTATGGGTGGTAGCTTACCATTCAATTGCTTTGACAAAACCAACTGGCATTCTAATGCATTTGTAAGTTTGCTGACAATTCTGTTGTTATGTTCAGGGCCTGCATCATTAGTAGTTGAAAGAACAGACAAAGCCAACTTATAATACTCCACTGCCTTGTCATATTCCCGGCCCAGAAAGCTAACTGCTGCCAACCCCTCATAAGCTTGCCACAAGCCTTTCTTATCATTAGAATCTTTGGCTGCCTGAATTGCATGTGAGAAACTCTCCCCAGCTTTGTTATATTCTCCAAGTTGACTTTGAGCAAACCCCATGTTACAGAAGGATTGTCCTTGGGCTTCCCTGTTTGAATGCTCACCTAAGACAAAAAAAAAACAGAAGGCAACAGGTAATAAAATTTACCATTCAGAGGTAATTCTCTTTAACTTGCTTCATAATTTTTTGAAACTCAACTTGATCTCATCAAAGATGTTGCATATCTGTAAATTTCCACAGATTTTTTCAATAAGCACATGCTTTTGGCAACAAATCAATGATTACATTTTACATATTCTAACTGTCATGATCTCTTACCATGAAGGGTGACTGCCTGCCTGTGACACTCCATTGCCTTGTTGAACTGCTTAAGTTGATTATACACAGCTCCTAAATTTTGTTGAAGAACAGCTTCTAGTTCCTTGTTTGTACTCTTGGTATGCATGAGGGGAATTGCCAGTTCAAAGCATTCTGCTGCATTCTCATAAGACTTCAATCCACTGTAAACTAGACCAATATCATTGTAAACTTTACCTGTAACAAGAGGCAACAATGTTTACTTTAACAATTAGGGATAATTTCACTATTTCAGCAAGGAGAAATGCATCAAAAAGCATTATTCAGTGCGCATGTATAGTGTCATCCACGGAATAACAAAAACTTGTCATCATATATTATACATGTATTTGTTACCCCAGGCTTTGAGAATGATGGAAAACTTCAAATACTGTATTTTTATCCAGGAGCTACGAATTCTAAATTTGTATGACTAGCACAATGTGTCTTCAGTCTGCAGAACAGATTTCCCAAATTTAAAATATCACAAGTCATTAAATATCTTATTACTACCAAAGGAATATATTTTCAAGACAGACACCTTTCCTTTTTGTTTCGTAGTGCTGTAGAACAAAAAATTGAAATGGCATACAACCTTGCAGGCTGACAAATTAAGTGCAGAAATTTAAAACTCAGTCCTTAATAGTCCCCTTTGAATCTCTGACTTCAACCAACAAAATGTTGTATGCTTCCTCATACCTTAAAATTACCAGAGTTGTACTAAATTTGACACTTGATGGCAACAGTTAAATAACACTGACAATTTATTTCAAGCTGGGATTCATTATTATTTGCATTGCATTGCCATGAAAACAATAATTCACATAGGTGAATCAACTTGGGCCATTGAATTCTGTATTTGTCACAAATTCAAATTCAAGCTGCAATGCTTTGTACATTAATATTTAATGTTAAAATGTTTTTTGTTAATTTAATGTAAGGTTAATTTTTCCTTATAGCTGTACATGTATGTCAATTGGTTAAAAAAAAAACTGGTATAAATGAGGAAGTTGTCAATAACTTCAACATAGAATTCAATTGACCCATCATTACTAAAAGAGGGGAAATTAAATCCTTCAAAAGGAAAAGCTTCCCTAATCCCTAATTTAAAAATCAAAACAAGATCATTCATCCACCTGAGCAACTGTACCTCTTGCTGAGCAGAAAATAATTCTAAAAAGACTAATTCTTCTCAGCACCATTGATTTTTATCACTGTCATAATTATTATTATTATTAATATCACTGACTAATAAATACATAAAGGATACTGCAATCAGCAATAAAGTATTATTGTTTGTCTGATAATGTAACCCCCCTTCAAATCAAATTTAGAACTAAATCTAAGTGAGTGAACAGACTCTTAAATTTATTATAATTATTACTATTTTTGGTTAATGATGATAAACATAAAATTGCTTGACTATACATGTTGACCATACCATTTGCACTTTTAGAACAAGTTATGTAAAAATAAATTACATCAGCCTCTATGTTTTGCTGTAGAAGAATTATTTAAGTAGTAGTGGCCAGTCCCTAACAAATAATTCTGCCCCAGGGTTTGGTTGATGGCCATGAATTCAAGAAGCCAACGATTGCTAGCAACCCACAAGTGGGTGCAGCAAGACCTGTTTAAATCAGCTGATGTGTTTTTGAGGCTCAAAAAAGGTTTTAATATGCAAATACATGCACTTAAAGCTACCACTACCACTCTAAATTAACTTCCCTTAGTTATAACTGTACTGTAACATTAAAAATCAACCAATTCTTATCTTCAATATTGAATTACTCTCCCTCAGTTTTCAATAACTTTTTTTGACGGAGAGAACTTTGTCAATTTTTCTGCCATCAATTTACACATCTAGTGTTTCAGGGGTCATGCTTTCTTTCATCAAATGCATAACACACTGCCAATCAATCTATAGGTACAAATTTGCAAAGCTAAATCTATCCAACAGTAGTAACTCATGTGCCATGGCTCTCATGAACTAAGTAAGAATATCAACTTACAATACAAGCAAGTAATTGTGGCTATTAGATTTCGGTTTAATTCCAGCTTGCGAGATGCTTGACTAACTCTGAATGTGCAAAGTTTGCAAAGTCCACAGGATCACATACTCTGGCAGCAGAAAGTGCAAAATTTGTGAATGGCATTCCTTCAGTAGCAGAAGAAAGGGAGAATCTTTTTTCCTCGCATAGGTCACAAGTTACATCTTCAGATGAAGCGATAAAATTTACTTTTAATCAATAATTGTTACTCGAAAAAGTTATTATGTCAAATTAGCACACAAGTAGAATGAAAAACAGAAACTAGCAACACTTAAGGTTAGTTTTGTTTTACATAACGGGAATAAACAAAACTACCCTAACTAACGGGAGATAAAAAAATTTACAGTTTCCGAGCTGGTAACTAAAGGGAAATGATGGAATTCGAAATATTTCGAGGCCAAGGCCATGTTTGCTGAGGCGTTTATGTGATATCAATTATTGCCAAATTATACGGGCAATGATACTTAACAAAAAGGGTATATACAAACTTTATATTGTACTTACATTTCAAAGCATTGTCGTCGACATCTTGACAAAGTTCAATAACTTGCGCAAGCACTTTACCACAGGCTGCAATGTCCCGAACTTCTCCAAGCAAACTAGCAAGGTTGTTCAAAATAAGTAACTGAGTATTTTTGTCTCCCATTTCCTGGAATATATAGGCGCATTGTTGGTAAATTTCTGCAGCTTTTTTCAGGTCACCGATATTCGTCCAGTCTTTTCCCAGTCTGAGAAGAGTTTCTCCTTGCATTTCCAAGTTTTCTTGAGCTTTATATTCTTCAGCAGCGATCTCGTAACATTCCACAGCCTTCTGAGTGTCGCTCAAAGCATCGTAAGCAGTTCCCAAATTGTACTGCAAATCTGCATAATTTGTCCTTCCGTCCGACTCTTTATCGGGCGGAAAAGATTTCTTTAAGTATTCCACGCCACGTTTAGGATCCCCACGTGCAACATAACACGCTCCAAGATTGAAATAGCAAGCTCTTTCCGTAAACCCTTCTTTCAAGCTTTCTGCAAGTTGAACGGCTTTTTCGAACGAACTGCAAGCCTCGTCAATGTTTCCTTTAGCAAGCTGCTCATGACCAAGTCGTGTAGCTCCATCTACTTGCTCTGAAACCAATTTATTGTTCATCTCCGGACCAATATGTCAGAAAACACCGCCTTGGACTGAAAAGGTTTGGTGACAGTGTGCAAAGTATATATGAGCGAGAAGTCTACATACCACTCAAAACAAAACGCATACGACGCTGTTTTGGGGTATATCTTGCGATCTGCAAACCTCCAAAAGTTATTTCAAATGCTCTCGTGTTAACTATATAATGCACGTAGTAGGTGAGAAACGCTTATGAACCAGCTTGTACAACAACACAGCCCGTTATCAAATCCCCAGCTGATCCGTCCGATTTTAGACTGCTTATGTCTGTTTGGTCTCCGTTGTGAAGGGCAAGGTGACGTCACGTCTACGACCGGCGGCTCGGGTAAACAGTCAGGGAGTCATGCGTGAATCGTGCGCCTCGCTTTCGAACACGTCATCTCATTACTGCTGCACTCTCTTTTTCCTTAGAAGTTTGGCGAAGCGGTAGGATAGTGGTGTGTAGTAGCAAGAATGAAACCAGTAAGTGCAGATTTTGTCATTTTACCGTAATTTTTTTTGTCGCAGTACTTTCGAGATCTGACCAGAGCAGCAACCTGGGCCTAAAATGGCCGAAATCTTGAATTTTCATAGTCAAAGTGCTCGGAAACAGTTGTCATCACGTGTACTGATGCTTTGTTTATGAATTGGAATTTGCAAGAGACCAGCACGCAAAGTTGAACGTAGCTGTTCAGTTTAAAAAAAAAAGGCTGTTGAAGTCTGTGAGACTAATTCTTATTCATAATATTTTTTTTAACGTCTTTAACGGCGATGATCCTGAGCCGATTATTTTATATTAAATAGTTATTCGTCGTTCAAAAAATATACCAAAGAAAAAGTTTACCGTTGTTTCTTGTTATTATTTGATGGTTTATTCGTGCTTAAAACCTTAAAAGTGGCACCTTTAAAAATCCTGTGTAGAAACTGGCTTTATTTCACTTAATTCAGCAAGGAAACAGTAAAAGAGAAGTTCTTTAATATTGAAACATTTAAATTTTTTTAGTTTTTTTTTTGCTCAATTTATCTCATTATTTGGTATGAGGTAAACATCATACCAAGGAATGTTTAAGCATAATGTCACTTTCATAAAGTCATTAATGCCCCTGATGATTAAGAATTGTAATTCTCCCTTTCAGCCTTTACTCATTTCGTTGTGTATAAATGGAGACAATTTCCTGTTTTAACAAGATATCATGCCAGTGTAGAAATTAACTTTTCACTGGATAAGGCATTTTTGATTTTAGCAGAAGTTGTGCATTTTTAATCATCTTCAGGGGGTCTTAAGGGCTCAGAAATACATCTTAACGTTTTGACCCCTAAGGGGGACTAGCAAGAAATTTCTGGTAACAATGTCACCATGGAATCACACACTAAGGTCACAAGAATTATAAAAGGAAATGATAACAACCTAAAGAAGCGTCATATTGTCAAACAGATTCTCCTTGTCAATTACATAGGGAATGTATAGGGAGCAGTATGGAGAATATATATACTGATGTGAGGGTGAAAATGGTTAATTTTGTTTTTATTTTTCATCTTCCAGCTGTATTTGTGTCTCCTTATTGGAGCATTGATAGGCTGTGCATTAAGTGCTGAAGGTGATTCTAGTGCCAGACTTCTTATCTCCAAAAATATTCTCAACCAGTTTGTTGTTGAAGGAAAGGAATTGACAGTGCACTACAGCATCTACAATGTTGGAAATGGGTAAGGTCATTCATGTGCTGATATACTCAGCCAGCATTATTTTCTCAGCATGTCTATACAATATGGGGTTTGTAAAAAAAGCTCAGAGTTTCAACTGCCATTAGCAGAATGCTCTGTAGAGGGCTTGCCCAAATCACACATGTGCTGGAATGGTTTTATCAGATTTTTTTTTTTTTTTTTTAACTTGGTTGGTCAATTTTGCCTTGATTTTATTGGCTTTTAGGATTGCATGAGTTTATTGACTATAAGAATAACCCATTTCAATCCATCAATTTAGTCAGGTTCTTCAGTAGAGTTTTACTTTAATCTTACACCCTAACATCAGTATGCATATTCTCCACACTGATCTTTATACATTTCCTATGGTGCTGACAAGGAGAATTTGTTTGCCAATCAAAAGGTTCCTTTCCTGTTGATCATTTCCTTTATTCTCGTGACCTTATTTTGTGATTCAGGAGAGATATTGTAGGGAGAAATTAGATGCTAGTCACTCTTAGGGTGTAAAGGGTTAATCTTACACCCTACATGGGAAATGCAGTGGCCAAATGGTCAGTGCAGTGGACTTCAGGTTGAGAGGAAGGTGTTTAAGACCTGGCTAGGTCATTTTGTTGTGTTCTTAAGCAAGAAACCTTCCTTTCAAAGAGCCTCTCTCCACTTTCATGTATAGCCACTGTGCAAATCATCAGGGAAGCCTTCATGAAATGCTAAGGGGTACATAACCTTGCAGTGCACTAGTATCCCATCCAGGGGGAAGTAGTAATACTCCTAGGTGCTTTTAATTGGAAAGAGGGCTAAGTTCCACCTGGGTAGGTTAATAGTCTTGAGTACAGACTTTACCTTTTACCTTACACCCATTAACCCTTTCACTCATAGCGTCTGCCATTTATTGCATAATGATTGGTGTCAAATCAAACAATATCCCTCAGCAGATAATTTTCTTACTTCTCATTGCTTCTTTACTAAAAATCTATCAATGTTTTGAGGAGAAATTACTCTTTGGTCACTCCTGAAAGCTTAACATAGAGGGAAAAATGTAATCATTGTTTTTCTCTTATTCTCATCGTTGTATCATTAACTCTTTAACTCCCAGGAGTGACCAAGCCAGAATTTCTCCCTACAAAATCGATACAATTTCAAGAAGAGATGTGATAAGAATAAAGATAAATGTCAGTTGGGCAATTGTTAGTTGATCCAATACCAAATTCTCTGGACTAGCATCATAAGAACTGTAGGGCAGACAGTAAGGAAAATTACTTATGAGATCTGAGAGTGAAAAGGTTAAAATGATTTTCTACTCTTCAGGCCCGCCACATCAGTGTCCTTGTCAGATAATTCTTTCCCAGCTGATGAGTTTAAGGTTCTCCATGGATTACTTTCCGTCAAGTGGAAAACCATTGCACCGTATCCTTTATATACTTGTTGTAAATACTAGTTCTTCTGAAAGGTATCCTCCACTGCTGCAGCAAATGATGGGTTGTTTTCTAAATACTTGTCACAGATATCTTGTTGTGATTATGAGATTTTTGCATGATGAGAAGGAAAAAAACCGTATTCTCTCATCCCCAGTTGCTTTCTCTAACGAGTCTTAGTCGTGAGCTCACAATCAAAAATTAAAAAAAATAATCTTAAATCAAAACTAAATGAGGATGTTTAAGGATAGAAATGAAAGTTCAGACTTTCAAGAAGCTCAAACCTTTTTGTTGTTACTTTTACTAGAAATAAGTCATTTGCTGTGTTTGGTCAACACCTTTAGAAAATAGAGAGCCAACCACCAAAATTGATTTTGGGAATTCTTGCACTAGTCTGGGTCCAAAAATGAAATGGTTCTCATCCAGGTCTGCTGCAGACTTGTGGGTTTATGACATAACATTGTAAATCAACATAATGTTAAACTACCAGTTTTCTTTAACTGGCCCATCAGTGGTTCAAATGTATCGCACACTATCATCCTGGAACCCTTAAAGTCTGGTACATTCAACTTCACTGCAGCACAGGTAATCTACAAAGCTTCTGAAGATGCCACAGATCCTCAGGTAAACTCACTGAATTGTTTTGTTCTATTGGTAGTCTTGGTAGTTGCAGCTCAGAGACTGTTTATTCATTAACATTTAGAAGTGATTAACATGTTACTTCTCCCAATAATATCTAGTTTTATTATTACATTATGTAAGGAGAATAATCAAAACTATCTGGTGACTGTTGTCTTGATGTAACACCAAATTCTGCTTGGTGATTTACAAGGAAATATGTAGCAGCTAGTAGGGAGAATTAACAATCAGACCCCAGTTGTTTGAAGGGTGGATAATGCTATCCACTGGGTAAATCTCTATCCATTGTATAGTGCAGTATGTTTTGTTAACACTTATCCGGTGGGTATGGATTTATCCATTGAATAGAATTATCCATCAATTGAACATCCAGGCCCAGATCTCAGGAGTTAAAGGGTTAAGGAATCTAATGGTATGCTGTCTCTTTTTGGGCACTTTTCAAAGTGCTTTGTGCATTAGGAGTCCTAAATGTTTTGGAATAACTTGGAAAGTTAATGAATTTTGAAAATCATTTTACAGGCCAGAAAATTTGTGAAATCTGGGTGTGATTCTCAGAAAGGCATGGGATATAACTAAATTAAAATTATTTTTATGAGAAAAACAAAGCAAGAATTACCAACATTTTGAAACCAAGCTCTTGATGCAAGGTTGAAGAAAACAGTGGAAGAAATATTATTAAGTTGATATTACATTATTTTTTTATATGTTCTTTCCCTGGTAGATTGCTTTTTCTACAGCCCCAGGAGAAGGAGGAATTATGCCCCAAAATGAATATGACCGTAAACATTCTCCACATCTGGTAAGTTTGGTGGGCTTGTGCAATGAGTATTTCTGAATAATGAGCGAAGGATTTTCCATCTTGCCTTCTAGCTTTCATTTAGAATAAGTATTTCTGTTGAAGTTAATTCTGCCAGAGAATGGTTGGTGACTGTAACTGGTTTAAAAAACTGCATTTAGAAAATAAGATCTGTGCCACCTATACATGCAAAGTAGTGATATCTTGTGCTCTTCAATGCAAGGACATCCAGAACAGGCCATGTATGGGGAAAAAAAACTACTGTATTTTTTACCCATACAAATTTAATCTCTACTTTCACTTGGTTGGTTTCTTTACTTATGTGGTCTTTTCCTGTTTCATTGAAAGCTTATTTTTATTCCAGTGGCCTATAAATTAATTCCAAAAATCTTGTACTTTCATCTTTTTTCATTTGGTAATTTGTATGTTTCTGGATTGGTTTATCCATCCATTCATTCATCTTTTGCAAGTTCCAGCAGGAATAATGCTTTTAAACAGAAGTAACTTCAATAACTAGTATATACAGCTGTTTCTAGAAAGGTTATCAAAAAAGGGCAAAGGTTCCTGTCACAATCTGGAAAGGTAATCTGGGTATCTGGTAATCAATAAATTTTAATAAGTCAAATAAATAAAAAAATTTATTAAACCTGCAATGCCTCATCCTTATGATGACATTTTCTTATATCTGACCTTGTTACCTTTCAGTATTGTAGCATGTACTTTTAGGCTTTCTTTTTTTTGGACAACCCTTCTCAAAACAGTTGTATTTGCTTTCTCCTCCATTTTCTGCTTTTATGGAACACTGATTCCATTTTTTGTAGCACAACTGCATGTCTTCATCACACGTTTGATCAGCTACTCCAGTGTGCTCACAAGAATCGCTATTTTCTCCTTTACAGGTGGACTGGGGTCTTTTTAGCCTGATGTCTTTACCTACCATTCTAATACCGTTTCTTGTCTGGTTTCGAAGCCACTCAAAGTATGAAAACTTCAAGGCAAAGAAGAACTAAAGCCAAGTAGAAATGTGAAGGGGTCATGTTACATCCATGGATCCCCTTAGCAGGAAATTTGTTTAATACTAAATGAATTTTAATAAAAACGTTTTTACGAAGAATATTTATGAAGTCTGTAGATTTCTTAAGGCACTTCTAAGCTTCTCCCATAAGAGGGGACCTTATTCCCAAGCTCTCTTTTCTACTCTCCCAGCAGAGCTCTTGGGAAGGAGGGTAAGAGAGACCTGGGAACGAGTTTGCTACGGGAGGGTGTAAGCGGTATATTTTGTTCGACTTGCATGGGCTCAGTTTCTGATACTTTTTCACGTCCAGTCTTTTCTCTTGAGAGGAGAGGAATGAGGTCGGCTAGTTATCATGCCTAAACTGCTAATGCTTATTGACGACCAGGAGATATACTCCTTGTTTCTTCTGAAATGTTACCAGGATACTATGAGCGCATGAAACTAAACATGCTTTGATTCAAGATTACAAGCTGATGAATTGAGGCTCGCTGCGGACTCTGATTAGTCAAGAACCAATCCTTTATATTAACACGTTAAACGCTTAACCATAGAAAACTGAAGTTAATGTGTTCAAATTTTTGATAAAACATACTGGCAAAAGTTTTCACGTTCATCGATTTGGCAACGTAATCACCCTCTGAGGACGTGGTACAAACTTTACTGTGTTCCTCAAATGTCCCACAGGGTAAACAATGCTAAAACAGCGAGGAGATTCAGGTGAAGTCCTTAATGCAGAAATTTCTGACACTTCGCAACAATTGCTATAGCAACCAACAAAGTTGTGTTGGACACGAGCTCTCCTCAACTACTGGCGCTGCTCTTTTGCGGCTCATGTCTTTTTTTCTCTTCTTTCCTTCTTTATTTTTTTTTTCTATCTCTTTTTTATTTTGCTGAAATTGCGATCATCATCCTAATTAATCAGTTGAGTTTAAAATAAGCTCATAACTGTAGGCAGAACTTATCTAATTAACCATCGATGGAAATCAAATATAGGAGTACTAAATCCCAGTGACGTTTGCATAGATGAAAGCATTCGAACAATAATCGAACAAAGGTTGTTGATGAACCGCGCTAAATCCGAGGAAGAATTTTGATTACCTTGTTATTCAAATTATCGATGAAAGGAACTTGTTAACTCAATTGATATAGAATGAGGTATTCTCAGTTAAAAATTTTGGTACGCCATCAGATTCTTAGGAAAAGATGGGAAGGTTTCGGTTACGCAGACTACTTTTTCTTTTTTCTGTTCTCTCTCTATTGGGTGTTTGTGTGACAGTGTATGTAATGACCTGGGAGGTGAAGCCATCAGAGCCAAGTTCTTTACAAACTTCCCCGTTATTTACGTCTTTTAAGTCAGCTGTGTTGGAGTTGAGCCGAAAATGGATAAATTTGCTGACTGTGAAAAAATTCAATCGAGAATGGGTAAATCCATCCCCAGAATTCATCGAGCCGGTCCCGGAGACCGAAAAGTTTGTTCTTATATTGATAATAAGCGCGCCTTTCAACCTTGAACAAAGATACGCCATTCGACAGACTTGGCTGTCCGTCTTCATCAACCATTCTGTTGCACAAGATCATTCAAACGTACGAATCTTGAAGGACCCTATTAACTCTACCAATAACCTACTTATCCAGTATTTCTTCGTCTGCGGCCACAGCCAAGAACAAGAGGTTGAAACTGTGGTGAAAAGTGAAAGCATGATTCATGGAGATATTCTAAGATTAAACTTCACAGAATCATATTCGTTGCTGGTACAAAAGACTCTGAATTCGCTGAGATTTGCCTCAGCAGTAAACGTCAAGTTTGTGGTCAAAGTAGACGACGATGTGTACCTGGATGTCCGAAGGATGGTTTGGCGATTGCAAACTACTTCTTTACCTGACATGTTGTTCGGAGGAACTCTGCTTTATAATTCACCTGCCATTCGAGACCCGGGCCACAAGTACTTTATCAGTTATGAGGATTTCAATGGCACTTCATATCCTGTTTATCCGAATGGTCCATTTTACATCATGTCTAAAAAAGTTGTTCTCGAGTTTCTCAACGCGTCTAAAAACATTCGCTCATTTAAAATGGAAGACGCGTATTTAGGAGTATTGGCTAAACATCTAGGTATTGTTCCTACCCAGCTTGATGGAGAAGGAACTTTGATCAGACTATGGCTTCCTCGATTGGAGAGAACTTGGGATGATGCAGCATTGAATGCAACTTTTGCAGTAGGGGATAGCTTATCACCTGAACGGCTGTTTGCTTTTCACGAAAGATATCTAAAGCTTGAAACCGGTTTTAATTGAAAAGAGTGGTCTAATCGGTAACATTGCAGTTTTGAAGGCAACCGAAAAAAAGTAAACCAAAAAAACAGATAGGAAATCCTTCCTTTATATGTTGAACAGGAGAATATTCCAGGTTTGGCTAGATCTGAATCTCCAAAAGTAACATTTGTTTCTATACATATACCAACAATGTTAACAATACACGGATGTAAAGTTTCCTCGACAACAAAAAATCCTCAAGAACTATGACTGAAACCCATTTTGAATTCAAATTCTGAAGGTTAACTAAACAAATTTTTAAGACTGTTAAGGGTATGTAACGGCAGGATTTAAATCCGAGTGGAAAAAACGAGCTCTTGTTTCACGAGCTTCAGTGCGGACCGTGAAAACGAGGTTAGTAAGGTATGTTATATCCGCGGGTTTATATAGGGAAATATTTCATTTCGAACAAATTTTTAAATTTAGTGGTCCATACAGTGTACCCGCCAAATTGACGAAACGTAGCGCACGTACTAACTGAGAGAAAATATACGAGATTTATATAGTGCACACTGTTTCCTTTAGATTTCCTTAACTTAATGCCTGAATTCACTCACTCATGGTTAAACGCAACTCTGAAGTCCAAGCTATAATGCTCATGAGGCTCATCTTGCAATTTGTACTACTGTGACTTGGCCGGTAACTCTCCATTTCGATATTTCTCTCTGTGTAATTTGGACCGCGATAAAATTTGTAAATACAATGTAGTAAAAATTGATTAAAATTCTTTAAGTGAAAAGTCTGACACGAGTTTTCTCAACCCTGATCAAATTCAAGCGTGCATCAGATCAACAATTGAAAACAACTTGAGTACCGTCAAATCTAGGACCAATATCAGTGCCCAGTCTATGGCCAGTCTTATTTACAGGAAGGGGAACTTTTATCCCATGACAGTCGATGTGAGGCAGAACTTAGCTTCGAAAAAAATTTGTTGAGAACGAGGTGCCCAAGACATCGACTGAGAATTGGAGGATTGGGCAGTCCTGAGAATTCTTATTATTTCATCAAAATCGGACCGTTGTGCTTCGTTGCCAGGTTTTAAGGCGAGGCTTTCACTCCAAAGATGTATTTCTCCTTACTGTTTGTCGTACAATTCTTAGAATGTTAGTTCGGAGAATTTGGTTTTGGATCAACTATTAATCTCGCAATTGATACTTTCCCGTCACTTGCTTGTTTTATGTTTTGATACTGTAAGGAGAAATCCTGTCTTGAACACTCATGGGAGTTTAAGGGTAAAGAGTCGCAAGACTAGCAGTTGGGCTAATGTCTTTTGATAAGGTCACTTTCAGCCTCACTCCTGTCGAAAAGCTTGGCAATAAATAACAAACAGACAAATAAATGTAAACGGGACCTAAAAACAAATACCTCACACCAAATCTTTCACAAGTTAGACGATCCAATAACTTATTTTATTCATATCTATTCTATAAGAATGTCCACTTTTTAGAGATTCAGAACTAACGCAACTGTACAGAACACAATCTAGGAAAGAACAACATAATTTACGTTCACACAGAACATCTACAGAGAAATCCAAAGAGCTACTCAAGATTTATCAAACAATTTGTACATGATATAATAACTTCAATATCCTGAATCTCTTCAGGCAATCAACTTATATTATCATTATCATCATTGTATTATGAAAATTATACTTTTTATACACAATGACACCGGACAACGCAACGTTGACCCATTAAAATGATTTGATCAAAACTGTACAACTGAGCCAGCTAGAATTCAATAAGTGTGTACAGGAGCTTTGGAAATTAAAAGGATCTTGCTCAGCTAACTTTATTCTACAAGGCTCTTGGTGAAAACGTTCAAGGATCACACAAAATAATACTATTTCATTGTTGTGAGATGTTCACGCGAAACTCAAGCTATCTTGTGTATGTTGCGTGACAGAAACTGCTCCATTTCCCTCTCGTCACGCATTCCTTCTCGACGAAAGAAAGTGTGACAAGTCCATTGCACACATGCATCCTAAGGGCGTGCTTTGTCCACAAAAAAAAAAATGGTCACAAGCAAACATCTTCACACAGCAACTAACTCTTTCAAAATTGCAAAAAGTCAAAAATTTCAAAAGTCAGATGATCTTCACATTGATATTGCGAAGTAGACCATCAGCTTTCATAACTCACTTTACAGCCATAAAATCGATCTCCTACGGAAGCGGCTTTCATTTTACGTCACTATTCTTTTTTTTTTCAGATTGAAACCTAAAATCACGTATAAACGAAACAGTGTTATTACACTAACAGAAGTCAATTGGTACTTAATAAGACGTTTTACACCAGAAGAAAGCGTTTCACCAAAAGCCCGACTATAAAACACATTGGCAGCAGGAATAAATTAGGAATAAATTTGTTTTTTAAAGTATAAGCACAATACAGCAAAGACAAAATGGACAAGACAAAAATGACATGGTGTTAATACCCTTTGCCATAAAAACGACCATATTTGTGAAGGAATTTTTCTCATTTTAAGCTTGAATACACTTGCCGTGTTTTCAAGCTCGGAAAGCGAACTAAATGCTCCGTTTTGACCATCACCAAGCTGAAGTAAAAGGATAGAGATTCATTTAATTTAACATTACGTTCCAAAAGAATTCATCGATCTACTGAGTCGGGGAATGAAAGACTGATTCTAGCAGTTCTTTGGGTAATGCTCTACGCGCTGGGCACGTGACGTAAGATGTAAGGGAAGGAAACCAAGATAAGAGACAAATCTGTAACATTAGATGATTGAAAAGCTATGGTAACACAATAGGTTCCCAAGAAGATAAGAAACTCCATGCTTTCTCTCAAAATTTTACAAAAAGTTAAATTGCACGTCAAGAATATCTGGTATCTTTTTTCCAAACAGAAACGTATTCAAAGTCACATGGGCTTTTACCATCATATTACATCAAATTGCTAGGCATACAATTTTTGAAAAAACGCAGTCTCAGGCAATCAGTCCTTAATTCCTCGACCGCTAGATTCCAGCCTCACTCGCCAGCTGTTCATATGATGACCTGATTAAGAGTGGAAGTGGTCAACCTGTGGGAACAAATCTCTTTGCTTGCTCCCTTCTTTTCAAGAAATGTGTGTAATGAAGCTTACGTATACAAAAGACATTTTGAACATAATTTGATATCGTTCGAATGCGTATCACTTTGTATGATCTTTGGAAGATCAAGATTTCAAAGCGTTTACTTAAAGCTCAGGTGGCACGTCAATTTCCCGCCAACAAAATGGAGAGAAAACCAAATTGAGTAAAAAATTACAAGCTCCATAACATCAAGGTTCTTGGAAAGAAGAGGACCAGTTAAAGCCTGCTCTTCGTGGCTCATGAGAAATGTACAGTACTAGGGGCTGGCGAGTAATCATTTAATTAACTCTAATCTCAATATTTCTTCAAAAGCCTGTGCTGGAAATTCAGGCTTTGAGACGCAAATGACATCTACCAAAAGTTAATATATAATTTTAATTAGGGGGGCTTGTGCGTAAGTAGGTCAACGGAAATAAATATAATACTTTATAATTTTCTAGAGATTTCCCTTGATGGGAAAACACTATATACAATTTGTTTTCTTCTTTGTTTTTTTTTTTTACTTATATATGTAGAACGTACTCTGTCTCTCTTTCGTAATTAAATAGTTTTGTAAGACGCCAAGATTGTGGCTTACTTAAACTAGCTTTAAGACAGAAGAGCTTTCACAGCCAGCACTAGAATGCAAAGGAAACATTATTGGACTGCTAAAAGGAATCTACTTAACATCCTACCCTCTCCGTATAAATTGTTCTTAAACAAAAATTTCAGACGAAAACGACGAGGAAATGCGCAAATCCGCAGCGAGATACAAAATTCCACAACACCTGAAAACCTTTGCGACAGACTTGTTTGCGTGAACGAACTGCGAAGCGTGACTCAAAAAAAGTCACGCTCAAGTCAGAGACGGCAACGAGTGAGGAAACACCAAGACACAGTGACGTCAAGTCATCCCATGCTGCAGGGATACAATTCTGCATTAAGTGCCGCCGACACGCGTTTGACTTTATGAAACAAGTGTATAATATGGACAATGACACACTACAAAGACAAGAGGTAACACAGGAGGCTAACGACAACTACCGTGACAGCATACTATGATGAAGTTAGAGACGTGCTGGACGAAGAAGGAGGTTCGGACGAGGACGTGGACGTAGGGTTTTTCGTGGCGGTACCGGAAGTTAAGTTACCGGAAGTAGCTGCAGTTGTGCGATTGGCATCCTGGGAATCAACAAAGGGACTATTATCAGATTAATGGAATGTAATCCCGCGCAGGCCCAGAGAGGTCCAAACGCCTTTGGACCCACTCGACTGCCGTTTAAATGATTCTACTGTGAAGTGTCTACGCCTGAAGAATTATTAAGGACGAGAAGAGATCAGGCGGGACCCAAACCACGACAAAGCGTTTACGTGACAGGTTTACTAGCACTTAACGCCATGGTTATCCCACTGGCTGAAGAAGAAGAAGAGATGAAAAAGAAAAAGAGAAGATGACAAACTGAATCAACTAAACTTGAGTTGACGAGGGGAAGTCTTTATTAGCTCAGAGAGGCCCGAAACCTACTGAAAAGTATCCCAGGATCCTTAGCAGGAAGAAAGTGGGGGACTGCAAGTCCTCATTCCCATGACGAAGGTCCATGGCAGTTTTTCCCCTTCCCCCTCCCTCCACAGTTTTCCTGGCAGTTTGCCTGGCAGTTTGCCTTTACCACTAACACTCCTAGTTAGAGAGGGGAATTATGGGAGTGAACGTAACACGATGACCCGACCGGGGCTCAAACCCAGACCTATCGATCCACAGTGTATCGTTCTTCAGCCCTTTACACCCTAATATCAGTATGCACATTCTCCATACTGTTCTATATACATTCCTATGGTGCTGACAAGGAGAATTTGTTTAACAATCCAGAGTTTTTTAGTTGATGATCATTTCCTTTATTCCCGTGACCTTAATGCTTGATTCAGGGGTGTATTGTAAGGAGAAATTAGACGCTATGCTCTTTTGGGGGCTTAAGAGTGAAGACTTAGCCACCTACCACAAGTCTAACATCACTCGACTAATTGTTAATAAATAGAGAAATAAAACTACGGAAGGATATTAAGGGTCGAAAGAAATCCGGGATTGCGTTGGTTAAGCTTTAGTACGCTTTCTAATTGGTCCACAAACTAAACTTGCGCCACCCTCTCGAGTAATCACAGCAAAAAGGAATCCAAAAGCAGCTTCCTGTCTCTCGTTTTCCCGAAATCCATTTAGGGTCTGGGTTTGTAATAATAATTTGCGATGTTCGTCTTCGTTCTGCTGGCTGGTTTGATTTCTTTGGTGAAGATTTTTCAATGATCCATCCAACAGATCTTCAAAATTGTTTTCCTCCCCAGTTCAAAACAAAATACTAAATTTGTACATGTACTTGGTCGAGAGAGGAGGGAGAGGAGGGAGGGGAAATTTTTAAGCGACTGAGAAATGAAGGTGCACTGGTACTTACAAACATTGTCGCTTACCCACTCCTCTGCTGCTTTTTTCCAGTATTCGTGATTATCTGTAAGGTGTCTGATGGTCTCGGGTACAAATGCGAAAGCTGTAAAAATACAGTCATAAAAAACACTATTTCGACGTGTTTCTGATTAAACCACCGATCAAGTTGCATTTATCAAAGAAAGCAGACAAATTAACAGACAAATCAACGAATAAAAAACATACCATCCCATGCGTCGTAAAGATCACTGACAAAGTAATCTATGAACCAAACCTAGAAAAGATAAGACATACAAAAAAAAATAGATGAAGAGAAATTGAGTAAATCAATATTAACAACACAAGATTGTTCTAAACTATTAATCTTAAAAGGGAGGGAGCAAAATAATGGGGGAGAAAAAATCGGCGGTTGACGAGAGTTCTTTGTCCTGTTTTTTTTCCTTTGCCTAAATCCCACCTTTTCCCACGAGAACATTTCATACAAAGGCCTGACTAGTGTTCGACTTGATGACCAAGAGTTCAAAGAATTCGACACAATGATTTGCACTTATTTTAAGCTGCATGCTATCTATTCGGACAATCACGTTCATTAGAACATCGCTGCTTCCGAGCTAATATGTACTTTTCAAGTTCAAAGCTTAAGAATAACTTCAAGCAGCATTAAGCTACAAAGAGTAAGTTCACTCCATTTAGATGAGATATTTGTCATTCAAAGATTGTCCCACGCTCCCCTCGCTGAAATTTCGTCTTCTGTCTTTCCAAGAACATAACACAATGACCCCGACCCAGGCCCTTCTACTCGGGGTCCAAAGCGCGATAACCAACGGTCCACCCCCTCCCACGTCCAAGGCCTCACGTCATCAATATCAAGCTACCGTGAATTCAAGTTGTACCGACCTGTGATCTCGGTACGTTACATGTTTGCTTATCAAACACAGGCATCACGACGGGTAAACCACGCCTCTTTTCCTCATCCGTCTGTAGAAAAATAGAAAAAAAAATTGTACAGGAATAAACCCCAGCCAGTTTGCTTGTTTTAAGTACGAGTTAAGAAATGACATTTTTGTAAATTACAATTATTTTGTGATTACTATGGTTCTGGTTGACGACTATCAGTCAAAATGCCTTCTTTTTCACGATTGAAATTGCCTTTGAAGGCTATTTTTACTGCGCTCTAAATAACTTCAATTTATTTCTCCTTCAGCTGCAAAAACCTCCATCTAACGATGCTGATTGTATTAACCCATGACTTCATCTACGTACCTGTGAAAAGTACTCGTCTGCTATTCTGTATGCCCACTCTTTACACAGGTATCGTGGTCGAGCTGGGTTGGCGATATCAGCACACTTAATTAACATTCTTTTAATCAGTGTACGGTTTTCTGGAGTGTTGAGTGCTACAGCAGTTGATGCTGTGGAATCTGGAGTGCCACGCCCACTGTGCTATAAAAATAAACATAGCGTGTTTCAATCATTTCAGTTCCTGTGTATATCCTACGGCCAGTTTTGCAATAACGCGACATTCTCAAACTACCGAGCACAATTATATATAGCGAAAAACTGAGTGTGACAAGGGATTCGAAATTGCGTTATTTTCGCTGTGCTCGACTCTGTTGGTCAAAAGATTTACGCTACCAACTTATCCAATCAAAAGCAACTAAAACTAATCAGGTCTTGGAGACTGGCGTTCCCTGCTCTTCAAAGAGAATGCTTGTTTTAAGTTTGAGTTCTCAGTGGCTACTAAAATATTTCCTTTCGCACTGATTGGTCCCTATGATTACTTTAGCTCAAGTTTAAGCATACCCAGTCGAGATACACTCTAGCGTTGAAGAAATACGGTGTTCACTACTTGTGCGCGACTGCTCAAATAGAAGCGGCAGGCGTTCATAGTATTTCATACTGCATTGTATAACAAAGCACCGGTGCAACTATGGACTACTGCCACTTTGCTCCACGGCACCGATGCATAGATACAATAAATTATCGACTTACCACCGAGTGTACCTCATCCATACTGGAAGAACGCCGTTTATTTATAGAGTTTACGAACTTTGAGAGATGTTCAAAGTGTCTCGTCATCTCTGTCGCCATTACCATGTCGATGATCGCTTGGCGAATCGTGCGGAACTCATCCCTGGTAGAAGACAAGTCATGACAAAATTCCTCGTTTAGTAAGAAAAGTCTGTATGCAAATGTGACCAGCAATGCCGGTCAAGAAGACATGAAGGTGACAAGAAGTCCAGAGTGGTAATAAGTAGGTCACCCATCCCCTACAAGTTTCTTCAATAAAGACAAAGGTGTGCATTACATTAGACTTTGGCATCCACCACAGTTTCGCGGCTGTCACATGTACATAAGACCCAGCATCACTTTCATTTAACGCTAAGATTGCGTGCTCGAGATTTGCTTTACTTCACTCTGTGATTGGTCAAAAACTCGCGCCACACTCTCAAAAAATCAGATGCAAAACTAAAACCAATCGCGACTTGGTCGCCCGCGTTGTCCCGCGCTTTAGGTAGTTTGGTATTTCTTCTTTTTTTTTTGATTGGCTGTTGTGGTGACTTTGCTTTGGTTTCACGATACTTAATCAAAAAACACTCCACTATGATTTCTACTTACATGTCAAGTCCCTTAAAGATGTTCGACCTTTCGTATTTGGCTGTAAGTTTGAACGCCAACGCAGCATGATGACTCTCCAGTACGGCGATGTCGTTGTAGAGGATGGCGAGCTCATTTCCTGCATTACAAAGGAACGAGTTTGTGTATCCCGGATGGTCTACGTCGTGAACAACTGCTGCTATTAACGAGGCTATTTCATCGAGTGGCTCCAGAACAGCCTGCAAAGTAAAGAAAAAATCGTATCAACAAAACTTGTTAGACTTCACAGAAAAAGCAACTAAGATAACAAGTAAATAGAATCGTTCCCTCTGAATTCAAAATCACATAACCAAGAAAGGAATGATTTAAGGGAGAAGGTTCTCCTTTACAGATCATGTCCTGCACTACATGTTCTACTTGACAGAACTAACTTAACAATGAAAGGAAAATGTATTAAAGCTCAAATCTTTTTATCAAGGAATCTTGACGTATCTTTGAAACATACAAAGTTTGCGAAACAATTCACGTGCGTTTTTAATGGCACTGAATCGCCAGAGGATAAAATTGATTTGGACTACGATTTGTGCACTATTCACTAAAAAAAAAAAAAACTAAAAATAGAGGGAAGGGCCCAGTTGTTCAGAGTGCGGATAACGCTATCCAACGGATAAATCGCTATTCAGCGGATAGGTGTGAACAAACGTATTGAGCTATCCATCGGATGGATATTTATTTAGTGATAGTGTAATCCACCCTTCGAAAAACCGAAGCTTGCTGGAGATACATTAAAAACGCGCTCAAACTTTCCACTCAATACTCTAAATTTTGTCAACCCGTTCTCAGTTATCAAGCACGCTGGTATTGACAAAAACGACATCAACAACGACACGAAAACACATAAAACAACAATAAAAAAAAAAAGTAGATACTATTATCTGAGATGATGTTACCTTCACTCTTTCTTTTGCTAAGAACACTGCTGTTGCGTGCAAGACATCAGCAGCGTGCGTGGAGTTATGATAGGCGTTTTTCGAGTGATAGTTTTCTTCTATTAACTGAAACAAGAACATATGAACGGAAATCAGTATATCTGAAAAATGTATGAATAAATGAAAGAAAAAGCCTGAAGGCTTTCCTGGCGGCGCACTAATACCAATCTGTATTCCCGTGTGGAGAGTGGCACTGCCAGAGTGAATATTGTGAAGATGGGATAGAATTCACGTACTTTACCGTCCGGAGTAAATCATAACATGGCGTTAGGAATAAAAGGAATTCATATATTGTCTGTATTTTGTTTTCCGTAGGGGAACCCGACTCAATTCAACTTTTCATATTCCATGGTTTAACGTTAACTACGAGCGAACATTGTGTGCTCAATGCTTGTACCATATGTTGAACCATCGAATAAGACAAATGACTGTTGTGTGTGTGATGTAGAGAAAAGTAAAGCTGAACCATGAAAGATCCTTTCCGTAAAAAGACAGAACATGGACACAGCGACTTACTTGTAACCAATTCTTGAGAACATCTTCGGTAATGTTGAGTAATTCACAGGCCCTGAACCTGTTCAGTATCTTCGTTCCCAAGAAGTACAAGGGCCTAAAGATAGTCACGACGCCCTTATGTTAGTTGATCAAATTACAAATAGGACTTTGACTTCGGAGTCACGTCAACAATAAAAAAAACCGAGACTTTTACAGAAATAATTTTGAAAAGCAACGCTATCTCTTCGCTTGAACCATCACAATGAAATGTGACAAGCAATACGGCATAGTACTGTTTTTCTTTGCCTACAACGCTTTTCGATTGGTTTAGAAGTAACACAACAGACTTTCAACCAATCAGACGCAAAACTTAAAACCAAACACACCCTGGCCAACCACGCGTTCCCGCTCTAAAAGTGGGATACACGGAGTTCTCAAAGGCTCCTTAGATTGTCAGTCATCGCTGCGACTAACTTGGATTTCACCTTTTTCCAAACAAACAACGTTCTAAGAGCTCAGGTGAATGGAGACAAAAAGTAGAGGTTTAGTGCCCCCTAACTATGAAAAATTTGAGAGTCGTTGATATTAATGTTTCACCCCGGGAAGTCTCTTTCCAAATGAAAGAAAGGTAGCAAGAGGTTAGTGACCCAGTTGTTGAAACTACTACTGCTTCTGACAATGACATTGGGTGGAGGTAGGCATTAGGGGGCACAAAGGAGGCTGTATATACCCGTTGACCCCCTCGTCCCCTTCCTCCCCCATGGACCTGTGCCACGCCCTTGTGATTATCAGATAAGACGGCGCTAAACAAACCTGTGATTGGAGGCTTTTTCCAACTTGAGAATATCAAAGTCCCAGTCTGCCTCGTCAACCATAGAAGCGATAACTTCAGGTGGGGCCTCTTGGAGGTGTGAGATGGGTGGGGTTCGTACAGTGCTCGGTGTGGTATGACCTGTCCAAAGAAATATGGACGAAGCAAATTACAACGAGAGCTTATCGCCAACAAAACTAGTTTACCTCTCAAAACATTATGTTAAATTCCTCATTCTGTCAATTTTCAAATCATTCACAAAGATCAGTAATTAATTAAGTTCTTTCTAGAGAGGAGGAAGAGGTTAAAATGATTTAATACCTTAATATTAAACCATTAAAATATTAAGAGCAAACGTTAACATGAAAGTTAGAAAAGAAGTGTAAGTATTAGCCTCGGACCTCTGCCGAATGTGTAGAATAAGTTCGTACTTGGTTTAGGAACGTCACAGGAGGGTCTCCTTCGGCCCTGGAACACAACAAATAGTAAACGACCATTAGGCTATAATCATTAATAGTAAAACCAAAAAACAAAATTTACGATTGGCTGTTATGGCTCCTTTAGTTATAAGAGCGTTAACTGAAAACTGCTTTACGGCGAGATTTTTGGGCCAATAATAACAAACGGAACAAGATCAAAGCCAGTGCAATCCCGGATAAATTATAATATTCAAATGAAAGGTCAAATAGAAATGTCATAATGAATGAAGACAAACGTCAAACTGTGGAAGAATTCAGACCATCGAATGAGTTACTTGAATGAATAAAACTCACATTGCTCATGAGACCTCCGACCAGTTCATTGGTCATCATGTCTTCTTCAGTTGTTGTGAAAGGGGAATATAATTCCGCTGTCCGTAGAATTTCCTAACAAAACAAAAATGTTTTAAGATGCATTCCTCCCAAGTTTTCTCCTCTAAGTAACTGTAAAGTAACAATTTTTTTTTTCATTTTGTGGCTGCGCTGCGTTCAGTGTACGCCCGGACGTCAAATAGAACCGCTTCGGGGTGTAGCTTTGTCTCCAGCAGACGCTGAAAGGTTCGAACCTTTTACCCTCCAGAACTTATTAACATTTCAGTTGCCCTCGCGATTGCAAGACATAAACCGACAATCAAGTGGTGAGAATAAAAAAGTGCATCAGCGAGAGACCAGTCTTAATTAAATGCAAAATCATCTTAGAGGGGAGAAATACGAATGAAACTATGAGGGTGAGAAAAGGAAAAATATCTTACCAGCACTCTATCTAGTGCTTGTACTACAGACATGGGACTATTTTCTTGCGCTGCAGACAGCATGTTTATGACCTGAAACAAAAATTATTAATTAATAAATAAAGGCACTTCGTGATACCACAGGGAACCTCTCTTTACATAGGCCTAAAGAGCTAAATATTGCATAAATCATTGAAAAAATATGAATGTATTTCCAGCCATACCACTCAAGCCTTTTAATGAAATTGTGAATGTAGTAGTGGAGCACCTGTATTCCATCTTGTAATACCAAAACACAGGGATGATTCACAAATAAGATCTGTCGAATACAGCTTGAAGCATTCCACAAACAGGACATTATTTCGCAAAAGAGGCAGCAATTAAAATTTTTCAGCTGCATGTCTTAAAGTAAATTACACACATTTTGATGCTTCCATTAAAAATTAAACATTTCAAGGAAAACCCAAGAATATGACTCACTTTTGTAATGGGTGCCTCTATTTTAGTCGTAGTTGTTGTTGAATGTCTTCTAAGAATACCTCCTATAAATAAAGAAATTATTAATAGTAGCGCTTGATAAAGTCTGTGCAACATTTAACATCTTGACCGCGAATAGATGAAAATGAAAAAGGGAGTTTAAGAGTTATTGTGGAAATCCTTAAGCACAGTATCACAAACAGGACAGTGAAACAGTTTTGGAAAGATGAACACTTCCAAAATAAATTTTTCTTGTAGAAAGGGAAGTAAGGTTCAACATGACAGAATCTGCCGCCCATTTTTAACACAAAGAGAAACAATTTTCAAAAGTTAGGTTAATTTTTGGAATCTTAAATTGTTGTCAGTAACACAAAGAATGACTAGCATCTAATTTCTCCTTCCAATATCACCCTTGATCAAACATTAAGGTCATGAGAATAAAGGAAATGATCACCAACTAAAGATGCCAATGATTGTTTTAAATAAATTGTCCTTGTCAGAACCTTAAAAAATGTGTGGAGAACAGTTTGTAGAATGTGCATACTGATATTAAGGTGTAAAAAGTTAAATATTCTTTGAATGCCCAAGGTAATTATCATATGGTTTCTGAAAACACACTTCTCCTTTTATCAGTATCACAGGCAGCATTACCACTAACCATTTAAGGTGTTAATTTGAACTTGTTCTGTTACACCACTGGCTGTACTTGGCTATGAAGAAAACAGACATAAAATTGTGATCAAACTATCAAAAAAAAACTATGTATTTTTGCACAACCATATTTGTGCCAAACTCTACTTTTGTTGTCGTCTCCCCAACTACACTGCCATCGTTAACTGAAGGACGTTTGAGAGCTCACTGAGTCTAAACCCTAAGCTGATGGGTCATTTGAGATCTTGATAGCTTTACCTTGAATGGACAAGTTGGAGGTTATGGGTGACAAAAACTGCAATCAACTGGTTTCAGAGACTAAAGTCCAACACCCTTATCGTGCCAGAGAGACTGATATGCTTGTGAATAATACACTTTCAAAAGAGGAATGTAATCATTTGTCTCATGATGTGATCACTTTGGAAGTGGATCAACCTCATCTCCTGAAGATGACCAGCAGTATGCAGTTGATACATCACAATCTGCATCAGAAGTGACCACATTGTGACAAATGATTACATTTCTCTTTTGAAAATGTAATTTCCCACAATGACTAACCCAAAACTATTTTACGATATAATACACTTTGTTACACTTACTGATTCCATATGCATATTAACCTCCATATTCATGTTGACTTGATTCAGGGGATTAGCCTGGGTGATTTCTCTCTTCACTGTCACATGGTGAGCAACTTTCCTGTGCGTCAGAGAAGAGTGCTATAAGAATGTTACCATTCCCAAACCCCTCTCACTTTAATCCACACCTGTGCTCTAGGAAGGTGTGTGAAGGCTCTCCACTCAGAAGTCTGAGGTGGACAGCAATTAAAACCTTTCTGAAAAGCAGAGTTGTACATATTCACCACAAGCTAGAGCCGTGTGACATTCCCCTCTGCCAAAACACAGCTTTAAAATCCAATCTGATTAAATGTGATAGGAGACATGTAGTTTGCCAGACATAAGGTAGTGCAATAATATATATGATGAAATTTTTTCTACATGTTTGTGCCTGCTGTAAAAAAATACTAAGTTTTCAAATTGATTTTCCCATGCAAAACCACCTTAAGTACTGTGTTCTAAAGAGAAGAGAGACCAAAAAAATTAATTTTTCCTTAAAATATCTGTACATTGTTGAGATGAAGGGTGATGAGAAGATAGATATAATTAAGTAATGGATATTATATAACTTTTCACCAAATTCTTAGGGAAAACCTAAAAGAAATGTAGAGCTGACAGTGCAGGGCAATCTTGTTGAGATTTTAAGAGAGGAAGTATGAACTAACCATTTGTATCTTAGCTTGCTTGTGGCTTTTCACATCAAATACTTACCCTCCTTTGCCAATGATGGGAATGATATGCACATTTTGTAAGAAACTATCCCCATTTCTTCTTTTCCCAACTACTTTTCCCTCCCATGGCTGTAAACAGATAGAAGACAACATAGTATTACTACTTAGATCTAAGATCTGCAAACAAACTCTGTGTCATGCACAATTCATCAATGATCCACAAATTCAACAATCATCTAAAAAACACTTCCTCTTCACTTTAAGTCATCACAAACACTGACCAAACAAATAATGAAATTATTTTACTGAAAGGGGTGGCACAGGAGGAGAAGTTAAGATAAAAATAATGATGATTATGGAGATGATGATGCTCTAGCCTGCAACAATTTTGTTATTGTTTGTATTATTATTATCTTGAAAAGCAACAGTGGAAAGTGAAAATTGTACAAAAGAGAAGGAAAAAAAGAAAAAGCATGATCACTGATGGTAAAAATAAATTTTCACTAAGTTAAATACTGGAAAAAAAAACAACAAACAACCTACCTTCCCTTTCTTTATGTGTGCATGAATTGACTCATATAACTCCTAAAATAAAAAGAACATCATTTCAAATGTTATTAACCTCTTGAATATCACGAGTCACCAAAACAGAATTTCTCCTTACAATATCAAACAATATCAAGCAGATGAGAAATGGGAATAGAGAAAATTATAAATTAGGGGATTACAGTAATAGTGGATCCTACACCAAGTTCTCCAAACTAACATAAGAATTGTATGGCAGACAGTAAGGAGAATTACGAATAAGATCTTCGGGACAAAAAGGCTAATCCTAATCAAGCAGCCAAATTTCATATTTGTCCTACTCTAATGTTCCCAGGGGTTAAAATGACCCACTACCTAGGGGTTTTGTGTTGGTATCATTCCATCATCTTCCTGAAAATGTAAAGAATTTCTTCAATTTTTGGAAACCTTAATCCATTTTAGAACTTACAGGTTTCTCATGCTCACTGTTCATCATGAAGTTCTGTGGATGCCCAACAGCTTCAGACATTTTCTCAAAGGCAGGGTTGAAGTACTGAAAATGTACCACGAAAAAAAAATTTTTTGGAATTAAAGTAATTACCTCCTTATAGTTTAAAATGGTATAACTAAGATAAATAAATAACTTGAACAGAAGCTCTTAACTTTTTCCCCATCTTTTTTTACCCATCTGCCATCTTATTTTCCTAAAATACTAGGATTTTCCTGAAACAGAAAAATGGCAACCTTGTGGGTTGTACAAGAGGTCCATATCATCGTCTTGAACAGGTCATTGCCATTCTCAGGCTAGCCATAAGAGTGCCATTACTTTGAGTTTTTCTTCTTACCTCCCACACAGAGTTGTAACAATGTGTCACCTTTTTTTACCTTTATGATTTTGAAATCAAAGTATCTTAAACCAGTTGCACTGATTGTCAACAAATATGGCCCTTGTGACTATCAAGTGGAAGTTATGTAAGAACTAACAGATATTTTTACCCAAAAATAACAATGTTTTAATGGTACGTCATACAGACTTAAAGATAAAAGGTGCAGTTCTTCTTTCTTATTAATTGTTACAAATTATTGTTTCACAATATTCTTCCCATCAATGGAATTTTCGCACAAGAAATATATGCTGTGTGCTATTCCATGAGTGCAATCTTCTAAACATTAGATTAAAACAAAAATAAAATTTGTTTGGGGTTTTTTTTGTACCTCTACCTGTAACTCTGGCTTGTCAGGGTCTGCACTGGCAATCTCTACAGCATCAGTGGAGTGCTCGATTGCACTAAAAAGACAGCTTGTTGCCCTCAGTTTAAACATTGACTGAACTTCTCCATGTTCCAACATCAGCAACTCATTATGACAAGCCCCAACATTAGCATTTTCAACAAACCGCTAAAAAGGAAAAGTTAATTTTTGTCAGGAATTTTTTTGGGGAAAAATTACATTTCTGCTATGACAAACACAGCAGTGCACACTTAACTCCCTTTTACCCTTTACACCCCAATATCAGATTACATATACTCCATACTGTTCTCTATACATTTCCTTAAATGATAACAAAAATTATTTAACAATCAAGAGCTGCCTTAGTGGGTGATCATTTCTTCTACTCTCATGACCCTATGTTAGTCACTCTTACAGGTGAGAGTGTTAGTCATTCTAGCTTATAGAGAAGTGGAGCCAAAACAGTTTCCATAACTGCAAATCTGTACTTCAAGACACAATTTACTATCTTTAAAATGAAAGAAAGCACTCTCACCCGGTCAAATCCAGCTTTTAGCAGTGGAAGCATCGATGGTTCATCACTTCGTGGGCTAAAATGGAAACATGTTAACAGTCTGTCAGGACTGATATATGTATGTGACTTAATTCAACACAAGTGCAATATTAAATACAAGAGAAAGTGTATCACAACACTTCAAACTCTTAGAAAACATTTCACAGGGTTATTCATTTGCAAAGGGCTTTAGATTGAAGTGTTAGGCTTACAGTAAAACAAATTAAACAGCTTCACCTAAATTATCAAGACTTTACCCCTTTACCCTTTGATCCAAGGAGTGATCACTTAGTGAATTCTCATAACAAAATTTGAATAAACCAAACAGGTAACAAGAACTAGGAAACAGTCACCAATGGAATGTTGTTTAGATTTTACAACAAAATCAAAAACGGATTGATTATCAATTGGGAGGGTCTGGTTTTTTATCTTTGGGGCAACTGGATGAACAAAATTGAAATATTAGTGCAAAATGTTTGACAAGACACTGGTGTGACTACTGTCTTTTGTGAAAGCTGCTTAACTTTACAGTTGCATTGCTGTCAACACAGTACACTGTACGACTGTTACAAACTTCACTGTACAACATTCACAGATATCTGCTGACTGCACTTTGCTGCCAACTTCAACTTGAAAACTTTCCTTCACAAGCACAGTGGCTCATATAGTCATAATTTTTTTTTTTCAAAAGCTTGTTATATAATAACTTGGCAGAATGCACAATTTAAAGCTAGGATTGCAATCAAAGGGCAAATCTATGGACACATGTAGCCTGTAACTTGCAAAGGAGAGTCTAATTTGAAAGTTGCACGCAAGCGAGAGTAACCAGACCTGCGATCCCTCCTGAGGCCACATGTGAAAATTTTGCGAAGACAGTGGGATTTCGTTTTACTAGAAATGGCAATAGAGTGTAGTTAGTGATTAACATCTTACATTAATTAATGTCTTAGAAGAGCAAGCAAATTTGGAGAAGCATCACATGTTCAATAAAGTTAATTATCTTTGTTTATGAAAACAAATAACAACACATGCTGGTTCTCTTATTTCCTTAAAACAGAGATGTAATTCAATAAAGCTTGCTAATGTAACCAAAACCTGATTTAGCAAAGTGCACAGGTTGTCCGGAAGGAAAGGAGGTCGAAATAGCTTAGTGGAAAACACAGACAAAGAAGATTAAGCAGCTTTCAGGCAGACAGGCACACCAGTGGGTGATATAAATATTATTGTCATGAGTATATACATCTAAACTACACAAGAGGAACATTCTCGAGCTTAAAGTCATAAAACTTCCATTTCTTTTATAAAAATACAAATTCTCTTAAGTCATGATCAGTTTTGTCAGATGAATGACACACGCACACATCATTAAGTGATCACCCTTAAGTATTTTCTTGGAGGCTGTTACTTGAACAACACACAATAACCACTTTATGCAGGTTCATGAAACATTCCATACCATGCATAGTTGACAAGAAGATTACAATAAACAGATTTAAGATGTACAAATGCTTTCCCTGTCCTCGACTGATTTCCTGAGATAATGCCATGCATACATGAAATATTCACTATGGACCAATTTGATTAAGTCATGCAATAACAATTTTTTAAATCTTTCACATGAAAAGACAACTAGTTAACCAAGTCAAGGTTAATACATCTGTTGAATTTAAGAGGAATCTGTTACTCAACACAAACATGTAACCCTATAATTGTCATTTTTCAATGACACTTCTTTGTAAACATTAGCAAGTTTTGGGTCACATTTCGTTGCGAGTTAAAAAAGGATTATCATGAAAGTTTAATTAACGAGAAAGAAGGATGATCTCTGAATGAAAATAAAAAAAGCATGACATAAGCAAAGTGGTCAATTCCAAAGAAACACTTCTACTTCCTAATAACATTTGGCCAATGCAAGCTCTGTCACCAAAGAAACAAAGATATTTCTGTTCTAAAATCCACAACCCCCCAGTTTATATAGGATGACATCTTTATCTGCATTTCAGATTTACTAGCTTTGCAATTCCTAAGTAACCAAAGTCAGCTTTTAATACCATAGCTTCTGCAACCATGGTATTGCCATTGGAAAAAGAAAAAAATTTTTCTAGTAGACAAATCATAAACCCTGAAACATTGAAAATTAAATGGATGTTCAACACAAGTAGCAACAATTCTTTGGCAAGTTCAGTTTCACCTTTTCATGGAAAGTGGATAAAAGGAAGAGCAGCAGACAAATCCTTTCTTATCATTTTGAGAAAAGAGAGTTCATGAGATGGTGGATCAAAAAGTCAGTCTTAAATTTTCCTAGAAGTGTAGAGTGCACAAAAATTAGCTTGTAAATGGTACTAGGTCTCTCACCTCCCTTTGACTACAGCAATAATTATAGAATTCTCTCGTGGGCCTTTTGCTCTTATTATCCTAAAAAGTGAAAAAAAAATACTATTTAGTAAGTTAGGCAACAATCCTACTCTAAATCATACAAGATATAGCAAAAGGAAACTGCACTACATTACAAGTCCCTAGCAGGGGTTTAAATTTTTTCCCCCTAAGCGGCCGCAGATTGTGCAATAGCCAGTCATGTCCAGAAAAAGGGGCAATAGGGTGAAACCTAAACACAAACGCCTGTTTGCAGGCAAAACAGACAACAGTAAGAGGTCCCATAGGTAGTAGTACATCACCAGTAACTGGCTTTTATCAAAATCCAGGCCTTGGTTTAAGTGTGGGTCTCTCATGCATCTCAAAAACTTTTCTATCTTAATTTTCTTAAGCTTGTTCTTTTATATGCTCTTTGACTTACAAACATGGTTAAATTAAAATTATTTTTCTGGTTCTCCTTGTTTCCAAGAAAAAACAAATAGATTACAACCCATTTGTTGAGCTATTGTAAAAATACAATAGAGAGAGAGAAAGAGAGAGAGCAAATTCTTAGCTAAATTTTGAACTTGTTCATCTGCTAGAGAAAGACAAAGAGAAATGTTAAGTGTTTGTCGGCATTGTTGCACAAAGAAATATATCATTCCTGCAAGAGTACCTAGCCCCAGCTAATTCCGAATTCTCCATCAGTATCCTATGGCACAATGGTAACAGGATGACGTTCTGAGCCTCCATGGAGGTAAATAGTATTCTTTATCCCACAATCAAAGCTTCCTTAATTAATTAATACCTGTAGGATATTTGTTGCTTTGTCTTCTAATTAAAAACAGCCCCCCAAGTAAATTCATGCAAGGAAATAGGCAAGAAAACTTTGATATATTTTGTGAGGAAAACTCAAAAAACTAGAATAAGGGTGACCAAAAACAAATTTCATCTTCATAAATTTAGTTTGGTTACATGCCTTGCATTTTTGGTTTTGAATACCTAGTAGGCATCAAAATGGTGCAAAAATCATTGAGCATTCCTCAATAGGCATTCTTGAATTAATGATTTATGTCAAGACAATTGCAATGACCAAAATTGCCTTAGGATTTAGGGGAAAAACTCCAAAATTGACAGCTTCTTGTGAAAAAGCAAAAGAAGTTCCATTTCAACAAGAAAGATTACAGAAAACTACAAGTACTGATGGCAAGAAAGAGAAGAAATCACTCCACATGTACACACGGCCAGGACACCTTTGATTTAAATCTCTAAAGCTAATTAATAAAGAACAAACTTCCCTGAACATTTGCTTGAAAGAAGAAATGATACAATGATAAAGGATATTTCAAAAGGGAAAAATCACTCTCCAGAAATAATTCTAAGAGTTAACTAAGCTTGTTGGCTTAAAAAGCATTTCACCATGCAAATCAGAGATTTCATCATAAGAACTAGCAAGCTTACATTACCTGCAAAGTGTTTCTCCATCAATGACAGAATTTCCTCTCATGTCAATAAATATCACCTGAAAGTAATGATCATTCATTGAAATAAATGCAAACTAGGTGATGATCATATGTTTGGAATATTCCAAGATAATATACCGCTGTGAGAGTGAATCAGTGACTTCATTAGAGATTCCCATCAGTAAGTTTCTTGGACTCATTCCATGAAAATGACTGTCTAATTGTTTAAACTAATTTAGCTATTGTTGGACAAAACCAAGAGAGCCTGGGGCCTTCTGATGGCCTAAAACCATGGTTTGGGTTAGAGCTAATGAAAATAACAGGCCAAATGACTCCTAGACCTAAACAAATAGGTCCAACTACAGAGAGCATGGTCTTTTTAATATAATAGCAATACATATTCTTTATTATCCAACTGCACAAAGTAGAGTCAAAATAACACACAAATTGAGTACAAGTATCCTGCAATATTGTATGGTTATTTGGACAGTTGGTTATTTTGTACTGTAAAAAACCTGTTTAACCAGTTGGCTGCACGCTACACTTCTCTATCCACTTTGCTTTTCCCATCTTATGAGAAATGAGCAGAAAAACTTGGCAGAAAAAAAAGCAGTTGGATAATAAATAACTTATAGATGTTTTGGTGAGTAGTATCACTGAGTATTTTCACACGTTGTTTGTACTTTGACTTGCCCAACGGGCTTGACAAAATAGGGCACAACTCATTAAAATACTCAGCAATACTAAACACCAAAATATCTAATGAGATATATATATTTCAATCATTAAAAAAAATACAGGTTGTAATCAACCCTTACACCCTAACAACAGTATGCATATTCTCTCCTTACTGTTTTTTATACAATTCCTAAGGTGTTGACAAGGAGAATTTGTTTAACAATCAAGAGCTTCTTTAGTTGGTGATCATTTCCCTTACTGTGTGATTGTGGGGTGATATTGTCAGGAGGAATTAGATATTTGTCACTGTTTGCGGTTGAAGGGCTATGAAATGATAAAATCAAGTAACTCAATTCTTGGAAACACCAACAACTTAGAGCTTGAAATTAGGAGATCCTCGCAGCTAAGAACACTACTGAAACGAGTAGTTGTAAATAGGACCTGAAAAAAATTTCAGGCCCGTACGGGATTTGAACCCATGACCTCTGCGATACCGGTGCAGCGCTGATACTTAGAGCTCAGCTTCATGTTCATTCTGATTGCACCTTCACTGCCCTTTACTTGACAAATTTGACTCCATGACTAAGGAAGTTGTCTCCAAAATTACTTCTTCCTGAATTTCAGAGCCTACCAGTACTTTACTTTTGAGGTAAGTCATGTTAAAGATTCCAGATGACACAAACAGGACATTCTCTTTGATGGATGGTTTGATTGTGTCACATATTCCTTTGCTACCTCCTTTAGGACAAAGGCCAGATTTTATTTTTCATCTTTTCAAGGGGTTATAGAATCTGTGGACTAAATACTATTGCTTATCTTCCTCCCATTTCATACACTAGATTATTTGGATGTTTCATTATATGAATGCTGCATGAAAAAAACTAGCAGTCAAATCCAGCTCTTTCTACAACAATAATTGGGGCAATTGCTAACAGGAAGCACTACTCCTATTCCAGAAAGGAAAATTAGCAAAAACCACTTCCAACAGAGACACATTGAAATCCTGCTGCCACCCTAGTTAGCCACACCAACATGATCCACCAACACAAAATGAGTACAAGATACTCCTAATTCACTATTCTATGAGGTTTCCTTAACATTTTGTTGGCACCCTCTCATACTCCCAAGTAGCGAGAGGCATTGTGATGTGTTCAAATACATTTTCAAGCACACAACTACCCTAGGTGAAGAGAAGCCTAGATGAAAAGTTTGCTTATATGAAGAGTGTTAAACACAAATGTGTGAAACTAGCTCTAATTTTTATCATTTTGAGCTGGAAGAAAATTGAACTGATGCACTATCATTCACTTTCTAGCACTGCAGGGTAGAGTATGCAAAACTCAGTAAAGCTGTTGGATGATCCTTTAATCACAAAGAATTTCATGGAAGTGTTTTCACATGTTCATACTCAAAACATTCCTTGCATAACTCTTTAACTCCCAGAGGCGATTAACTAGTAAATGTGTACCACCTAGAGGGGAGAATTAACAATCAGATCTTGGGAGTCTGAGGATTAATAGTACTGTCTCAATTCTCCACACCCTTCAGAGTGACAATGTACAGGATACCAGTAAGGGGATATCACATACTAATCGCTTTGGAGTGTCAGGAAGTAAGTAGACTTAATCATAACATCATAAGGCTGATATAATCAAATTACTGATACCTACTCACCTCTGGCTGAATGTTTATGTACTGTTCCATGGCTTCTTCAGATGTTTTACAAATTTGACATAAATATCCACCTCTTTCGGCTGCATGAAGAAAGCTGTCAGTCTGAGCATCTTCTTTTGAAAACACCAGCATGATCTAGAACAATTAAAACAGGAAGTAACAATATTTTTAGGTTTGCATGATCTTGTTTATCTTTTGTTGGAAGAGTCTTTCAGTAAGTGCTGTCAGAACATTGGTTTTTTGTAGTAAATAAAGTATTCTGATGACATAGCACAGAAAAAACAACAATTTCAATTTATTCCCAATAAATGAGCATTTCTCTATAAAACTGAGTTTAGAATAAACAGTACACTCATCAAAAAGGTATTTCAACATTCTGTAACAATATAAATGAAACCACAAAACATTCTAACATGCAATCCTTAGATTTTTCAGAGTGGTTTTTCACAAAGTTCTAAATCAGTTCTTACGTTGACAATTTAGAATCACAATTATAGTTTACTAATAAACCACAGAAGTCAATGGATTATATAAAAATTGGATGGGTGAAGTGAATTGACTATATCTATGTTGATCACAACAAAAAAAGGTAAAGTTTAGACAAACTTTTTGTTATGCACACACAGACAGGCTTGTTTAATGCCTCCCAGAGTAAGTATTAAAAATAAAGAAATACTTTAAAGAAACAAATGGCATCAAAGATAGATAAACATTTTTTTCTTAAGTAAAACTATGAGTTAACATGGTAGGGAACATTCATTCTTGGAAGTTTAAAGTGACACTCTACTTGAAGGGAGCTTTTTGGAAGCTGCAAGACAATCTTTACATGCAAAGTAAAAACTCAAAAGTGTTTCAAAGAAATGTAGTGACTCAGCAGTAAACAAGAACCAGACACACATGGAAATAGACATGGAGACTGACAGTCAGAGAAGAGCTGAACAATGTTTATATTCCCACAAAAGAGTTAAATTGGAGAAAATTGTATGCCATAACATATGAAAATCCCACTTTCTTGGTTTAGTACGTGTAAATTTTCCAAAATAGATATTACACAATTATCAAATCTTGTTTGTTAAAGAAATTCATGTTTCTAAAATTAGAGCAAATATCTTTTTCAATCTGAGATTTGCATCCAAACCCAATTGATCTGGATAAATTTATTTTTGGAAAAGAATTTACATCCAGTTACAAGCATTCACACAAGCTGACCAAACCCTTAGTTTGGTCATTCTCAAAATACTGTATTTATTTGGCTATAAGCCGATCTCCACTATAAGCCAAGGCCCCAAACTTTGTACGTGTAGACTTGGCATAACAAGAACCAAAAATAAATCGAAAACACCCAGCTATAAGGCAAGACCCATTCATTATTACAAGACTGAATTGTTAACTAAGGGAAAAACCTAACATTTTCTGAAAAAATCACATTGATTGTCATAAATGAGGCTTAGACAATAACACATGAGCATTTACAAGAGATACAATGGTGATTTAATATGCAAAGGACCAAAAATCTTCCCTCTCAGAAAACACATGCAAATTAATAAATATTACCCATAACTAACTATTCAATTGAAAGGTAATGAATCATAACTCAGATGAATTAATGTGATCCAAAATATCAGTTTAAAACTAACTGTGTTGTTGAGTGGCATCACCAGTACCTTGTTCACAATCATTTATTTCAAAATAGCTGTTAGTGGATTGATGCAACATCTAAAGGCAAAAGTATTCAGCAAGGATCCTGAGTTTAAAAGCATCCCTAAGCTGGTACCAGAAATGGAAGTGCTGCCATTTTGTCAGCCTACCCACCAAAACAATGATTGTATATTGTGTTTCTTTACTTTAGCTTGGCTTATAAGTTAATACATCCTAATTTAGTAGAGTTTCTGTGCGCTGGAAAAAATTTTTTCAAAACTTTTGGCTATGAGCTGAGACCCCCTCTAGAGCCCAAATTTTAGTTCACTTCAGGTTTAATTTGTATAAAAATCGCCCGGCTTATAGTTGAATAAATATGGTATATATGATTAAGAAGCCCCCCCTCATAACTCATTCACAAAATATACTTGCCAACTTTGCTACTGGTGTCTTGCTTATGTGCAAGGCTAACATTATCCCTGGAAAACTATTGATAAGTTCATTACAATTACAAAAAGAGAAAATATTGCAGATGGAAAAATAAAATAACAACGGTACAATGAACCCTGGTAACAAAATTCAAATAGTGCAGACTAAATGAATACGATCCCTGACTTTTTGCAGAATGTCTTACACAACCAATCTAACCAAACCAGAAAAGTAGATTAAAAAATTTCAAAATTTCCACTTAAAATTGTACATTGTGACTGTAAAATCAATGAAACCAGCGTAACATAAAGTAGCAGCAAAATATGTTTCATATGCTGCAAACCCCGATTACATTTAACGAAAAATCCATATCGTGACTTAAAAATGAACAATCAACTGTGCATCAGCACATTCAAGATGTTACCATTATCAAATATGATCAATACATTTATCATCCCAACAACAACTATGGTAACCAATAAATCAACAGACACTAAATCTAAGCATGTAAATTCTTTTCAGCCAAATGTCTGAGAGGTAAAAAGCCTTCTTTCCCATAAAGACTTTCCAACCAATCATTCAGCCATTTCAAAAATTTCTATTTCTGACCTTCTTTCACTACTCCCAGAAATGAAATGCATCTGTATTTTAGTTTTTGTTTCAAGGAAAAAGGAAGGAAAAATGAAAAGACCAAACATTTAAGTCCACACATCATGTGCTGAAAAAAACCTTCAAGCCTAGCAAGATCAGATTACTGACCTATTTAACTATACTGATAAGGCAGTTACAGCTATATTTTTTCAAGATCTATCAGGACAGATCTAGAAAGCCTTACTCTTGCACATAGACAGCATAACTTGATTTCCACAAGAAAAAAATACATACACACAAAAACTAAGCAAAACAAAACTGTCGTCCAAGGTGGTTTAAATAAAAAATTGTCTTGCACTGATATCCACCAAATCAGTTATTTGTTTATTATCAAATGTTTGCTAGTAACTATGCACAGGGTTACACATGAGTTCTCAAAAAAGCCACAACCAGACACACTTCATCCTGGTGACCTTTTTGTGTGTATCTGACACAGTAATAATGACATAATGCACAGGTTAAAAATTTCTCTTTCTGATGTCAGTTTCAAACGCGATGAAATTTACATCAAAAAGTGAATCTGTGGGTGAGTAAGGATTTGAAATTAAATTCAACCTTGCCTCGTCTGCGAATCGAGTTTTTTCCGAAAACTAGTACAAGATTCGTTGTCATCATCAAGCAAGGTCATGATACAAACTCTAGCATCGAGTAACAGTAAATTCAAACGACTTCGGAGAGGCGTCCTTCTTAAAAGCTGCGATAGCTCCTGTTTCTGATGTTTACAATAGGTCAGTTTTTTTCTCGATAGCAAATGTTATCATCTATGCTTCGCACAAGACTGTTATGAGAAATTTGGATAGCGACCACAACAAAAACTCGCCATCAAACCTGTCAACTCGAGGTCATAAAAAAGATTAAAGTTTAAAAACATATATTCAACTGAAACTCTGACTTTTAAAGCGCGTCAAGTCGAAATGCCGGCGAAAGGCAACAGAAAATCTTGGTGCCTTCGGAAGAATCGATATGAGAACTTTCACGTATTACATGTAATATTTTTCAGAGAAGGTTTGATCCCTTTCTCTTCTAATGAAAAAACAAAGTTTTGCAATGGCAGGATGGAAAGACTTCCTGGTATCACGAGCGAAGACAACATTTAAAAGCCAAGCAAAAATATTAGGTAAGGAAAGGCCGTGGACCTTTCACACGACGAGAGCTATTGTAAACAAAAAACAGACCAATCTTTTTACGCGCTTGACGTGGAAAAAAAACCGGGGAAATATAGGTGAGGATTTCTCCTTCTTAACGGTAAAGATAACACAGGGGTTACCAGGATGTGAAAAATAACTTAAATCAAAGGTCTAGTAAGTCAAAATTGCGAAAGGTTGGCATATGAGCAAAGGAAAAATGTTCTGAATGTGTTGACGCGAAGCGCTAGGATGGCTTCGTTCCCAATGAAACAAAGTGGACGTGTAAAGGCACTATACAGAAATACTGTACAACACCCTATTCCAGGTCGAAGTTTGACGAGTTTGATCCGCTTAAAAAGTCGAAATGAGGCCAAGGATTGGCTACGTCGGTGAGAGAAGGGTAACTTCGATAGCAACTGTACTGTACATGATCTCTAACTGTCTTTCGCCCACAAGTCAAAGCTAGCTTTTTTGTGTTTTAACCGAGAAAAGACGAACGACAAATCCTACCTGCATTTGGGCTTGATATAACTTCATTGGTCCAAGTGAAATTTCCTTTCTTTCATTCTGTAAAAAGACATCCATAGAAAAATATCAGAGGACTGCGAAGGCAACACGGCCCAAATTTTGTAGAAAATGTACTCTGAACACCTTTTAATCTAAACTCAGTCGGCGACAATCGCAAACGGGAAAATAACACTCTTTACCTTGGGATGCTCCATACTACTCCTTGGGTCGTAAGTTTGTGTTTCTGCTTCAATAGAACTACCTCGATGAGAGTTTTGTCCTTTTTTATTATTTCCACGATTTCGAGAAGAAGACGACGTCGAAATATGCGACCCAGAGTCCGAGCTTGAACGAATATGGCCGACAATTTCACTAGGAGAAGATGCTCTTGGTCTAGGGCTTGATCCTTCGCGAATTTCGTCTCTACAATAAAATACTCCAGATTGTGAGACGTGAATGCTAGGAGCACAGCCCATTTATAGGGCTTAAAAGGAGAAACATTCACAGTCAATGCACCCACAATTTGTAACCAAACTTCCACAAGCAACTCAATAAGGACAAGATATTAGAATTATTCGCCTTCCCACATGCAATTCAAGGTCCCCGAACCAAAATCGTCAATTGCCGATGTCGTTCGAAGTAGCATGTGTGTTGGCGTAAAAAATACGCTTATCCCGCAAAGTTCACACAATCCATAGCCGGTGTTAGATCTTGCGAATCAACCCTTCTTGGAGCTGATTTCTCTGGGCACTCGGCACAATTGCGACGGACTTTTGAAAGCTTCAACCTTGTTCGCTGCTAGCTGTTGCTGTTATGGGAACAAACTCTGCTGGGTCGCCTCGTCATGTATAGAGGTCCAATCCCCGACCATTACTTTCGCCATGTGACCTCGTTAACCAATTGACTGGGTACGATCGGAATTCTTCGGTAGCGGTCGGGAACAGGTCGGTTTCCGATCAAACAGCTGCACCGTCCACGGCGATCTAAATTGACCTTCGAGTTGCAACTTTGCGGTTTGTTTATTCGCTGGGCGGTCGACGCAAATAGATAATATTACGAGGAAAGTGCAGAAAAATTGCAAAAAGCGGTAAAAAAGTCCTCAGAAATACAGAAAAAATAAAAACTTCATGATAGACCGGCGGAATTCAAAACAAATCTTCTGTTTTGTGGCTCACTCGTGCTCTACGGAGCTAGCAGAGAAACAGCCAATGTACATAAAGAGAACTCGTGAATGGTGACGTCATGGCCGCACAGATGGTCTCTCCTGCAAAAGAACAAATAATAATAATTTTTCAGAATTTTTCCGCAATACATCTAGCTCTCAAGACAATTAAAACTACGCTGTTCAGAAACAACAACAAAAAAAACATTTTCCGCCAAATCATACAGCAAGTACGATATAAACAATAAGAACTTTGTTGCAGGTTTTTCTTGTTTATTTTTCTTTTTTTTTCTTTCAAAACACAGGCTCTAAAGACGATTCTTTATCTTTAATATGATTTATTCAATCGTTACTCCTCTGAAAGGGGCTTCTTTATCTTACTCAGGACTGGAGCTGAAAGTGTAAAATGGATCAGTTTGTAGGATGAGGAATATCTCGAACTAGTCACCAAGCGTGGGTTGAGTTTCCAACCGTTGCAGCTGAACCGGAAGTGCTTAACTCAACAACAGAAAATAATCTACACTGGCGCTGCATGATGGGTAACCAAGCACCTAAGCTCTGTATCTCAAGCGGTTCACAGGTGCTAATAACGTTTTCATCTCTAGTTACAGAAGTAACTGGAATTGACCATTGAATTTGATAAAATGTCTTAGGATCTGCCCAAAACCAGCATAGCGAGCGAAATCATTTTAGAACTTTGTTTTTAAATATGACCATAAATGTTGCCGTTGGAGTTGCAAGTGTTCTCATCAGGATTACTGTTCTAAGCCTTGTTTATACGTTTTATCTGACTTCCAGTTCAAAATATTATCATTTTCTTCATAAATGATACCACATGATATCGCATTTAAATCAATTAGTACATCGCGCCGTCAGCAAACATTCGTGTTTTGTTGTTGTTGTTGTTTGTTTTGTTTTTTAATCTTAAGATTGGTAACAAACAGGAAGGCCAAATTTTCCGCATATTTATATTGTGACGCATTTACTACTTCCTTTCCCAGAAGAACATCCTATTGCAGGACTCTCTCAGAGCGTATATTGTATCAACGGACGAAGTTGTTAAAAATGGAAAATAGGAAATGACCAGTACACCTGAATTTCTAAGTCAAGTGTACTTCTCGTACGTAACCCAACAAAAGAGAAACGACCCCTGCCTAAAGATAGCAAGCACGACTGATAGTTGTCCAGCTTTTTAATTCCTAGCAATTCTCAAATGATTGTCGAAAGTGATCGGGATTGCGTGGTCAAAGTGCTTCAATATGCTTTGAGTTGACAACTCTTCAAAATTCAGGCAATTTTCTCGCTATCAGTGCGGTCCTGATACCAGTTACGACCCAGGGTGTCTCACACTTTACACATTTCTTCGAAGCCGGCAATTAAGCTTTAATTTGTGTGTGAGGTGGGAAGTCTTAAAAAACCAGACTGGCTTTTTACACGCCTTTGTCTTACCGACATGAAACACTCTTAGCTCTGAGTGTTGCTTTGAGTTGACAACTCTTCAAAATTCAGGCAATTTTTGCAAACAGTCGATCACGAAGGGTGTCTCACCTACAAGAAAGGTTTTAAAAAACCAGACTGGCTTTTTACACGCCTTTGTCTTCACGAAGAAACGTCTCTCTGGGTTCCTCGCAAAGTATTTGCAAACAGTCGATCAGAAGCCTACAAGAAGGTTTTAAAACCGTGGGCCTGCGAGTTGCCGAAGTAAAACCGGCCTGCTTGCGAGTTGTACAAGGGTTCTGGAACGAAAAACGAGAACGAAAACTTTTCTCTTTATCGTACTAGATAGACTTCCCACGGACTTCGCGAGAAAATGGGGGGATAAAACTCCAAATCCCTGGGCTTCGCCACCCCTGGTCAAGTGAGATGAAAAGGCAGGTGTCACACCATCACTAGGTGATCAGTTAAGACTTTATAAATCCCTTCGACGCATGTTTATCACCTGAGGATGAGTGCAATATCGTTGCTTTTTTCAAGTGAATTTGTATGAGTCATCCATTTAAATTTCAGTATATTCAAACGAATTTTCATCGCGGAAAATGTTATATTATTTTCATTCGATGGCAGTGTATTTTTTAGCCCTCGCGAATCCAGCTTATTTTCATTTTTTGACAAGTTAAGTTTAAGTTCTAGTTCAAAATCAAAATCAAAAGAAAGTTTCCTTGATCCGGTGAGCTTCCATTGTTGGTCATCAAGACAGGGTCGCTTGTCAGTTGTCGGAAAACTACAACCAAAGTAATAAATAACAACGGCCAATCAGAAGAAAGCAAAATACTTGTAATAGCCAATGAGAATTCAAAGTAATGACAACCAAACTGCCTGAAACGTGGGAAAACGCGAGGGATTAAGTCATGATTGGTTTTAATTTTGTATCTGATTGGTTGAGAAGGTCGCCCGAGTTTTCGGGACCAATCAAAGAGCGAAGTATAGCAAAAGCAAAGCAATCACGGATTCCTTTCGACGCTCAAGATAGATAACATGGTACATTAACTTCCTGTAAGCATTGCATAACTTTGGACTTTCCGGTAAAAGATTTCAAGCTTCGCTTTCTTGTTTTACTACTCGTAAAAAATCACTCTTCTTTGAACCTTTCTTTCATCTACTCAAAAATAACAGCCTTGTTCTGGCGAAATTTAACTCCGAATCTATTACTGGAAATTTTCCTCGGCGTGCCCCTAAAATGCTTAAATAGGGACCTTAGGCAGTCAGGACGGCAACGCCAAGGAAGACATCGATTAAAAAATGAATTTCTGCCTTTAATTAGAATTTAAAAAATCGCTGCATTTGTTTACCGTCTTATACGGCGCCACACCTCAACTTCAGCATAACGTATAAAAGAAACGTTGAGTTCCAAATGGAAATTGAAATAATTTGGTTTCGGTTCGCAGACGACGTAAGTTGTGGCGATTTCACGTTGTTGTTTTGCACGGGACGGCTAAGAAAAGTACAAAGTTTTAAAACGCATGTGCTGAGCTATTGTTCTGCCAATTAGATCTTTTGTTTTTTTCGTGTCCTCGTTGCCGTCGCCGTCGTGGTTTGCTTAAGGTCCCTAGTATTCAACGCAAGGAAGAGTTTTAACAGCGATGTGGTATAATGGGATGAGTGAAAGGAAACGGCGCCAAAACTTTTATAACACTGTGAACTACTTTCTTTGCTTTTTGTGAAGTTATCTTTCCATGAGATATCAGCATTTGTGTGAGGGAAGAAAACTTTTTGTATAAGTTGTTAAGTTGCCACTAACCACTCTTGCCAGCCAACGAGATTTCAGAATTTCGCGCCGCGCGCGAATATCAGTTACCATTAATACATACTTTTTGATAACTTTCGTAATTCATAAAGGGTTTCGAACGGAGTAATGAGAAGAAGAGATGTTAAATGTGTGAAAGCTGGAGTGATCCAATTTTCCCTTTTGGAGCCTCCGTAAGCAAATGTAGGCCGCGTGACATGTTAACCCTGTTACTGATCCCTGGATTACAGCGCGCGCGCTCAAGAAAGAACTTCGTTACGTCACAATAGGATGATTACGAACTAGTAACGAAAAATTAGTTTTTCAGATCACATCTTGCAGCTACTTATCGTTTTAATTAAAGAAATTAAAAGTAGAGTCATGGAAGAAACAAGGCAAGAAGTAGATACGGGGGAAGACGATCGAAAACAGTGGGACGAATCTGCAAGTCTTGAGGCGAGAGAGGCAAGGCCTGTTTTTAATCTTCAGCAAGTTCCTCTTGAAGCGAGAGAGGCAAGGCCTGTTTTTAATCCTCAGCAAGCTCCAACAAGTTTTCTACAGCAACAAAACTCACCAGCTCTGTCGACCCAGCTGCCGACGATCTGTTCACAAAATTCTAACGTGCTTCCTCAGATGCCTGTGTATCCAACTCCTCGATTTTACTATCAATGTTATGCCCCACCGCCATACTCCAGACCAATGTTTGATCCTTCTGCTTCATATCAAGCTTTCTATCAAAATGAAGGTATTTAATAACTTTTGTATCGATCAATTAGTTAGCTTGTTATTACACCATTGAAGTAGAGGGCCCAAAAAAACCAAGTTCATTAAATCGGCCAATGAGGATTAAGATGAATTTCTCAAGAAGCCAGTGAGAGCTCTTTGCGCGGGAAAATGAAAGATACCAAGCCGCGCTTGGTTGGTTTACAGTTGTCTTGCCGAGGGAATGGCGAGAATTTTTTTGGATCAGTTACAGTGCACATCGAGCTATACAACCATAGCGATTAAATGGCGGATAACTCTTAGTACTGAGCTAATGGTGAAAACTTAGCTGTTGTTGTATATTTACCCTGGTGTTCACTGCCTGTCTTTCTATATTTTATAGATAAAGATGTAAGCTTGTAAACTTTTAAAAAAATATAAAAAACAAGATGAGGTCTTTCAGCGCAGTGTTCAAAGAATTCACTAACGTGCTTAAGACAAAAGACTGGACATTACTGACGCCTCACAAGTTTGATTATATTTGATGATAGAGACTTCTTCATCTAGTACCTCTTTCAATAGTGTCGCTAATGGCAAAGTTAAAATTTGAAAGGTTCTAATGTCAACTGTTTTGTTTGATAATCCTGGTGACGAACCAACAACTTAATACAAGTTCTTTATATTTGACACAGATTTTCGCCCCAAAGAGAAGCGCCGCCGGTGTAGAACAGTTTTCACTCAAGAACAACTCTTCCTTCTCGAGACTGGATTCGATGAGCAGAAATACCCGGATGGCAAATTCCGCCAAGAGATGGCTGAGAAAACAGGCCTCCCTGAGGACAGAGTTCAAGTTTGGTTTCAAAACAGACGAGCCAAAGAAAAGCGACTTATGGAGGAGAAACTGTTCCGTGAAGCGCAACCAGAGAATGTTACCACAGTGGAGCACGAAAGAAGCCGTATAGTCAGAACTGTTGGCGAGAAACGATCAAAACCGGATGCTAGTTTCCAGCCTCACCTAGAGGAAGACGTAAGAGAACTGGACATAGTAACCACAGAAGTAGAGGATAGTGGTGTGGTGAATAAATTTGGAGGCGAAGGTTGGTTTCATTAAAAAGTTTTGTTCCGTCTCAACACTGACATCAGGTAGTGTTTATCATGATCCCCACCCACCCCTCGTCCCAAATAATTGTTGTATTTTAAAGTAACCTTATAAGAATCCTTGACGTACCTACTGCTCAGCCGAAGGTCTATCATCTTTGATATGGGCCCATTCGTGAGAAGATAGCCTCATTGAACGATCGAGGTCGCATTTAACTGTTATCACTCAAGTATTAGGTTGCATTTTCCATTTCCTTTATTCGCAGTATTCAGCGGTCATATTTTACAAGAAAATTAGGTAACTAGGGAAACATCAAGACTCGAGGGAAAACAAAACTAACTAGCTTTCCGAGGGACCATACATCAAGTGCTTTGTTGCATATTTAGATTTTCCCTTAAACAATCATGTGGCAAAAACATGCTGTTGCATTTGGCGCGCGGGCAACAACTGCGCAATTGTATCCCAGTCGGGATGCATTTGAATTTGATCAGGAAAAACAATAATGTTATGGAATATTAACTATATATTCTGCTTAAGGTTCCTTTTTTCCGAGGGCAGACGTAGAAATCAAACATTTTTTCGGAGAGTTTAAACATGTTTTGTTTTCCAAGTGTGCAGAAATGTTCAAGACCTTGATCCTTGTTGCCCGAATTATGTCGAGAAGGCTGACGAGAATCAAGCATCGTATCGAATCATAAAGAGAGCGCCCCTTAAACAGAGATCCTACCTCTCGTTAGGTGTTAATAAGTGATTTTTACGTTTAATACTGATATATTTATTATTTTATGAAATATAAATACAGTTCTCGGTGTTTTATTTACAGGTCAGGTTACGACTCAGACCATAACAGAGGCTCATCTACCAGGTATCAATATCACCACTTACTTGACTTCAGGCCCCCTTCCTAATCTCAGTGCATCTCAGGTTGAATCAGTCGAGACGAGAGTTGATGACCAGGCGGACGAGAACCAAGTCTTAATTACCTTGGACAACTCAGTAAGTTCATCGTCCTCGAATCCATTTGACAACCTTCCACGACATCTTTTTGTCAACAACGATGTTTCAGCCTTCTGTCAGAGCAGTAGCGACGATGGCAACAAAATGTTTCAAGGGAATCCAAAAACTTTGGCGGATGTTTACCTCGCAGAGGTCATTCAAACACAAGGAGAAGAAGTCGTCATCAGCACCGAAGAATCAGGGATCATTGAGCCTCAAGCCTGCTCAGAAAACATTGATTTACCTGAAAGAAGGCGTTCAAATTCTCCAGTACCGGAATATTTAAATCTTTGAGCATAGAATTTTATTTTCGAATACTACGTGATACTGTGGTTATTGCTGAAACTGCCAAGCCTAATAGGTTACACGGAGATATTATAGAAACAGATTTTTCTTTTACATTAGTAATTGTATAAATGAGTGCCTCGATATTTTCATTAAAGAACGTGAATTTTACCGCAAAGTAATTTATTCGCGCTCTGAAGTCACAATTTAAACTGGACAACTCCCATCTTACCAACCTCGTTCCCACGAACCTCTTCTTTTAGGGAGTGGGATGAAGAGGGAACCTCAAAACGGGGTTGCCTCCTAGCCTCGTATCCCATATTTATTGAGCCCCGTCATGTTTCTGCCCGCTCGCAATTGGTCTAATTGTGTCACAATTAAAACTGAGAAATATTCATGTAATATCCCTAATTTTTCTTCCATTTAAAACCACCGTTAACTAACAAAAGGAGGATGTTGTTTTTTGGAAGGTTCGTTCCATTTCTACAATGGTTGTCAGAGAACCATTGCCTTTGTTCTTCTGAGCACTCTGTGTTGGGTGAGGGTAGGGGAAACGAGTTCTTTAGCCTTGGCAGATACTAGACGGATTTCAAAGCATGAGGAAACTGAAACTCATATCCAGTTTCAATCAAAGGATCTAGAGCCCGTTTTTCGAAGGTCCTGGGAACTAGATGGGTCCATTAAGCTGTACTGTTTCCATTTAACATGGAATTTTGAAAACTATGATATAAAAATATGAACTAAAAAAGACATAATGGACTGGTTAGGGTGTTAGAACCTGCCTCTGTATTCCTTAAATTATTATTTCAAAATATTGCTTCGGGCCCGTAAAGTTACCGTGAATTTTGAATAACAGGCCCCAGGCCCCTTCCGGCACGACTTTCTGCAGTATCCAGAAACAAGGAAATGCTGCTTGAATTGGGGAAAAGAGATCCAACGAGAAAAGTAACTTGGTCTGTTTAAATTCATTCAGTCCTAATACGAACAAGACGAATAAGTAATGCTAGTAGGACTTAGTGAAGTCCAATTCAGTCCGGTATGAGTGATTGATAAAAGTGGAAGACCACGAATTTGTTAATAGCGGTTATGACTACAGACAGAATTGGACGACACGAAGTTCTGTTACCAATTCGTCAAACCTGACAAAATTTGGGAAAAACAAGCCATCTGTTACACGTTTTCCATAGAACAACAGTTAACTCGGCGAAATATCCGGCAATAGTGCGCGCACATGACGCGCACACTGTCCTGATAGTGCTCAAACCAGACTGGTGATAACCAATTGCATTCATTGAAATGTTCTAGTTTTAATTAGCTATGGTAATGGAACTTCATGTCGTCCAATTCAGTCTGTAATCATACGAGTGATAACAAAACCAACCACCGCGCAGCGGGATTCTGATTTGTTTATCACGACGATACGAAGTCTTATTACCAATTAATTATAACATTATAATCTCCGAGAGAACAGCCAAGTTATGAAAGAAAGGGAAATTTGCATTAAAAGACTGAAAGATCGTGATTGGTTGATTAAAACTACAACTTTGAATGTAATTGGCTTATTGAGCTGTCCGATAAAAACTTGGCAAGCGAATTAGGGGAAATAGGAGTTTTAAACCCAATCAGAATCGAGGAAATTGTAATTCTTAAGATTAGTGAATTTATTGTATCAATAAAGGTATCAACGACGCAAGATAAAATACAGACACTTGCACGTACAATAATTTAATAGAACACGGTTCATGCGTAATAAGCGCATTCAGACAAAAAGACATCTCGAGAAAAATGCACTTTTAACAAACAATGAAATCCTGTGCATCTTAATATTATTATAAACCTTTAATCCATGTACTTACAGCATAAAACTAAACTTCTCGGAGAAAATATAAATAGCTTTAAATTTCTTAATACTTCTTCCTGACAATATACAATTTGCGCGCAACATTTCAAATACATCGACCAGCTTTCCTTAATAACATGAAATAAGTTTGTTAAAAAAATGTTGTAGTCAAATAACAGCAAGGATATAGGATTGGTAAGAAACAAATGAGTTGGCTTCCATCTCTAACTGTATCCCTAACGCCATAGAGAAATCGTCTGATTTTTTTTCATTCCAGTCACGGCCTGGAAGCACGTATTCAACTCTGCGTTGTTACTACGTTCACTGCTTAGGTAAAATTATCTGAACCTTTTCGCTGTTGCCAAAGTTCGCATATTTATCTTACAAATTAACTTGGTTATATCAGTGGTTCTTATCAGCAGGCCACAATTCAAAATTTGATTGTGATCTTATCAAAAATTACTGAATGGGAAGGTATAGAACTAATAAGGTTTCCATCTATATTTTAACTTTGGTTTTGAGTCTGCATCAACTGATCTGATCAATGAGAGACACCGCAAGGATGCGGTTGAAATAGAGCGAGGGGTGGTTTCCTAAGAACTTGAGCACACATCTGCGATTGGACAGAGGTGATTGAACTGCCTCAAGGTACCACTAGGATGAGAAGATGATGATCTTGCGCTTTAACCATCACTAGCTACTTAACAGAGCTTATTATTGGTATGTCTCCAGACAATGAACAAATAATATCCATTTGCTCTCTCTCCAATTCAGTTTACTGCTTTTAATCCAGCTGAATCACATTTGACGACCCGTGATGACCAAGAAGTCCATGAGTCCATGGATACTGAGGACGACAAAAATAAAGAAACTCTGAATACAAAACAACTAAATGATTCGCTTCTAAACAAATTACTGTGCTTAGTCGGTGGCCAAATGAGTTGTTAATTATTACAATTGAGTGTCGAAAGTAATGCGGGATTGCTTTTGATTCGCTTTGCTACGCAATATGATTGGCAGGAAAACTCCCGCCACTCTCTCAACCGATCAGGCACAAAACTAGCACCAATCACGACTAGGTCACCCGCGTTTTCCCGCGCTTTGGGCGGTTTGCTAGCTTTTGCTTTGAGCCCTCATTGGCATCTTGTGATATTTTCCTTTCTTCTAAAAGCTTTTGCGATTACTTTGGGTTAGGTTTTACGACACTCAATTGGAAAACGCACTTAGGTCTTCGTATTCACAAGTTCCCGTGCCATTTCGAGATGAATATCGAAATATCAAAACAGCCTTTCTTAACACAATTATTTTGAGAAAAAGAAGCCAATGAGGTACAAAAAAATAGAAAGAAAATAACTAAGCCGACTTAGATCTAAAAAAACAATTTTTGCCAACAGGACAAGTCCTTTTAAAAACTACATTGTAATCAAAATTTAAACATTGATTACTCGTAAATAATTTTCCTATGTAACTTATTCATGAACTATTCAGCAGCAACGCACAAAAAAAGGTTCAAAATTTGACACAGAATAGCTAAAACAAGTTTAACTGCTTTTAAATATACGTTTCCCATACAATATCTTTTAACTAAACCATTGTGCAGAACAGAGTTAATCTAATGAAACCACTGCCGAACAGTGACTAGCCAAGCAGTTAGATTTCATTATAGTTCACAAGCTAAGGCCCAGTTATCTCTGAATGCTCTGAGATTCGTTGTCCTGGACACTATAATCGATTGGCTGTATCTAAACAAGTGGAACCTTCAGTACAAGTTATCCTTTTGCGATTGGTTTTCAAGAAGGCCCCTTTATCAACAGACGCACTGTAAGATGAATATGACATAAAAAATATCTAGGACTACAGACTATCTACCTACCTATAACTTGTCACACTAGAGGTTCTCAGTTTCCTCTCTGACACACAATGATTATGACATAAATAAAACACTAACAACACAAACAACAAAAACAGCAACAGAATTGACAAAAAAGAAACTATCATTCATTAAAAGTACTTACAGTTTCGTTGGGAGGAAAAAGAGGGTACATACTTTCGAGATCAAGTCCTATCAAAAGACAGATGATGAGAGGCATTTAACCAAAAGAAAGAGCAAAAATAATTAGTGAGCAAAGTTAGCCCTATTGCTTTTCAGGTGCAAGTGTCACAATTTGACTTCAATCTTGGTTTAACATTAATTTCTTAAAAAATAACACACAAAATCCACCACAAAGAAAAGAAAAGAAAAGAAACAGAAAGGATAATAAAAGTTAATACAATAAATGGTGGATTTCCCTCTACTTATTCCAGAGTTTCAACAAGGCAGGTTACCAGTGGTCTATTGCCACTCATAGCACCTCTCAACATAGTTTGTTTATTAGCCTGCAAGCAAGCTCTTGTGTTTGGGTTTTGCATTAACCCTTTACCCCCTAACATCAGCATCCATATTCTCCATACCATTCACTATACATTTCCCTAGGTGCTGACAAAGAAAATTTGTTTAATAATCAACAGCTGCTGTAGTTGGTGATCATTTCCAATATTCTCATGACCTTACTGTTTGATTCAAGGGTGATATTGCAAGGAGATATCAGATGCTAGTCACTCTTAAAAGGTTACAGCGTTAAGGCCCCTTTTCCAGGCACAGCTGTCTACAACACCATCAGCTGTCATCTGTAGAAATCATTACTGAAATCCTTGCCTATTGAAAAACCAATCAAGATAATATATAATTTTTTTTGTGGTGAACGGCAAAGTACCTTGGCACGGAAAGTCCAGTGGAGGAGGAGGGAAAAAGTTTGGATTCAGCAGTGATGAGGTTGATGTTCCAGGTATTGTACCTGTGTTGTTTGGAAACACCATTGGATTCAAACCAGGAGGTGATTTAACTCCACCAGGTCCAGGTGCAGTGTTAATGACACCATAGGGTGGCCTATACAAACAGAACACTTTCAGACACTACTATGTTACCAGTCTAGAGAGATTTACATCAATGACCCACATCATGTGGCCAAATTAGAAAAAAATACTCATTTTTGTACATCAAAATTTTTTGCATACTTCTCAAATGTAGAATAAGTATGATTTTGGTTCAACAATTGAACATTTAATGTCCATGCATCCAATGAAAGACTGTTCCACGGTCTAGAATTCTTGAAATTTACAGGCAGAAGTGTATGCAGCCTACATGAGGGGCTGAGAAACAAACAATGTACCTGGGTGTGTTTAAATCACGATCATTGTCACTTTCTTGATCATCATCATTATCATTTGTATCCTTTTCACTTTCTGAATCAGAGTCGAGAGTGAGGTCTATAATGTCACACTCTTTTTCCTTCTTGTTGTCGACTTCTTTTGTCTCTCCTGAAAAAAATCAGAATCGGGCAGTTACTCTAAAGGGCAACTCTCAGCTACTAGCAAATGACAAAATTCTCCTTCCTCTACATGTATACAAGGGTAAATACACACTCAGCTCTTTCATTCCCAAGGTCTCATTAAAAACTCTCCTAAACTGACTGCCATACAATTCTTAGGGAGTTATTTTGGAGAATTTGGTATTAGATCGATTAATAATCTCACAATTTATATTTTTTCCATTTAATTAACTTGTCTTCTTGATATTATATTGATATTGTATGGAGAAATTATGTTTTGGTCACCCGTGGGAGTTTATGGGTTAATTCAATATCCAGAGGAAGCTGAAAAACATCTTCAACAGGAGATGGCTATTCATGAAAAGTCTGAACCCTTCTGCTCAGGAAAGAACAATATAAAAAGTTCCTAAAATAAATAAAATTGCACAATTGCAGGAGACAAAAAAAAATTAAACAATTTTCAACATACAGATATGTGTGACATACCCTGGTGATGCAGTTTGCTTGATGAGACACTTTTTTCTGGTGATGACACAACTGCACTAGATATAAGTGCACTGATTGCTTTCTTACTTTCATGTTCTGAGGAAGAGGAATGAAAGAAAAGATCAGCGCTACTATTAACTTTCAATGTTTTTGCACAACTTTAGAGATTTAAATTTGAAGAAAATACTTTTACATAAATAAGTCCAGTGGCTTTTATTTCATTTTTTGGCTTAGGAATGCCACAGGCATGGGGGCAGCCACTACTACATGTTTCTCCCACATTTGGCACCTGTTCTGGAGCAGCACTTCATCTAGGGCAGCACTTTATAGGGTAAATATGCTTGGTGATATCCAATATTAACAACTGCCATTACAACCTCTGCCATGTTTCATGGAGTGCTTTCACTGATCAGTTACAAGCTGTTCCTAGGGCCTTACCCACTCTTCTGTCAACTTGCTCTAAAATTTAGGCTCTGAGTGACTCACAAATATTGGCTGTGAAAACTGTATTTCACAGACATGACAATTGATATTGTGGGCAAAACAAGGAGTACTGACCTGGCTGCTTATTCATATATATTAAGGATCAAAAGCAGATAGGTGCTTTATACCTTGCAAGTCGTTTATTGGTCTCCAAGAACCATCTTCATGAAATGAAATCTCGTTACAATTCACAGCTGCCTCAAGAATCTCTCTGAACAATCTGTAAGAACAAAAGATACAAAGTTTTTGTTGACAGTGTCTTATACACTTCAGGCATTTGATTGTTTGTTACAAATTCGTTTTTGGTGAACAAAGTTAATGGTTCCTGCAGTGTTACACTTTGGGTTGAAAAATCATCAAATTCTTGTCTCTTGATTCTTAAAGGGTACTCAATTTCTCTGTTATAACCTTTACAAGAAGTAAAATGCACAACTCATCATCAAAATGGAGATACATAGCTACAATTGATTTCAGATACAGGATGCTTTCCTTGTTTGTGATTGGTACTCCACAGAATTTATGTTACATCAATTTAAGGAAATTCCCTCACTGTAATACCAAACTCATGTTTTAAGGTTGTATACTCCTGTGCCTAACAAGAATGTGAGAAAAAGCTTCCTACCCGTCCAATACAAGTTTGTCGAACGGCGCCTTCTTATCACAAACTGGACAGATCCATGTTGTTTTCCTACAGGGATATTAAAGAGCAAAAGAAAAGAAAACATCACATTTATGTTTAAAAAAAAAAAAGAATAGAAGAAGATTTAAATTAAAACAAAACAGAGATTTACTTTCAATATGCAGTGTAGAAAAAATTCAATTTCCACTTGTAAGAGAAATTACTCTTTTTTTACAATAGTGTGTGGCTCAGAATAAAAATTTTGAACTTTTGTAGCCTGTACATTTGTAAAACAAAAACAAAAACAAAAACAAAAACAAATATCATTATGATAGCTCTTATACAACAAGAGAAAATTCAAAGAAACATCAATTAACAGTGAAAGCTATTTAATGTACCTTTCATTCATCTGCAAATACAAAGCTGCATCAAAGCATTGTAAGTGGTTACATGTGATGGCCCTGCAAGTGAAAACAAACAAGTTATTTAAAAGGAAATAATCTATGGACAACCATTCATTCCTAAGTAAGTCCTAACAAAATTAGTACTTACCTGCAAGGAAGTGTCATCCGTGTCTTTCCAAGCTAAAAGAACAACAATGAAATTAAAACAAAAAACAAAAAAAACCATGGCTGGTGTTAAATCAGAAATTCATGTTAAGATGCATATCATAGATTGTTGTATAAATTTCAGTACAGATCCAAAAGAACAGGGCTGAAATAACTGAAAACAAACATAAACCCCATCTTATGCCAAATTAAATTGAACTCACTGGACAAAGAAGGGAAACTCGTAAACTTGTAGTGGCCACTTCACTATCTGGATCATGGGCCAACTTTTCCTTGACTGAAATAAAAAATCAAGAAACACCTAACTTAGAATATGTTAAAACTATATGTCAGTAGTTTTCTAATATGTATGCTGCTACAGGAGTACATGCACTTTGCAAAATTAAAAGCACTCACTCAGTGCCCTTGAGTGGTCTGGATTTCTGTAACCATTGATCTTCAGTCTCTGTATTAAGCAACTTGAAGTGACAGCCCTGACAAGTTTTACTGTTACCACATGTCTCTGTCGAATAGAATCACAATTCAAACAGTGCTTAGTTTTGTAAAATCTATATAGCTTCCCACTATGTTGACCCCAGATTAGTGTAGAAATTAATTTAGTTGTTTATTGCAAAACTTGCATCATATAGAACACAAAAACAACTATAACCTCCTCTGCTTCTCAAAATCTACAATGAAGCCAAAGCTAATTGTAACATTATTTTTTTAGTTCTTTCCTCCACATGTTGGATCTATTCATATTAATTCTTAATAGGAGTAAAAATAACTCAGGTACAGCCCATATGTACAAAGTTCAAACATCATACTGTGGTGTTCAGTTTGCATTGTAATATTTGAGGAATTTTATGGGAGGAAACCTTAAATCACTTAATATGCATCACTGTGTCCCTACTGATGAGATTCTTCAAAAAACACCTCATGAAATTTTAGCTGCCAGCATTCCTAAAACTTCACTCACATTTTTAAATGGAAAACTGCTTTGTACAGAGCCTTTTGTTATAATTTGTGGAATATCTAACTCCATTGAATAAATAATCAGGCTTACCTGACCAAATTTTGGTGTCCATGAAACATGAATGTGATTTGGTACAGTTGGTGATAGACGACACAATTGTGTTATATTTACTGGTTTACTGGGTCGTTTTGATTCAGTATTAGGATTGCAGTTCTGTGATGTGTGACCCTGAAAGAAAATCAACTTTCAATTAGCAATTACGAACATTGTTGAGCCCTCAACTTCCAAGGTCTGATCTTTACTTCTCCCACTAAACTGACACATGTCTTTTCATAAATTAGTTGTATGGGAGAAAATTTAGTTTACAATCCAGAAAAAAACCCCTAGTAGCAAGTTTTTGTTTATTAAACAAGTTGACTTATTGGGTAAAACTTAACATCCAAAGGAAAGAATTATGTCAATCACTTTAAATTTGAAAGGGTTAGGTCGATGATTTCTTTGTGATTTCAGTACTGATAAATTTTTCCAATATTTGATCAAAATTTCTATGCTCTGGAGATTTTCATTGCATATAGTATGCTTTAGAAACAGAAAAAGAGTTAACTCATTTCATCACACTGCCAGTCTCTTGGCCATTTTTTAAGCAAAATGTCACAGCTCAAGCTTCAGAAACAATATAACAGACAGTTTCAAGCACACGTTCAAACAAGAACATAAGAAAATTGGAACATACTGTATTAATCTGACACATTTTTCCATTCACTTTGACACACAGCGAAGATGGAAAGTTGTCCTCTTGTACACAACTTGTTTCAAATAGGCAAAATCTGAATATGAAAGATGCACTTTATTATAAGGAACAATAAATACAACCTTCCCCCTTAATTCTAAAATTCAAGTTGAAATCCTGTCAACTAAATGGATGTACTTTAGTTGGACAGAAACATTAAACTACCTTCGTACACTACATTTACTTCATTTATACTGCATCCCTGGGTATGAACTGACCTATGTGTTATAGCAAGTAATTCAATCCTGCATGGCTCTTTACAGACTCAATACATGAAACAAAATAGTAGTCTGAGAGGACTGAAATGTGACCAGTTCATGACCAATTCAAATCTGTTATTAACCCAGCATGAGATCAACATACCAAAGACCAAATTCTTTCAAAATGCAGGGAAAAAGAATAAATAGGATTGAATAGAGCCAGCTTATACTGGATAACTAAAGTACTAATTATATGAGAGAAAGCTCAACATAATACTTTGGGCACAAACAATACCAGCCAGCTGCCAATCATAACTTAAGATTTGCATCATCTTTTCCTACTCAAAAAGCCACCCACACATTGTGTAATAAGATTCAAAACCAATAATGCATTCCAACATAACAATACCTTAACTGGACTTGGACTGTATACTCATTCCTAGAATTTGGCCGCGTATCCCTATGAGAGAGGTTCAACTGTATGGTTAGTTCATGCAGATGTTTAAACACTCCTAAGAACTGCAAACTTATATATATATATATCATCATTTTTAATAGCAAAGTGGTGAGCAAATAAATCATGTCTGTGAAACATGTACTTTGCAAAGAAAGTGGCTCAGAAATCAATTTTTTTTGGTTGATAAAAGCAATTCATACAGGAGAATCTTCCAAAGAAAAAATTACAGGTGTACACAGCTGCTCACTGAGACCACCTTGAATTGTGTTCAGTGTTCTTCTTCTCAGGCAGTAACTGGTAAAATTTACTGCCTTTGGTACTTCTTCTGCCTGCTTAACTTTGCTTGGAAGTCTTGTAAATTCAACACTGTCAGCTAAATGGGTTTTTCTACTACTTTAAAAATTTATTTCACCTGTAGTGCTCAAAATTTGGAGAACACTGCTTGTGCACACTTTATAATAAGCATACCACTTGTCAAACTAGGTATCTAGACTAAGTGCTTAGGTAAATTTTAGGTTCAAACTTAAATTTAATCAAGCTACTAAAAAAATTTGCTTACCTTGAACTACTTATAAGTTGTACTTGGCTCGGCGTAAGATGGAACATGACATATGCTTCTTGAAAGTGCGACAACCCACGAAGAACTAAAAACAACATTTTGTGAAACATAAGCAACACATCATGTGGCAAAATAAACAGGAGATTTGTCAGCAGAGTATGCAATTTCACCTAAAAAAGAGTATGTCTACATTTCTAAGTATATCCCTTCACACAAGCAGGCAACTTGCTCTTTAAGAGGAGAAAGAGAATTTAAAAATTTCATAAACCAGTTACAACTGATGACTGTATTCTCTGTTGTTTTAAAAATTCATCCTTCTCTAGATCAACTTCTTCTGTCAATAAAAATCAAGCAAAATGAAACAAGGATTTTTAACCATAGTACATGTTGGTCACTTGATTTTATCAAGTTGTGTCTACCATTATCCTGACATGAAAATAGACATAGATTTGCATGGACAGATGACAATTTTAACACCAACACAATTTTTATCATATTTTCAAGCTTGAAATTATCCAAAAATTAAAAGTTAATTTTGACATAAGTATTTCAGTAAGTATCAGTAAGGAGGTAGCCACTGTGAGGATGGTAATTGTACAAGCATGTTTCAGTACATTCTATTTCTTCTATCACCGTATATAGTATTATATATATAATCATATAAATTGCATGATATACATGATCAGCGTAAAATTAGAGTGAAAAAGATCTAGGGATGTCATTCTCTTAATGTTGTTACAAATCTAATTATTTGGCTTTTAGGGCAGACTTCCCTAAGTGAAGGATTTAAATATCTAAAATAGTTTTCAATGGATTCCAAGCCCTTTCATGGTTCAAGAGTCATTTTGAAAGCCTTTAGAAGGCCAGCAGATATTTCTAATGTTCTCCTTTAGATTTATTATGAGTATACATTTCTAATATTGTCTTTTTTTTCTTTGACCATAATAATTGACATGCATTGCATTTAATTGCATGGACCTATCATCCCAAATTAAAAAACACTGTAGATTCTCCTAATAGCTCCCAAGTTGTTCTGTATGATGGTACAAGACCAAACAACTTCTGTCATGAATTATTATATTGTGTTTGGACAATTTTTAATTGACTTCTAAAAAAAAAAAAAAAAGTGGTCAGATATGGCCATGTCATGAGGTAGGGAGTATTTTAAAACCTTAGAGCTGTTAAAATTATTCTGTTTTGTTTAATTTTCAGTTGTAAAACCTCTATCCTATCAATAAAGAAGACAGCAATAAAAGAGAATAGTTGAATAATGAAAAAAAAGAACCTAAAAGGATTGTTTAGGCCATCTTTTGAATCCTGAATAGAGACAGGTTCACTGCAATGACCTCTTTTACTTTTCGATTCACTACACAAACAAATCCAACAGGCAGAATCTGATTTGAGAACAAAGTAAACAGAACAAAGCAAAACACAACAGAACATGTTAAAGAGCACTACTAACCCGATAATGATCATAATTAGAGTGTTCCTTTGAATTTTATTTTAAACACAAAGCACTCCCTGTCCTTAAACCGAAATTCTAAGAAAAGATTCAAACCACTCTTACATCAGTTTACCAAAGGCATTTGCCTTCTAAAGCCCACGCTTCGAACAAAGATTGCGCAAAGAATTTCCGTCCGTAATTTAAGGGCTTGGAGTACATCAACGTCAATGTGGCGCGGAAATTTCTCCGCAAAGAAAAATTGGATAAAGAAAGTACATCTACTGAAAAAAAAAGCATTTGACAGTCAATTTAATTTTTAAGTCCATAAACGACTTTATTCTGTCAAGCCTTACCAAAAAAAATGCTGTATCGTCATTACTTACTTCACGAATGACATTTCACTTACTAAGCAGAATGGAAATCTCTAGAAACAAACGAGACATGGCCGATTTTACACGGCGTTAACAGCCAAAATCCGCCTACTTTCTAAGGACGATACACTGAAGACTCACCTAAGCTTGTTGGTCGCACTAGGTCGTCGATTTGTTCAAAGAACGGTAAATGTGAAAGTCGAACGTCAGGGTGCACGGGAACGCCGGTTGTGTCCGAATTCACACTTTGTAATTGCGAAGAACGTTGAACTGGCGGTTGTATCGCCGGTCTTGGTTGAGCTGGAGGTATAACCACTTTCCGAGGGCATCGTCTTTCATACAATTCCCGTAGTTTCTTTCTGACATGATGATTTCCTTCGCTTTTCAACATTTGGAGCGCTCGGCCCATAAGTTCATGTTTTCTTCCCGTTTTAGACCGTCCCGCAAACACAAGCAGTGACTGTAATTCTGAGACACGAAAACTCAATAGCATATGCTGTATATGAAAGAAAAAATCTCAAATTAACAACTGGAATCATAATTATTAAAAAGAATACGCCGAACAACAGGAAATTTGTGGCTTTTCCTACCCGTAGATCCGCCACTTCGTCCATTTTGCTTTTTCCTAACTGATACTCTCCCCAGTTCCTCACTCATGTCTTCTGGCGTAAAAAGAACAATAACATTAGTGACGTCACGTTCTTTCTTTCAGGAAGTGGAGAAGACATATAGTTACAATGATTAGTAAACCAGGAAGTTGCCAAAAAGGGAGAAATTGTTTTGACGTCGCATTAATTCTTAAAACAAACACTCCATGAGGTGTAAAGCTGGATTTTCTGCCACAGTGAGTTTAATGAAACTCCTTCCCTGAATATCAAACAAAGAGGAGTAGACAGGTCATAATAATTTGCAGAATATGGACATTTTCATGATATGAACATCAAATAATGAAGAAGTTACACACAGAAAATTTGGCAGCCATTAAAAAGGGATACAAAAACTGCTGGGCAATCACTTATATCATATCTCATCCACAGCAGAAGTTTTTTCCTTAAAATGGGCAATTGGCTTTGCTCTGACAAAGGGCTAACATTCCAAACATCAGCTTTAGAAACTCTTTACAGTGGCCAGCATGCATTATCAACACAGTTGATAAAGCTGAATCACCCAATAATACCCTTGCCAATGCAACACCACTGTTTATTTGAAAAATTTCCCTTTTAAATTAAGCATACTCCACTCTTTTTAAAATTAAGGCAGAAAAAACAACAACCATTACTACAAGAGTTATGAGACATATTTTATTAAGTGATATAAAGTCATTAAAAACTGTTCACAAAAATCTGACCTTCGGAAAATGGACTCTTCTCATTTTATTTCACATAGAAATATATAATTCAAAATCTTATTTACATTTCTGTTATATACATATTCAATAACCCACTAATCATAATTTTTTGCTATTCCCTACTTAATGGAGAATAGAGCTGCAATTTAACCCACAAGTAACTTACCAATTTTGAATAAATCATTCAATACTATTATTTATCAAGCTTAGTTTTCCAAAGAAACAGACCACAACAAATCTTAGCACATACAGTCCCTACTTTCCCCCTTCTAAAGGGCAGCAGAAAAATAAGAAACAAGGAAAAAAATACCACAAGTAAATTATTGACAGAACAAATTTTCTTCAATGTCCTATTACAACTCTCTTATATGATCACCTTTTCACTGAAACTCCCTTCTGTGACCCAGTTAAAAGTCCTAAATGAAAGTCTACAATTCCATTGTAATAACAGGCAAAACAGATGTTATCAAAAATTAGTACTGTTGATAGTGGTAAAAAGAAAACATTCCTTTGTACTTGACTTAGGAACTAAAAATTCTTCAATCCATATGTTAGAACCATTCCACATGTACAAGATTTTCTTTTTCTTAACTTTGAAATAAATAACTACCAGTAGGTAAATAAATATACTTAATCTCTCATTTCATCTTCATGACAATGTATATATATACTGGTCTTTATTTTCATCAGACTGCACTGTCCATCAGTGATCATCTCTTTTTAACCTCTTTAGCAAAAACCAATTTCTTCATTTTCGTACAAAATTCAACAAACAAAAAACAACTCCTAAGCAGGAGAGTAGCTGGAGTCATTTTATCTCAAGTGATAAAGTTCTGGAACATAAAACCACACAACAAAGGTGTTTTTGTTTCAAGTGTGGTGATTAGCCATGCCAACAGCCTTTGAAAACTAAAACTGAGATTCCCCTTGATTAAAATGCAAGTAACATTAATTCCTCTTCAAAGATGGAAATAAGTACATGTCAATTAACCCTTTCAATCCTGAGATCTCGTTGGTAATTCTCCTCACTATTTGTCAAAATTGATATTTTTCTTAATTCTCATTGCATGTCTGCTGAGGTGTTAACGGATTAAAACTGAATTTAACACTACATCTCTACAGCTTCTTTAAAACTTGATTAATTTTTTTTCTCCTATCCTCATAAAGAGGTTATGATACTACCAAGTTCACATGACTATCATAACACATAACTGTCTGTTCCCTCCTTGACTTTTAGTGTGCATGAGCACAACACCAGAAATCTGCTTTGCCAGCCCACTTAGTACTTGGCTGAAAAGTTGATGACGGGACTCCTAATGGATATAAAACCACTTAAATAACAAGTGCTTTCTCCTGGATTTTGCCCTTGTGTGTGTCAGCTGGCGTTATAAAGTAACCTTACACCTGGTGAACTGTTTTCATTGCCATTATCAGGTGATCAATCCCAATTCTCTTGAAAGCTGAAGAGAAGAAATAAATAAAAGCTGATGAATAGTTATGCTAGTTATTATAACAAAATAATTCAATTAAGGTTTCTCTTCACTAATATACAATCACGCACAAGAAGGTACATTATAGAATGCTTGAGGGCCAGGGTTTTAATGGGAGCATGGAGCTGATTGACTTTCCTTGTTACTTCCGTAATCATACAAGCCAACATACCCCAATGTATATGTTCTACATTTGGGCCTGTCATTAGGGCTCCTGAGAGACTCTAGGAAGTGTAGTTAATGGAAATTTTATTGCGGTTAGACTTATTGGGACTAAATGCAGTGAGTCTGTGTTATGTGGAAATAATAATATGATAAGTTGTCTGAAATTTATAATCTAGATACCCTGACACTGGACAGTAATCAACTCAAGCCCCATAAGGTAAGACAGAAGAAACATATCCTTTATAATCTCCACTTTCTTCAACTTCAATTATTTTCAAACTTGAAGAAAACCTCAGTGACAAAAGCACCTGAGATCTGTTTAACCCTGGCAACAGGTTTTATTCAGATAATTACTGTGAAAATGGATTTTATCCTTTTCAGGATACTTAAAGTTTGTAAAACTTGCTAGAGAACTTAGCTTAAAATCTTTAATACAATTCATCATTAGATCAACATACTCTTTCATAAACAGTCCATGACATGGCTGCCATGAGAGTTCTTCTCACTGAGCGGGGAACTAGACCCTTGAAGAGTCCAAATACTCCATTTGTCTAAAGAGAAAAATAAAATAATGAATTCAAAATATTTGTCATCATGAAAAGTACACATAGCTTTAATCTAAATTTTCAAAGGAATACACGTGGACTTACAGATTGAAAAGTTATATGACAGCTGAAAAAGAAAATAACCAACTGACTTGCATCCAACAATTACAGGCATTCTCCTTTTCAGGTGGTATCCAGTAGAGTTACTGCCTGCACTACCCCTTATTACAACCTAAAAATTGCTTGGAATTCTTGTAGTTCAACTGGTGAAACAATCGGTCCACCACTTTGAAAATTATTTTAACTGCTGCGCTTAAAGTGAGGGCGAACACTGAATTGGAAGAGTATTAAAGCAGGTAAAATGTAGAGGACTAGCAAGCATTTGATCTTTCAACCTACTCTCACCTTTAATATACAATAGACTGCACTGCCTGTGCTGCTATACTTGTGTGGAAACAATTGAAGTCTTGTCTTTACCACATCAGCAGGCTGTGTTACAACTGAAGCTATGACTCCAGCCAGAGAACCACAAATGAAAGTCTCAAATGCATGGAGTTCTGGTGTACCAAGTCCTAAAGGGAAAAGAAAATTTATGGAAAAAATCATATACTTTGAAAAGACTTGCACAAGCCACAGAAAAAAGAAAGGAAAAATCCCACTCACTACGATAATCATTCTGACATTTTGTTTAATGCAGTTGTCCCAAAATTTTGCAAATGAATGAGATTTATTTTAACCACACTGTTCTAAGAAATTCACCTACAGAGTAAATCTTTTTAAAAAAAACTTTTTCTTATTTCACTGTCTCTTTTTAATGAGTGAATTTCACGACAAATGAAGGAGTTTTAGTAATTAGCAAAGAGAAATTTCATTTGATCAGTCAGCCAATTCCTGTAAAAATCTGGAAATTTATTTGCTGAAAATTACATGACCAATACAGGCTTGAAAAGTATGTCCTCATTGATGCAACTTTCAAGGAGCTTTGAAAATCAGAAATATTATTATCTTCTGAAGCTCCCTGAAAAATTATTTGCTCACCATTCTTTGCTTGTCTCTTTATCATGGTGTAAAACATCAAGTAAAGCCCTGAAAATGGGGCATCACGTGCTACAGTTGCCAGCAACCCACTATATAAGCCTGAAATGAAAGAAAGGGAGTATTATTTTCCTTTTATAAGAATATTTTCCCTGAGCAATAAAATCTAATCATGTAAAAACTTCAGGAATCCATTCAAGGGTATAATAATCCCTTTTTAGTAGGGGCTTTTGCTGGTAAAAGATGGTCCTTTGACCCTTTACACCTTAACATCAATATGCATATACTTCACACTGTTCTCTTTACATTTCCTAACGTGCTAAAAAGGAGAATTTGTAAGACAGTCAAGAGCTCTTTAAGTTGATGATAATTTCCTTTATTTTTGCAATCATAATTTTGGATTTAAGGGTGATAATGTAAAGAGATTTTTGATGCTAGTCACTTTTTGGGGTCAAAGGGTCAATGGTCAGGAGTAAGAGACCGTGCAGGGATTTGCAAACAGTGGTAACCACTGCTAAACTGCTTTTAATTAAATGCCTGCCTACTGCAACATACCTTTTCCTCCTTCCCTCCTCCAGATTGACGTCATTGCATCCAACATACTGCTGTAGCTATAAAATCCACTCTATAATTAAAGAAAAAAGGCACTAACTCGGTGCAAGTTATCAATTTTTTTTTTACTTCTGCCAAATTTGAGTAAATGAGACTAAGCATCCAAAGACAGGTACTCAGACTTGCTAGAAAAGCTTGAAAACACACCTCATATCTAGTTTTCACTACAGTAACTGGCAAGAGGGTGATTCCTGCTATTGTTCTGGCACTTGCTCCTAATAAAACTGATTCTCCCAAGGTTCTTTCCTCACTGCAAGAAAGTTGCAAATGTTGACTGTTAAACAGTGCAGAATGGTACATACATTATAATCAATAAGCTATCAGTATTTGTATCATTTTATCATTTGCAAGAATTAAAACCATTTATAAAGGGTTAGCACCCTGGACTCCAGATCAAAAGGTTGAATTTTCATCTCAAGCCTGAGACACTGCATTGTGTTCTTTGACACTCCAGTCGTGCTGTCAATTATCTTTGAAAACATACAAGCAATGTAACATGGAATCTAAGTGCTAGGCATAAGCATCTAATGAAGTGAAGCAATACCCTTGCTCACTTTTAACCCTTAACACAATTTTTCTACAAGTACATACAAAAGAACTTATCAGCTGGGACACTTCCATTCAAAAGACAGTCATAAATGTTTGATTGAATCCCCCTCTATAGAGGCATTGACCACTGTGCTTTGTAACATCATATATGTTCAAGAAAACTGAACAAGAACTGAGTGTACCCCAAAATCCTTAACTATGCTGTCTTTACAGGTTTAGTACTGAATAGGTACTGATGCTGGAAAAGGGGAGGTGCTGGGTTTTAACTCTTGGAGTGAACTTGGACTGATCTGGGAGTCTGCAGAGAGTAAACTAACCTAGTAAATTGTGACAAACCATGAAGAGCGCTGAAGTACAATCCAATTCCAGGGACACATCTTGACAATGCCTAGGAAAAATGTTTAACACATAAATCTTAGTCCAAAGTTACAGAGTACAGAAAGCGAAATGCCAGAAGGCTCTAATGTGTATCGAATGAATGAAAACAGCAAGAGTACCACCTTACCGGAACAAGTCCTCTCCAGAGTCCAACAATATGCTCTCTTCGAGCCACTGAGTAAAACGTATAAAGCATGCCATTGCTTCCGCTGTCAAGGAATTGTAACAAGATAATCAGTGCTTCAAGCTCCTGTTTTCAGTGACCTGTAAAACCAGATATCGTTTCGAAGTCTCTCTTCTCAAACAGGTTTTACATTAAGCAAAATAAAAAAATTTCTTAGTAAAAAAAAAAAAATTTTTTTTACCCTAATTTAAGCCGTCCAGCAGAAGATAAAGCCGTTCCTTCCACTTGCAAACGAGTTTTTACCAGATCAAATGGTTGAAATAACAGAGTAGAACAAGTGCCGCTCAAAGATCCTGCGGCGAAGGCCTTCACCAAAGATGCCTATGATAGAAGGATCAACAATAGTTATATAACAAGCTTAGTTGACGTCGAATCGCGTTTTCACATCTTTCGATCGCTAATGAAAGTATTGAACTTACATCAAATTTGCTATGACCCATTTATTCTAGCTGTATAGTGTGCTGTCCCTTCTTCCCTGAGCGATCAACTTTGTTTACGAATCAGGTAAGTATTCTAGGCGCGGACGTTCGTTACTCGGGGTCGTGAAATTGACATGATCTCTGTAACAAGTTTTAAAATTCGATTCCCGTGAATTCTTCGGTAGCGATTTCCACTTAAGCTGTCAAAGCAGCCTGTAGACACCGTGAATTGTCCAAGGGATCAAACAAGAAACCTCCTTCCATGATGAAAGACGAAATTTTCTCGAGTCAAAGTCATGATAATTTTTTTTTTTTTGCTACGTCTTCCCCAGCGAGCGCGTTCGGTCACGAGATTTCCATGACGTATGGTAAAATTCGAGGTATGATTGGTCAATACGGGGTGTGCGGATTGGCGCGGAATTTAACTATCCCAAATAAGGAACACATGGTTCCAAATAAGGGTCACGACTTCCCCAAATACGGGACTATCCCCCAAATAAGGGTCACCAGGAAATGTTTTTCACAACGCTGCCTAGAAATGTGAAAATACGATCACGAAGGAGACGGGAGATTATTCTCCAATAAATGTACGACCACCATAGGATTAGAACACAATTAAAGGTGGATCGTAATTTTATCACTCGCGATCGGTTGTGAATGATATCAGTTAGAAACGTTCATGTGGTGTCATGGTGGATGTACAAATCCTGTGTGTTACGAACTTACTAAACCCCGACCCCACCAATCAACGCCTTTCGAACTTACTTGGCGGTCTCCTGAGGACTGTATACCAACTTTCGAGGTGCTAATACCTGACTCAGCGCTGCTCTCTTCATGTTGAATGCTAAAGAAATCGTCCATACATACACTGAGTTGAGAAAAACAACGTAAGCTAAATGAACAAATTACCGAAACTCTCGATTCTAGTGTAGTAATTGTAGATGTTTGACTCGCAAATTCGCTCCCCATAATCCTTGCAAGCTTAGCAGCCTGGTAAGTGGATTAAGTCGAATTTCCTTCTTCTAATTTACCTGTAGGCTCATTAGGCTAAAAAGGTTTTTTATTCTTTGTTTATCTAAACCAAACCAATCTAACCAAAGTTCCTAGATGTCGAGTGTGGTTAACCAGACTTTTTTTTTCGCCCCTCCATAATTTACAAGAACTTGCAAAACATACAGATTTCCAACATGAATATTTCCCACAGCGAACAGCTGTCTAAGGTGAATGCTTTACAAGACAATGTTATTTCTAATGTAGATTTTAAATATTCTTGAGTAAGTTTTCATGCAGGATAATTATTCCTGCAACGTAAATAATGTACGGGAGATTTATTTTTAAACGTAGGAAATCCATAATAAAGTGGCTAATTGGATAAGATTTAGGAGTAACACATGACAGGATATTGCTGTTAGTCAACCGAAGTAATATCGCTTGAGCAAGGCTGTTGCCTCTAGCTACCAACCCCTTGTGATATTTCGTTCCAGTTTGATTGATTCTTACCAAAATTTACTTAAAATATTTGCAGGTTACGTAAGAGTGTTAAATCGACATTCGGTTATGTTTATAAGCCAGCTTCGCGAGCAACATGAATAATAATGAATAAAAAAGTTCATCGCATCAGGAACATTTTTCGTGACCATACCTTATTTCTACCGTTTGGTGGTCAATGATGTGAACCGGAGAAAGAGGTGCTGAGGATTTTCTCCACAACTCGTGAATTTTGTTCTGTACGCTTCTCGTTTCCAATCAGAGCATTCACCAATTTTTGTTGTTTCAACACCAATATCGTGAATTATGCATGCATAATGCAAATGATAATTAGTTGGAACAATCACTCACGCTACTTTTTCCGGCTTTCAAAAGGCTTTCTCTTCTTCCACATTATTTACACACATACATTGATAGTTTACACTGATTCCGTGAAGTACGCGTACTGGTTACAGGTAATTATGAAATAAGCTGAATCATATGATAAGCTGAATTTTGCGGCGCATTTTGATCAGTTCTTGCATAGATGACGTTACTGTAAACGACATTTTTTATCATATAAGACAAATAAATTCCAAGTTTCCGCGAGTCTGTACAGTAGTAGATCACAGAAGGCATCAAAATGTGGTAACGCGCGGCAACATGGAATCTCTTCGTTAACAGGACTTCAGCTGGACTGCAACACTTGTTCAGTGGGGCAGTCATTGGGCATGCGCAAAGGTCGGTTGAAAACAAGACTAAAAGAAAAGAGGGGGGGGAGGTCTTTTCAAATCTTCAGTGGCACTTCGTTCCAAATAAGTTGGTTCACCAGCCATGGAGAGAACTAACAAACATTTTTGAAAACTATGGCGAAATATTTCGTTTTGTTTGGGGTCTTAACTTTTAACCCACAAATCGGTAAATCGCTATAGTCTTGTCTTCCGATTTGGCAAGAGAATGTTGGCCTCGAGAACTTAACCTATTCATACCCCTCTTCCAGTGAAAATTTTTTAGTGTGCATTCCCGCTGCGCGACTTACTTGAGAACAACAACTGATTGGCTGGTGGTTCTGTGGTGAAATTTGATGTGATGTTTAGCAGTCTGCGGTTTATGCTTTGTGGTGCACACTATGAGTGACATTTCTTGGTCAAGACGATAAAAACACTCGATGAATTAGATGAAGAGTTATCAGATCGGAAACCTAACGATGGGCTTTGAGTTTCATGGAAATACGAACTGCTGTACATATCATTATTGCATCTGCTATTTCATTTAAATGTATCGTATTCGTCATTTTTTTCCGTTGATTGAGAATCTTATGAAGTCTGAAGTGAGCTCGAAGTAAGACGTTGTTCTCCTTGTGATGTAAAATGTAATGGGCTCAGGGCATCCTCCCCCAATTTGAAAATTTAGACATGCTCCAATATCTTTTTGCGCGTTTTGATGTACTTTCCTGGGAACAATTTCTGTCACTTTGAAGTGGCAGTGGAAGGGGGGGTGGGGAGAAACACGTACTCTTCCTAGCGTCCATTATCCTCCTTTTTTTCCTCATTGTCCCCTGAAAAAAGGAGATAGGGTTGGAAAACCCTATCCCCTTTTTCACGATGTCAAAAGAGCGCGTTTTGCTCAACGCACGTCTCCATCAGTGCTTTGCAGGAAAGAAGCCTGCATGGCTGGTGTATGAAGGGGACCTGGGAGGGAAGAACGGAAAGGTTATGCGACCTTCGAGACTCAGATTCAAAAGATCGAATTTTACATTTGGAAAAAGTTAGACTGGCTCCGTAGCTGGCCGTATTTCGAGTGCTCGATGAAAATGAAGACGGCCTAATCTCCAAAAACGACAAGCAGAGAAGCTGGCAAGATTGCGTGATACGGCACCACACGTAACCCCCTCTCACACTGAGTTGTCGTGATGCTGAGATTATGGCTGTAGTCTCCTTCAAAGGAGACTGGAGACTGCAGCTGGTTGCAGTATTTTGCCCTTTCAAGATTTTACACCTGGTTTTATTCCTAATTACAAGATTCCTATTAAACAGAGGTAAAAAAGAAGGAGTCTATTCTTTTATGTTCCAGTATTAGGATCTTCTCTGATGATAGAAAATCTCTCGTGAGAGGTAATCAAACTGATAATCTCACTCAGAGAGTCCACATTGAAGTCCGCATCCTTCTTGAAATCACCATTAGTTGAATCGTTCAGTAATATCGTCACTTAAAAACAAACACAAAAAAAAAGTCACAATGAGAAAATTTCAAAAGTAGACTCTAAACATAAGCAGTATATAAGACTTGCTTGTACCAAACTAAAAGATTTTTTTTTTTCAAACCAATTGTCATAACACTCAACATAACACTCACAGCTACAACAACACAGGAAAAACCTTATCTGAATCATTCCTGCAATTTAAAAACATGTCATAAACAGCACCAAAAATGAGGCTGGATTTTGAAATAGTTTTAAACTCTGTAATTGCTAAATGTCCTTGCCAAAGGAATGATAAATGATTCTTGCACAAACAAGGGTTCAGCAGTTTTTTATACAGGAGGCTGCCAGTGGTGGAGAAGGGGGTTGTGATGACAAAAGGGGCTATACAAATCTCATTTGACAATAGGAGGTGGAAGGCATTCTGAGGGAACATACACTGCCAGTTACTGGTTTAATTAAAACCCCTGATGATTCAAGCAGTTTGAGCAACAAAAAATACATTTGCTGACCTGATCCTGCACTTTTACCACACTGAATATCATGAAGATGATCACCCACCATGACAACATTCTTAGGATGAACTCCCCAGTCCCTGCAAATGTGAAGGAGGGGAGCAGGATCTGGTTTGGGTGGTGTGAACTCACGAGTGAGAGACTGCAAAAGAAATAAAAGAAATGTTTTACTGGTCTATTCTGTGGTTTGCTTCTGCAATAAAAATAATGACTGAAGAGGCCCACCAAACTAGTCCTTCAATAACTTTGGTTAGACTACTGAATTCTCCTTAAAACTGTCCTGTAATCACTTGTGGGAGGCAGGGAAAAGATAAAGCTGCATCATAAGCAGCTTTAATCTATATTCAAAGCATCTTGCAAATGAAGTTAAGCATTCATGTCAGAAAGAGCAGCAAATGCATATCCTTCAACTTGTGAGACAACAACCTGTGAGATCACAATCTAAGCTTCAAACTTTCTAGAAATTGCAAGTTGAAAGACTATAACCTCTCTGTCAAGTAACAAGTGGGCAGGAAAAGATGTTTGACATCACTACTTCCTGTATATTCTACTGCGAGTGTTCACTGAATGATGTAATGGTTCTTACATGAGTTAGTGGACCTCCATAGTCATCAGGATGGCCCATTAATGCCAAAAACTGATCCACAGAAGCCTGTAAATTTCTTGTGATGAGTGCTCTCTTTAATCCGCTTGCAGACAAAAATTTAAGTAGTTCAAACACTCCTGGTTGTAGCTTGGTATTTTGTCTTCCTTCCTCTTCAAATTTTACTACAATTTCAAGAGCAGCTTCCTTTTCCTGTCCAATTTTTGAATTACAAAATTCCAAAATATCAACACCTTTAGGGCACTGAAGCTCCTTACGAAGTTTGGCAAAGTCCAACACAGGTAAAGTAAGGGTGCCATCCAAATCAAAAACAATACCATGAATTGGAACAAGGGTAGGGTGGTGTTTGGCTTCTGTTATCGCAGTTTTTGCTATTGAATAAAAAATTCCTTTCCCTTTTTCATGCTTCAGCATAATAAGTTGTCTTCCAAGGCTTCTCACAAGGATTCCTAACATTCACTCAATGTTGTCCACAACTTAATAGAGTCCACACAAAATACAAAGCTGAAAAAAAGAAACAAGGAATTCAGTGTGTTAATTCTTGAGTTTAGCCATGTCTTCCAATCAGGGTGTTGAAAGATCAAGACAATTTGGTATTATCAACACAGTTGATAACCTAAATTGGCCAACATTAAGAGTTTCAAATCTGAAGTTTCAAGGGTTAGCCATTTGCTAGCTCCAAATGTCAGCTTTGTCAGTTTCAAAGCCAAGATTTTTAGTGGTAGCCCTTTTCTCTGACGAAGGGCTGATGCTCGAAACTTCAGCTTTGAAACTCTTTATCACCTCAGTTGATAAATACCAAATAAATGGTACCTTGTTATACTCTCCCACCAATGCAGTACCAAAGTTTCTTTTGAAACTTACCCCCTCTATTTATTTGTTGAAAGATCAGTCACATCAGAGGACAAAAGTCCCTAAAGACATCACTCACTAAGACAATCTGTCTGTATGATCAATAACTAGTGGCTGGCAAAATATTGGTCCTCACAGTTAACCTTGCTGATAATTCCAGTTCAAGTTGTTGAGATGTCAGTCATTTTGACTGACACCAGACCACTGTTACAATCAGAGCATATATTCACTGGAAGAGAAGAGGATATACTCTGTAGGAACATTAGAAAATAGAGGGTGTGTAGAGGAGTAAGAGAAATGAAAAGGGGAAAAGACCACTAATGGAAACTTGATGAAGGTAAGAGGCAGGAGAAAAATGCAAAAATACTTAATCAATAATGTGCATTTTGTCACAGAATTCAAGACAGAGGTTACACCCTGATATTGGTCAGCAGTCAGGATTGGAAAGAAGGAATTTTCACCCTGCTGTCTATTCCAATTTTTTGTGAAGGTTTAGTGATGGGTGGGAATGGGGGAGGGGTCATTTTTTTTTTTCCAGTAATGGCGAGGCAAAGTGTTATGCAATGACACAAAGCATCAAAGGGGTCTACAGATTGGAAAAAGCAGTGATGAGCTGTTGATTTAAAGAAGAAAGTAGCCCTTAATTCGCCATAGCAAATATGCCGAGACACGTCTGCGGTGGAAAGCGACGTAGATTAGTGGATTTATCATCACCTTTTTGAAGCCGCTGCAAAAGTTGTATATAACACCAAATAGTTTAGATATATACATATATACAAAGCACTGCGAACTCTACAAAGCCATCACAGACATTTGCACCAGCATAGCACTAATATCTGTTCATAGGACACAATCTAGACCGCCTACCGCCTAAAATAAAATATGCTTTCAAAAAGCCTTTGGTACGTAGTGTCGCGCGCGCAGAGGCTTTCAAATTATGCAACAGGCTCACATACTTGAAAAGAAAAATAAATAATAAGAACAGGTATAAATATATAATTTTCTTCACTTAAATCCCTCCTATTTACTATGGTGGGCTTACCTCAAAAGGAAGAAATGACTTCAGTGCCTTCACAGGTCACCAATAACTCTACACCAGACCAAAGTTACGATGGTGTCTTATTGCCACAAGCACCAACGCAAAATAGAACCTGGCTAGGGTAGGGCTTTCAACATATTCCACACGGTTCGATACGAAATATTCTCCCTCTCCTTCTTGTTGTCTTTAAAAGAGAATAAATACTCATTTTATTGAGATTAAACAACTCTAGCGACTGAATCGCGTGAAGAAACTCAGAAGAAAATATGACATTCTCGATTTTTCGCAATCCCCTCACTACTCCACTAGGGTAATTGATAAATAGGATAGAGCGCTCCTGGGTAGAGAAAACAGCGCGCTAAGTTTCAAAATGGCGGCAAGTATGATAGGAGAAAGTTTGGAATCAAATTCCTTGTCCGAAAAAGACAGCTTATCGTTTGAAAAGCAGGAGGAAAGCGAGGGAAGACGCATGGTGCTCTTTAGGAAAGTGATGAAGAAATGTTTGGACAAAATTATGGCTGCTGGAAGGTGAGCTGAAATGCAAAAAGTATGATCATCATGGGGTAATTTGTCATTATCAACTGATCTGATAAACGTAAAGAGTTTCAAAGCTGACGTTTCGATCGTAAGCTCTTTGTTAGAGCGAATCCCAGCTATTCTCACCCACTGACGCAGCACCACTGTTTCTTTAGAAACTTACCCTCTTTAAAATCATTATAACCGATCAGCGCGTTCCATCCGCAGTCGTTTCAGATCTGAAGCTTCAAATAAAAGTTTGCCGGTATGATAATCCTTGAGAAAGTCAAAGGAAAATAAAAATCCAGTAGCTTACATCAAAATTGCATGATTCTTCCAGTCACTTTATAAAATCAAGCCAGTTCTATTTTTGATCGATGTTTTTGTAGTCAGGAAAAGTTTGCCAACTGCTTCTCTGCAATGAGAGATAGAAACCCAGCTGAGTTTAAGAGTATCACGGAACAACTGATGGAGCATCTGCAGAATAACATCGAGGTATATTTTTTGGGATTTAAATTTTGTGGAGCCCTTTATATCATATGTACTAATCAGTGCGCACATGCTGTGGGTAAATAAAGCTTAATTCAGGGAGTTATTTGATTCATGTCCTCTCCGAGAGGTTCTTACCTCCAACTCCACCACAAGACGATTTAGATGGAGGTGGATAGCTTAAAGGACCATTGCCACCAATCGCTGCCTGGTAAGCTCATGTTATAGAGCACTGGACTGCTGTGTGGGAGGTAAAAGGTTCAAGCCCTGCCTGTACCCATAGTCAGGGTCTCAAAGTAACTGGGTGGATAAGGATGAAAAATCATAGGCCCTTTCTCCTGCATCTTCTCAGTACTAGTTAGCAGGGGACATTAAAGAACAGCAAAATTATTGCAAAAATTAGGTAACATAGCTCTAGTTATTGTGGTCTGTCCTTGATTCTGAAATTGGAAGCATCTGCAAAACTTCCCTTAAAAAATTGTAAACTGCTCAATGCAGTCTGGCCAAAGTCTCTCACAAAGTTTTGTAAAGCCCCATGAGCTAACGGATATGGCACCATAGAAATCCTTAATTATCATCATTATTGCTTTTATTACAGAACCTACCCCTTAAAAACTGTCCACTTAAAGATACTTTGTCCCACTTTCTTTTACATACCCTGTTGCCATGTGTATGTCTGGGGGCTAAAAATGTTTACAAAAGTTGCCAGTGGGTGACCACCAGATTTCGAAAAAAAGAAAAGGTGAAAAATTTATCAATCTCGGTCAAATAATCAACCGGACGGACACAAACAAACTGTTCCACATCTCCCAAATATGCATAAACCTTAAATGAGAAGTGATCAGTCATTGAGATGTTTAACATCATTTTATATTATGTGCTGCATTTAACTCAAACCTGTGATTTAAGATGTTTAAAACAATTCTGAAGGTTTTAATACTAGTATTTTAGCTCACTTCAAATGAGAGATGTTTCTCAGCTGAGCAATAGACGGAAATCATATTAAACTGATTTGTAACTTGGTCCAAGCAACTTTGCGGTAAATTGTTTCTGCTTCCAGTCACCAGAATTTCTTCATTCTCTCTCTCTTGATTGTTATTACGATCTTTTAATCTGCGTGGGAGTAAAGGTATTAAGTAGGCCAATAAAAGTGTACGTGGACGTGTACATGTAAGGGTAATTTCTTACACATTTAATGTTTGCCCTCTGAATTTTTTTTCAGAAAGAAATCGATTTGATGATTAAACAGGAAGATCTGGTACATTTCTTTAATGAGCTTGATCGTATTGTGGCAGCCTCTAATACAGAAGATTCACAACCTGCATGGTAATCTTTTTTCTTTGAGCATTAAAACAATTGCAGCTTAAAGGGCTGTGAATAGTTGTATTTTATTGTTAAAATGCATGCAAATTTACATGATATACAGGAGGCCCTCAGGAAACCCAGACAAAGATGTTATTGATCATGTCATGCAAGTCAAGTTAGCCTACAAAGAGCAGCTGAAGCATATCCTTCAACAGGTAAGGAAAAGGAATCAACAGGTATCATTCTTATACTCTTTGTTTCATGCATGGCACATTCACTCTTATAGGTTGCACTCCCAAGCAAGAGATGTGACCTCTAACAATCTACTTTCACTGGGTTTCTCTAACCCAGAAAACTCAGCAAAAAGCTTAATTTTGAAAACAATTGTCATTTGGAAGTGACTGAGAGTGTCTGCATGTTTGGAATTTTAGTCCATTCTGGCTCTTTACCTTTGCTAGGAGGGCTTTGGTTGAAACCATAACTTTAAAGTTTGTTCAAAAAGTGAATTTTCGCTGAGATTGAAGTGAGCCCTTTCCCCCACACAAACACACCCCCCCCCCTTCCCCCCATACAAACACACAGTCAAAGGGTACAAAATTGAAAACAAATTTGAAATTCTTACTATATTTTTTAGGTTGAAAATGAAAATGAAAAGCTAAAGGATGAAGTTTTACCAAAGCGAGAAAAATTACTGGAGAGTGAAAGACGTATAAATGAAAAGACAAATGACTTTGGAGAGGTAAAAATGCTTCAGGACCTTGTGCCTTTTTTCACTTCCCATTAGAAAGCAAGACAAAATTTATCTGGGTATAATATCAATACAATTTACAGCAGACAAGAGATGAGAAATTAGTTCCAACAACACTGGAGTGATTTCAGAGGCAATAAACCTTTAACTCCCATGAGAGACCAAGACAGAATTTCTTCTTACAATACCCATGCAATATCAAATAGACATGTGATGAGATTAAAGAAAAATGTCAATAAGCGGATTATTGGTTGATCCAATAATTCATTTCTTCAAACTAACATGTCAAGAATTGTATGGCAGACAGTAAGGAGAATTACTAAATAAATGTAGAGTGAAAGGAATAATGGGCTTGGATGTCTACAGTTTTTCTGTCACTTTAATTGTCATTTTTGTTGTTGTTTTACAGGCAGCTGAATACTGCATAGAAAACAACTCAGCAGTCAGTTCTTCTCTCAACTTGATAAAGAACATAATGTAGTAAACTCTGAAATGACCAAAGATCTTCATGATTACATTTCAGCACTGTAAATATGTGTTATTAACAGTAGGTGTTTTAGGAAACATTATGTAATTCTTATACCTGAAGTTGCAAATACTGAAAATAAAGTGAGGTGTAAATACAGCATACCTTTGTTTTCCTCATTCATCCTTACTTTTGTCTATCAACCCCCCTAAATGAAAATTCCTTCCTTTCTCCAACCCCCTTCAGCTTTGAGAGTCAACAATGGTGGCCACACACTACACAAAAAAGCATTTCTTCACAAAAAACACTCACACTGCAGGATATATTTTTCTGTTTTTTTTCTCCATATCTCTCGCAATTTCTCTCTGTTGAGGACAAGGGATTTGCAACAGCTTTGCATGAGTGTATCAAAAGATGGATTTAAGATTTGACTTGGGGAAACCAGTGGAGGTTGCTGAGGTTATAAAAATAGCAAGTCTCTTACAAATTACATAGGTGACATACAAGACAGTACTGATCATATAAAAAAGATATTTATTTACTCTTTAAGCAATCCAAATATTGTGCATGAATTTCAAACTACAACCTAGTTCACAGATACTCACTTCAAAATATGTTAAGTGCATGACCATTTTTAAAAGAACTCAGTAACCTGGGCAAAACCATGATGGGCAGGGGGGTGATATTGTAAGGAGAAATTAGATGCTAGTCACTAAGTATGCATATTCTCTAAACTGTTCTCCACACATTTTGTAAGGTGCTGAGATGGAGAATTCATTTAACAATTAATCTCTGGGTGAATTAATAAATTGAACAAAAACAGAGCTAATACATGTATGGCACAACAAAAGACACTTTCGTGGATGCTATTCTTAATAAAATATATTGTTTTATCATTATAAATTACAATATTTATGAAATGCATTACAATGAAGGTATGCTAGATTTGTAGTCTGTTTCATATCCCCAAAATTTTTACTCTTCTGATTATTTCTTGCTCTGGACCAGTGGCTGAATGTACTTGAATAACACAGTTAAAGTTTGAGTGTCATCTACCATCTGCTTACACAAGTAATCCAACTTCATTTTCTCCAATACTGCAAATGGATTTATAGAGGCTACATCTTAGTACAGGAGTGTATTCTTTAATTAGAGAATCTATGCCAAAGACATCAATAATGTACTTCTGGGGAACTGATCAGTACAGATTAAAGTAAAAACATCTTGCTGATCAATCCACAACTAAAGTCTAGGTGATAATCTATGAAGATACACACACAAAAGACTAAAGGACACTGATAACAACAAAATATATCATGACATGAAAATTAAGTGTTCATTCCAAGTAGAGAACACATGTTGCCAACTTGCCAATGGTCTAAGAAACACTGTCAGGAAAAATTGTCAATGAAAACTTATAGTAAATTGAAGGAACTAACCTGAGCAAACTTGTGAATATGTTCCACCACAACTGGGAACATGGCAGTTACACTTTCATCAATTAGTGACTGCAAGTATTGTACAGCTTCCTCATCGCTTAGGTCCAAACGGAATTTGTCCTGAACCTAACATTTCGAAAAAAAGAAATTAATTAAAATTTGTAACATTGAATGTCTATGTCAGATTATGTTACAAGTAATCACATTCAACTCGGAAATTAAGGAGGAAACAATTTTAACACCCTGAATTTTACATTACTCCTGGAAATAAAGTTGCCTTCATTGACTGCAACTAACTATTGTGCAGTCTAATTCATTTTCAAGTTTAAATCTTCTTGGAATCTGGGATCAATATCAGTATCTGGGCAACTGCCCACCTACCCCTCCCCTAACCCAACATTGATGCTAACTTGTTAACAATAGACTGTTGTTGGGTTAGGGGAGGGGTAGGTGGGCAGTTGCCCAGATACTGATATTGATCCAGAATCTGTATGATCTCTTGAAATCAAGATGCATACTTACTTTTTTCACAGTTTTGTCAGGCTCTAATGCTATATCTGGTACATTTGCATCCACCATAAGAGAAAACAAGTTCAGAATCAAGTTCGCATGCCTGAAAGAAATAAGAACATTCCATTTGTAAGCCGCATTGAATGATTTCTCCTGCATGAATTTTCATTCACCTTCCACTTGACCAAATAGGGGAAAAATAAATACTTTGTTGCTTATAGACATCTGGATAACAGATTTTAATTTGCATGCAGTTTTTTAGCTACTTAAGACAATAAAAATGTTTTTACCTCCTCAAGTGGAGAAAAGCTGTGAAACATTGTTTCCTGAATGTCTGGTAAAACTCACTGGATGCTCCTCCCATACCTTCCACCTAAAGTTAAATGAAAAAAAGTAATAACACTTTTCAAATGTTTATATAATAATTTATTATAATTATACTACATTGTGGCAATTATAATTTGAAGCTTGAAGATGTGCAACCTTTTTCAAATGAATTATTGCAAAAGAGAAATTATAGCAGTAATAATGATCATAGAGAGGATGAGGTGATGATTTTTATTTTACCATTTCTTTGCTCAGTTTCATTGGTGGTGGTAGTGGCTTAGGATCTCTTCCAAGAATGTAACCAAAGTCAATGTGAAATAGGTTTCCTGAGAATAACAATAAAGAAAACAATCGATCAATTCTACATGTAGTTTGCAATTAAAACAGTCACTTTTTCTATAGAACTTAGCATCAAATTTTTAGGAACTGTATTCATTTGGTAATTACCTGATTTCGTGAGAAGTAAATTGTCCAGATGTCTATCTCCTACACCCAAGATGTATGTAATAACACAATAGCCAGCTTAAGGTTAAAGAAAATAAACTTTGGTCAGAATATTAAATCAGTATTATTTTAAAGATTGTTTAAGAGTGGTGCTCTTTAATCCAAAGGTTATCAATGACTGTTTTATGTATTTGGACATGGTTGTAGAAGAAACAGAGGCTTAATAATCAGGCACAAAAGGCTCTGATTGAAAATTTGGGTTTGAAACTAAGCTAGCTACATGCATTCCTTTCTAGCGGTCACAAGGTCACCTCCTTCCATTTGGGAGTAAGAATGGGTATTAGAAAACCTGATGAAATTATTGGGTTGCAGGGGATGGGGGAGGGGAGAGGGGGGATGGAAGGGGGGCTTATGATGGACCAGCACCTCATTGGGAAGAAGCAGTGACACATCTTGCTATTTCAGGCTACAGAACAGACAGGAACAAGGATTAGCTCTGGAAGTCATAAAGCTAGTTCACTATGCAGACTTACCACAACTTTTAACATAAGTATCCATCACCTCTGGGCTGATTCCTAGTGGTGCACTTTCACAAGGGGCATGCCGGCGAAAGTAGTTCTGCACAAGGAAAAGTTGTCACTTAGACTATCAAGATATATTTCTTTCAATTATTTTAGATCATAGTAACTGCATATAAAGTATTATTGGGGTTTTCACTGCTGAAGGAATAGGCACATCCTATTAGGCAGAGTTGCTGGTTACAAATCTTTTTTCCATACCTGTATACTTCTATCCTCATCTTTATCCAGAATTTCTGCTATAGGAGTGGATTCTATGAATTGCACAAAGCCTGAAAAACAACAACAGTAATGCATGAAAAAAGTAATACTTGCATTGATATATACCCTAGCAACTGCTCTAGGATTACACCTAAGATGCAGATAAACCCTTTAAACCCTAAGTGATCAACATCTAACCTCTCCACACAGTCACACAGCTAAATCATTCATCAAGATCATGAGAATAAAGGAAATGATAAGTACAAAAGTAAATGCATGGACAAATGCATGGAAAAAATGGATACTGATGTTATGGTGTAAAGGGTTGAAGAAAATTAAATATTAACCATTTGTTCATACAACATGATTATTCGACGTTTCGGAGTAGTCATGACTCCATTATCAAGGTAAAAGTTTAAAACATGCAAATAACAGTATTTAAGCAATGTGGCGCGAAAAATTAAATACCAATGTGACCTGTGCGATGCAGGTTATATAGGATACACATGCGGACATTTACACAATCGTGTAAAAGGACATAAACAACAGTCCTCAGCCATTGCCAAACATTGCAAGAACGTACACGATGATCCCTCAGGACCTACTGAAATGCTTCGAAGTTCTTAAGAAGTGCAGGAACAAATTTGACTGCTTATTGTACGAAATGCTTCATATAAGAACTTTAAAGCCAAACCTGAACGTGCAATCGGACTCTATTCGTGCAAAAGTATTTGTATAATCTTCGCACCTATTATGTTAATTTTTCGCGCCACATCGCTTAAATACTGTTATTTGCATGTTTTAAACTTTTACCTTGATAATGGAGTCATGATTACTCCGAAACGTCGGATTTTATCGTTTTCGTTTTTACCGTTTTATCTTTTAAGAAATCTCTTTTAACATGATTATTATTAGGTTTAATCTCTTAACTTAAAAATCCTGCATTCACATTCAATTGTAACTTAATTTTTTTTAAAATCCCAGCAAACATTCTTTAAGAAAAAAAAGACATGGGGGCCATCTGTTTTTCTTCTTGGGATTGCAAACCCAAGCCCATCAATATTTCTTCTCACATTCTGGAACTTAATACGTACAGGTACATAACTTTTTGAGATTTAGAAGGTGATTGTAAAGTGAATACTTTCTCTTTCCTTGACATCAACTAAACAACTGCTAAAGCATAGCTAAAAGAAAAAAGAAAAAAAGCAGCAACAGAGAAATCATGTGAGGAGGGACTGACCATGGCTTCCACTTGTTGCCAGCACCTTGTATGGAGTCAATTTCAGATCTAAGTTTTCTTTCATTAAGAGCTGCAGTACAATAAAAATATCATAGAGTGAAGAAATTTCAAGTTATAGCTGGGTTGCAATGAATTGTACAAGTTTTATTGTGGTACACAAAGCAATTGTGCATACCTTATCCATGAGCCTTATAATCTGAAGAATCAACTGATCTTGTCGCAAGTCATCACCATTCTTGAAAATTGTCTGGTAAGAAAAAAGCGGTGATCAACAAAACAATAATTTTATTCTCCACACCAAACAGGACATAGGATTGTTTAAGTTTAACATGAAATTGATGAAATTTGTTCATCAACAGAAGGTAGAAGTGATGGTTGATAAAAAGATATCTGTCAGTTGTTTCAGCCCATGAAATTAGACTTGCACAGAGGTTTCTCTCTAGTTTGACTCTTTAAAGTAATAGGGTCTAGATTCAAATGGAGTACTGAAGTATTTAACCAGCTTTCTCTTTGAAAAACTTACATTTATCTTTAAAAACACCATTGCAGAGTTCATAACAGATGGAAATCACATTGCTTTGAGGTTATGATGTTCCTTAAATGAATGATCAAACTTTCAAAAATATTACTAACCCTAAAATTGATTGCTGCCAGTTCTGCTTTATGTTTTTTTTTTCCAATATAACTATTTTGTTAAGATTTTGCTTACAGGTTTGTAACCACACTAACCACATATTCTCGATCATCCAATGTAAGAAATGTGAGTTTACAAGGCATGAGGTGGCTCTTGAAAAGCCAGGCTTTTTCTGGAATAGATGAAATAAAATGGAACTGAGTGTTTTGTTCCTTGCTCAGATAAATGGGAATGGGAATAATAAAAACAATACATTAACAATAAATTGGATTTAGCAATGGACCTTCCACTAGGTGGGTCTTCTTGTCTACTGTTTCTAGGTCAAATTGGAATTTAAAATGTGGGTTTTTGTGGAGGGAGAAAAGCTGGAGGACCCTAAGAAAAACCCTCAGAGTGAGGACAAGAACTAAGAACAAACTAAACCAACATGTGGTTGGAGGTGAGCACTTCCACCACTGTGCCATTCCTGCTCTCCTCATAGATTCTTATTCAGTCAGAAATTTTTAATCAGAGTCCTTCTTTTGCAGAAAGTTAAACAGAAAAAAAGGGCAAACATCAGTAAAGTTACGCATTTTAATATTAAAACAAAAAGGAAAAGCAAGTCACTGATTTCTTAAAAATATTCACATACTGTCCTCTGGAGTTCCAACTATGATTCCCTTGATTTTGATTTCTGGATCAAGAAGGAGAGGTATTGGTCCAAATGAAGTCAACTCAGGAACATCAAGCAGGTCTCTTAATCTGTGTATCTATTGAAAAGGGAAAAAAATTTAAATTGTTAAATTTAATATGAATGCTTTCAATGGAGAGTCTGTTGGTGGAGAAAATGCTATGAGGGATGCAAATTGTTTCTTTTAAAGTTCTTGAAGTCTAAAATATTTTCTGTCAGTCCAAAATGATTTCAAGTTCTAATAATTTGTTTAGTTTGTACATCCCTATGCTGCAGAAAATTGATCATAATTTATATGTCTTGTATCCCATTCAATGAGACTAACCTTTTTGTTGCGACCACCCCCAAACTGTGAAACCTCCTTCATGAGTCTGACAATATGGTTGACAAATTGCTGTTGTTTGCCCAACATGTTCCGCCTAACTGTGCACTCCCACCCACCCTGGAACAAAGGAGAAAACAACTACTTCAACAGCCATAATCATCTAAATTGTTGATTCTGCTAGCATACCAAGCCTAAAAAAAAGATTTCTGCTCTCAAGCTTATAGCCAACAATGCCAAAATATATCCCAGTTTCCACAGCTTCCTTGCCTTCTGCAGATCTGAAGAAACTAGAAGTATTGATACTCCCTATGAATGGCTTGCTGATTCATTGCAGAGTTCTTTGAAGCATTTCATCAGCCTTCCCTGACAGTTCACCAACTGGTACATATTTGTACTCCTGGGTGGAGGGAGGCAGTGTAAGGGTCCACCCTTTCACTCCCAACATCTACACATCAACTCTCTGCACTGTTAGCTATGCTTTTCCTAAGAATATGAGCTATGAGAGTTTGGTGTTTTATCAAAGAATTTCCCCATAACGATATTGATAATAATATGTGATAATACTGTTTGAAGAAATTTCTTGTCGGTTACTCCTTCAGGTAAATTTTAACCCAGACCTCCCAACCCAGATTCCAGCATGATCACCCCGCCATCATGTCTCCCATAACAAAAAAAAAAGAGATCTTTAAGTTAGTTATTTATTCATGAAGTAAGTACGAGTTGTACAAACCTTCATCAATGCCTGACTAAATCTCCTCATCACATTTAAATACATTTCTCCTTCCTTTGTGTCCTTTCCATCATTACATTCAACATATAAATACCTAAAAAAAAATTGACAAGAAAAAATATTTAATCTATTAGAAAAAATTAATAAATTAAAAGTTTACACTTTTAGTGGTACAAGAACATATACCATCACTATTTTTTCTTTAAGGAAATCAGCTTGGCAGGTTGATTTATTGTCAAATATTAAAAATTTTTCCTCTCAAAGAGCAGTGTAACATTCACCCTGTTACACCCTTCCCAACAATAAAGATAAGTCCCTGAGATATAGAATTGGATTTGACAGGAAAGAGAAGCACCTGTCAAGTCTGATCAAGTTCTATGTGAACAACTGTTGTAAATAAGTTCCTTATCTCTGCCATGGCTCATCTTGCCTACTGAAATGTATTCCAAGTTCATCTTGCCCTAGGTTTATTGCCATTTATGTTAAAAAAAAAAAAAAAATTAGCAAATATGTTCCCCTTTAAATTATATTTACATTGTAGGATTGCCTCACCAATAAAAATAGTTTGCTAGGGTGTCACTTCTGCAGGCTCTCAAAATGAGGAATGAGGCCAAATCTGAACCCTAGATGATAGATTCAAGACTTCAGTCAATGTAAAAATCAATCATTATAGACCACTCTCATGCCTATCTACAGGGAACACTTGAATTACTAACCAGTATTCAAACCATCAGAGGCTGTGTGAGTCTTACTTAGAAACTATTCAAGTGGGTAGAATGTTTTCATGTTGGTAAACAAAAAGAGGAAAACTATTAATAATTTGCACTAAGTCACTATACTGGGAAAAACCTTAGATTATCATGTGTTTGTAAACATGCTTCAAAAATATATTTCAAATAGCCTCCATTTGGCTTAAAATATTCTCTCAGGAAATTGTCTGTCCCACAAAATTTAAAGTTCTCCTTGAGCTTTGCTCTGGCTTGGAAAATGGTTTGTTTTTCCCTTCATATCATTTCTGTAAACCAAGATTTGAGCATATTCTTGCCAAAGGAAAGTAATTATTTATGTATGGAAAATATCTTCCATTTTCTAACCTCTTCAGTATCTTTGACTATTGCGATACCTTCAGCATCTGATGGAAGAGAGACATATACATAAATGCCTTGTGATTACCTGACCAATTGTACTTTTTGTATTTATTTATTGAATTGTTTTACTACCTTGTGTTGGTATTGTCTCTGCTGTTTGACTTTCAGTGTTGTCCTGGAGCAGACTATCAACAGTGTTCTCAGTAAGTTTTTCTTCCTCATCTGATAGAGCGTCATAACGCAATGCTTGGACAAGTTGGAGAAGATAGAGCAGCAAGTCCTATTAAATTATCAAACAGGCCTTGATTACATGTATTATCATTAAAAAATGGTTTTGGATGATCAATAATCGATCAATCAATCACACAACAGTCAGTTGATTTGTAAGTCAGTCAGTCACTTAGTCAAACAGTTCATCAGTCTGTCCCAATTTCTCTACAAGTTGGTGTTGTAAAGTCTATCAATAATCCAGTCACACAGTCACAACTTCATTGAAATACATTTCACAACATTGACATTCTTAGTTAACATACAGTCCTGCAGCCATGCCAACCAAGTCCCATGATAAATGCACACACAGAGAAATGACACTTCATGTGTGCTGATCAGCATGTAACCCCTTACATCATCATTGGCCTCCTTCAGTCTTGAGACAGCATACTGTCTGACTGCTCTGTTGGTAAACTGAGAGGACAACAACTCCAAAGCATCTTCAACATCCATTGGGTTCCACTTTCCTAAAAGTTCTTGAGCCTGAAGAGCAGAACAATTAAATATTGTTAGTGCTAAGATCTCTTAATTGGCTTTTGTAAAATTCATTGATGGAACTATTAAATCAGAAGTTAGTTTTTGTTAAGTTTTGATCCCCATCTTTTTTATCTCTATTAAATAAAATAAATAAATAAATGGGAACTCAGCAATGGACATTCCACTAGGTGGCTCTTCTTTTCCACTGCTTGCTGGTTGAATTGGAATTTGGAATGTTGGTTTTGTGGAAGGAGGAAAACCAGAGGCACCAGAGAAAAACCCTCAAAGCAAGCACATGAACCAACAACAAACTCAACCCACATGTACATGTGATGCCAGCTCTGCAAAACCAAACCCAGGCCACACCAGCAAGAGGTGAGTGCCCCCCCCCCCCTTGCCATTTTACCCCTTTGTGCAACCTCTATTGGTAAGTACAAATAAAAGACTAAAAAAAATTGATTTCAAAGAAGTATGAGTACAATTTCAAATAGTTACTTTAAATTGCTCTTCCTGTACACTCAAGTTAAGGAAACTAATTCACACCTGTCTGGCTTCCTGTGGCTGAGTCCAATCCACACATTTAAGAAACTTGGTCAATGCCTGGAAATTAAAGGAAAATAGCTCAGGTATTATAATATCCTTTTGATTCCATTTACAAGTTCATTTGTCAAACAAAATAACTTTTACTGGTTTAATATCCACATGTCACCTTTTTCTGATTAGTGAGGTAAAATCGGAACTGCCACACTAAATCTTTCTCTTCTGATGTGAGCACTTTGGTAGAAGGATAACCCACAATTTGCTGAAAGAAAGAAGAGTCATTCAATTTTGGGTAATTAGATATATTACACATTAAAGTTTCAAAAATTAGTTGACATTGGCATTGTCAGTGTGATGTGCTCAAATCAAATGGTCTAAGGTTGAGCATTGGTAGGTAAATTTAACAGTAGAGATAAGTGGCCCACAAGGTGCTTGAGCTCATCTTGGTCTCTAAGGCATGAATTGACTGGGAGTATTTTTGCTAACCCTGGATGGGCTGCTAGAACATCCCTAGTTACACCCCAACATTTTAACAGGTTTTACTGAAAGCTATCTGGTACTTATTTATACTCCTGAGTAGAGAAAGGCATTGTGAGGATAAAGTTTTATGCCCCAAAACATGACACAATATCCCAACCAAGTCTCAAACCTGCATTTCTTGACCAAGAGTTAAAAGTGCTAACTATTAGGACAGCAAGTCCTCCACAAACCTTGTAGAAGTGCTATACGTAAATTCCTATTTTGTCTCATTTCTTCACTGATTAATTTTAAATTATTTACTAGCAAATTGTAAGCTAAGGGGAAATGGATGAAAATTAAGGAGGGGTGGGGTGGGGTAGGGTAGGGGTAACAAAGCACTCCAAAAAAATTAGGATACATTTTATGGTCAGTGAGTGGCAGTTAAATTCATTTGGCTGCCAACAGTAAAAAGACAGAACACCTTCAGATTATGCATTCATTATAACAAAAATAAACAAATATCTTGGTCCATACATTTAACTGATCCCTGGTTTTTGCATTTGGTTTAAGCTCTCTTGAAACTGTTCCACTTCTTATACTTCTAACGAGCTTGTGATGTTTTAGTTCAACAAGGTTATCCTAAATCAAAGGAAGCAAACTTGACTTCAGAAAAAGAAAAAGTTAGCCTTTTTTCTGAAAAGCAAGTAGTTAATGGGAAGGGTAGTCCACAGATAAAGCCAAGTGGAAACCTAAAAACAACATTTCAATACCAACAGAATTTCCGGATCAGGAACTCTCACAATCTCTGGATGAGTACAGACATAATCAATGTCATCGGCGTCCTGAGACAAGAGAAGAAAAGGGTCAATGAGGAGGCCTAAAAATAAAAAAAAAAAACCAGGGCCAGGTTGTTCAAAGCTGGGTTAAGATAAACCTGGGAGAGTGTTAAACATGATTTTAGATCAAAAAGCTTTAAAAAGAAAATTCAGTATAATTCATTAAATGTTTACAATTTGATGATTGGATGCTCCATTAAGAAAAAGAGAAAATAATTCCAAGAAGGCTTTTGAACAAATGAATAAGGAAACCTGGATCAAAATTTTATCTTAGGTTAGCGCTAATCAGCCCTCAAACAATTGGGCCCAGTTTATCAGCTAAGGTTCTTACATGTTTGATTTTAACGGTAGCAAAAAAGGCTAGAGTTTTAAATTAACATTTAAAGAAACTGTGCCAGTGAAAGTCACTTATTTAAATATGTGGTTTATATATAAATATTTTCCATTCACTATTCACATGATGAGAGTGAATTATATTATGTTAAGTAGTTAACCAACTTCATTCTTATTGAAACTAAATATTTCTGTTCTTAATCATGTTCTTTGTGATTCCACAACTTAACCAGAAAACATATTGTCTAAAAGAAGATTACCTGAGCATCTGAATCTAATAATTCTTGATCAGAAGGTTTGATCAAAGCTGTGATGCAACTTATTCCCATGGGTGAATATAAACATGATCAAACCAACATAAAAAAACTGAAACTCAGCTTGGGTGAGTATCTCTGTTTAAAAATTTTACCTTTGAAAACTGGTAAAATACAACAATATAGCAGCATGGGGTAGAAACTGAAGAAGCATAATAATTCAAAATGGAGCAGTATTGTCAGACTTTACTTCAAGGAAAGAGAAAATAATTACAGAGAACCGTGAATTAATAATGAGAACAACTTTGCATTATTCTGAAACATTAAGTTGTTTTTCACCAGCTGTTTTATAAGAGGACATAATCACACTCTCAGAGTAAAATATTTATGATCAAACATTATATTTCTTGAATGAAAATCACATAAGATTTTATCATAATTTCATGGTAATTCCACATGATGGATTTAAAATAACTGGTTGAGTCTTATCTAACCAGCACACAAACCATCAAAGAGCAGGTGTTACTCGAAGATGTGATGTGGCCCTAGTCTGTTTGTGTTATGAATGTGTAAGAGTAAATATACTTAATATGCATTTTCAAGTTATTAATTTATTGGTTACAATAGGGATGACAGTCAACCAATCACCTTTTCAAAATGAACCACAGAATACTCTAAGCCATCAGAGTGGACCCGAGGAAACTTGATCATTAGAAACATAAAATTGGAGTTTCGCTTTTCCCTCTGCAAAGAAACAAAACCAAGAATTTTTTACTATTTGTATTAAAACATTTAATCATGTAACATGCACCTAGAATAACCATGAATGTTTACGCAAATGACAGAATTCAAATTCCACTCATACAGATGTGAAATTAGTTTCTGATATTTGATCCTACCAGTTTCTCTCTAAGAGTGAGTTTGTTGAAATATAGAAGTCATTTTAAAGTGATCTTGTTATCCCACTCATTTAATCCATCCTTTACACCCTAACATCAGTATGCATATTCTCCATACTGTTCTCCATATATTTTCTATGGTGCCAACATATATGGAGAATTTTTTTAACAATCAAGAGCTTTCTTAGTTTGTGATCATTTCCTTTATTCACATGACCTCAATGTTTGATTCAACAGTGACACTGTAGGGAGAAATTAGATGCCAATTACTCTTACACATTTATGTGTAAAAGGAAAACTTTCCAATTCTATGATAGGCTTTGAAAATAATGCTACAAAGTAGAGATTCCTTAGGGAAAATCTCACCTCATTCACCATTTCAATTTCTCTGAAAGTGAGGCGGTCCAACCAATCCACCTTGAGCATTCGACCCTTGTGATGTTTCTTACTTAGCTGTTGCCATGTGAAGAGAAGAGGAAAATTTACAAAGAGGTTATAATGAGAATGACTACCTAGAAGCCATAGCCTTAACCCTTTACACCCTAAGGTCAGTATGCATATTCTCCATACTGTTCTCAGCACATTTTTTAAGGTACTGACAAGGAGAATTTGTCTAACAATCAAGAGCTTCCTTAGTTGGTGATCGTTTCTTTTATTCTCATAACCTATGTGTGTGATTCAAGGGTGATATTGTAAGGAGAAATTATACGATAGTCACTCTTAGGGGTTAAAGGGTTAAGGACTCTGATACTTGGATTGTTGGATTAAAGTAGTGATAACAAATTTGATAATCCTTAGTGAATGAGGTTGAATAAAATATTATAATTATAGTGATTTGCTAAAGGCAAGCATATAGCAATGTGTCAAAACAAACACTTTTAATTAATCTCTTCAAATCACTTCTCAATAATTACCTTAGCTAGCCTGCTCATTTGATCTTCACCGGTAGTAGACTTTCCTGGAGTGGAGGTTGGCCTTTGGCCATCAGCTTCTACTCCAGGCCACACCTTTAGATCATGCATGCCACGGCGCTGAGTCCTGTATACAAATTCAAATGAGTTACCATCGTGTTGCAAATAGAAAAGAGTATTTTAAAGCTGAGTGCCAAATGACTTTCTGTGCTTTTCTAGTTCTCCTTGATAGCCATCCACTACAGGAAATTATAAATATCTAAGGAAACTGTTATGCAGTGTAAGCAGGCAAATAAGAAAATTACCATATGATAATTCTTATTGTATAGATTGTAACAGGCAAATGTGTGGCTGGGAATCCTTCTGTGATAGAGGGCCAGACTGCTAATATCTTGAATTTGAAGAATTTTCAACAGGACTTAGAGTGGAATCGATGCTCAACAAGTTTGCTTAAAAATTTCCAAAAGTATTCAAGATTCTCTTGGCCAATACAAAACCCTGTGTCTTACCAGACACAAAGTATTTTTTGCAAATATTTGACAATTTTTTATTGATTACATTAGTTGGTTAACAATGTTAAACTGGTAAAGGCAGGTAAACCACCAAGAAGACTTTGGGAAAGTAGATGTTTGGAACTCTGACCAAATAATTCCATCTGGACCAAACCCTGCCTCTTTTTCACTTTCCTGTCTACAAAGTCACCCATTTCACCTTCCCCTTCCAAGGTAATGAGATACAGTGAACTTACCCATATTTACCAAAAAGCGAAACAGTTGTTCCACCAACTGGGATGGCTTTCCTTGGACCATACACATCCCAGATTGTAAAACACACTTGCGCATGGCGAGGAATATCAGGGTATTTGATGGGCAACTTGAGCCACTCATTCCAACTAAAAAAAATTGTTTGTAGAATGTTAATATGTTTGTTTCTAGAAAACAAAATACAAAGTTCATCCAATTTGAGCAATTTTGTTTCTTGTATGACATTATAATTTTTATTTTGCATACTTCACAATAGCCAAATAACATTACTCACATAATACAATAATTAAGTCTACAATATAAGTTCAAAATGTTTTCCCAACTCAGTGGTATAAAAAAAGGTTCATAATATTTAAAAGATAGTGGATGGTTGTTCAACCCTTAAACTCCCCGAGGTGATTAACATGTAACTTCACCCTCATAATAACCATACATCATCCAGCAAACATGTAATGAGAAAACTCAAACTTATCAAGAAGAAGTTATCTTCACCTAATGCCAAATTCTCATTTTTGCAGAGAATTGCAAAGGATTGAATCACAATTAGTTTAAGTTTTGAATCTAATTGGTTGAGAGGGTAGAACAAGTTTTCTGGATCACAGAGCAAAGAAAGCAAAACCAAAGCAATCATGGATTACCTTCCACACTCAATTGAAAACTGATCTTGACTAACTTTATATTGATTATCATCTCTTCTTAGTACTTACTTCCATCTTGTACTGAATGGTTTATAAGATGTTCTTGTAGGAAGACATAGTGGTTGACCATCGGCAAATACTTGACATGTGACATATAAATCAGAACATTCGCTAAAACATAAAATGATTTTGCTACTTTGAGTAAAAATTGTTTAATTTGGAACTGATAATACTTCAACATGACCAAAGCATTATTACTTTACCCAGGAATTTTTTTCATTAACCCTTTAACCCCTAAGAGTGACCACCATCTAATTTCTCCTTACAATATCTCCCCAAAATCACTGGTTGAGGTTGCAAGAAAATAGGAAATGATCACCAACTAGAGAAGCTCTTGATTGTGAAATAAATTCTCCCTTTCAGAACATTAGGAAATATGTACAGGATAGTAAGGAGAATATGAATACTGATGTTAAGGTGTAAAGGGCTTACTAAAGTTTCAAGTTGTAGAAAAGGAGGAGGGGGGATAACAGAGGCTCTTTAGAACCTTGAAGGATTTAATAGTAGAGGGATCAAAATATAAAGGGAGGTTGGTTTATCAGAAACTCCAAGCTCTGAATGGGGATGGAAAGACAGATAGGAGAGAAAGGGGAAGGCTTGTAGGAGACTGGAATTCTTGCATTGGAATGGTGGGTGGGGCGCATAATAGAGGGAGGGATGCTTAGTAAAAAATTTGAAGCTCTGAATGGCAAAAAAGAGACAGATAAGACTGGTAAAGGGATTAATAGAACATTTATTTGACCCTTTAACTCCCAGATCAAATTTGTAGTTCTCCTTACCATCAACCATACAATTCTTATAACATTATTTCAGGGAATTCAGTACTGGATCAACTAATTATCCCCAAATAGATATTTTTCTTTATTCTCATTACTTATCTGGTTGATATTGTATAAATGTTGTAAGGAGAAATTGTGTCTTGGTCACTCATGGGAGTTGAAGGGTCAATAAGAAATGCAATTAACAAGTAGTTACCCTTGAACTTCTGAGTTTTATTGCAGTTCTGCAAAAACTTCAAATAATTGACTGGGCTAGTTTGCAAAAAATCTTTTCGGGAACTTTTGCAACAAATGAGGTTGCACCTTTTTTACTATCAATTATCTTCTCACCTTTCATAAGCTCCTGAATATCTCAGTTGTGGATCATCTAAAAGTTCTTTGTACCCTTTACGTTCTCTCTTTCCTTCTAAGGTACATCTAAAAGGTAAATTTTGAACCATTATGTCCCTTAAAATCACCATCTGCAAAATTACTTTTAGCACTAAGAACCACTTTGAAGTAGAACACTCAGTAATCAAATTCAAGAAACCTTCTTATATTATATTTGAGTTGAAGTATGGTGTAAATTCTCATTCAATGTTTAGACATATTTGTCCTAAAGCAAACCTTTGCATTGTATTGATCACTGAATTCAGTTCAATGCATTGTATGAATATATATCTTATTTTTGTTTATTGTGAGTAATATAGTGCCTTATCATAAGTTATGTATTGTTACTAGGTTGGTCACTGCATTCTAAATTTTTATTAAAAATGTAAAAATAATAATAATAAATAATAAAGGAAAGCCTATTTTCCAAAACATCATAGGTATTTTTCTGGATTGCACGCTGAAAAAAATATAATTGCAATATCTAATATCATTAATGGAAGTAATAAACCATGCTTGTTGATGAGAGGTTTAAAAAGAACACATTGCACGCTTTTTTCAAAAATTTCCTGTGAATTTGTATTTTCGTTTGTATTTTGTTGCACATAGCGAGATATTTTAAAAATCCAAACACTTCTTGATTATAAGAAACTATCGTATTTCAAATAGTCACTTCCATTTAAGTAAAATCTTATAGAGCAACTCAGTGTGCAGTGATCCCAGGCATTGATGTGTGACAGACATTCAGCTGAGAGAGTTGTACAAACCAGCTGATGTCACACTGTCTCTCAGTGGATGAAAAAATCGCTGATATTTCCACGATCTTCCAATCATTTCGATATATACCGAATTGAAGCGTTTGCATTATTCTGACTTACACTTTAAGCTCGAGATTTGTATCCAAATCACTGCTGTAAACATAGTAAAATTTCTCTTGGTTCGAGTTTGGGTCTACCATCTTTGTTTTTCCACTTTCCCGCCTGCGCCTGCATACTTTCAGTGGTAGGTTCTAAAATAAATATGCGTATTGTTCTTCTGCGCTTTATTTATTTCAACATGGTGGACAAAGTCTCGTGTCTCTTGATTAAATTTCGGTTGAAGTAACTTTACTCGACAAAAATGACTCGTTTTGCTCGTCCTGCCAAGAAGACAAGTCTTGAAGCAACACCCTGGCACGAGCTTGTTAATTCAGGTGGTAAGCGTTGAGCTTTCGTATAAGTCATCGAAACAGATTTAATTTCATTTGATTGCACGTGTTGATAGCCTCATTTTGAAGATGAATCAATCCATTAAATTTCTTGCCCTTTAACTTAGGTAACCAAAGCTCAACTACAGCAAGCAAAGACAGTTTTAAAACGGCTGAGAAGAAAGTTGAAATCGCTGGCCTTAAACGAAAGAAGAAATTCAATCGTGATGATGGTACCACTGAGCCGAAGATTGCAAAGAAGCCAAAAAGTAAAAAGCTTTCATTTACAGGAGATAATGACTACAGCACTGGATCTAAGATTTCAAAGTCAGAAAGCTGGAAAGCTCAAAGTGGAGGAGTTGGCGATAAAGGAAACGAAAACTCTAGTTTTAGCAAGAAAGGCACAAAGATTAGAATGAAAAGACCAGGAGTGATATCAGAAAGAGACTTTAGTGGAAAAATGAGAAACAAGAAATTTCAGAAGAAAGTTTATTTACAGACAGGCATTAAAAAGCTGAATAGAAAAATATCCACTGATGGAAGTAGGAAGGAAAGTTATGATAAAAAGCTCGAAGCAAGAAGGAAACGAAGAGCAAAAGGAAAGGTAATTTATGGTTATGTGAATAAGAAGGAGGTGAATAACTTGAATTCTTGCCAATACCCTTACTTAAAATTACCTCTATAACGAAAAAAATGTGTGTCATTTCTTTCTTGCAGTTTTATACACCCAGCTGGTGATGGTTCATGAGTAGGATTAATTTTTATAAGCAAAGAAACATCTTAACAACTTTACTATTTTTTTTACTCAGTGTGAGCCTAAAATTTACCAATTGGACTCTCTTGTGCCTGAAAATAAGTTTTGATTACCTTTTGGCTTACATTTTCATAAATTCAATTTTAGAACCTGTCATCACAGTCCTTACATTGTCACTATACACTTAACTCTAATGATAACCTTTGTTGAGGTCATTAAATCAATGGTCACTTTCTTATACAACCATTCTTCTCTAGGAGTACTGCTACTTGGATGATCACATTAACTGATTATAAAGTTATTTCTTAACTCATAAATCTGGTTCTCTGAAAAGCTAAGCTTTACATTGCCAGAGTTTTCTGAACAGGCACATGTATAAATAGTATGTGCTTGGTGAAAGATATAATATAAAACCTTGCCATTAGTAATTTTCCCTTTCATATCAAAATGCATGCAGACATGTTTTCATTGCCGTCAAACTGGTCACCTGGTTGCAGAATGCCCGATGGCACAGAGCTCTGAAGTTGGTGTTGGAAATTGTTACAAATGTGGATCCTCACAGCACACTACTAAGAATTGCAAGAGCAAACAAAACAGTAAGTTGATTGAGTATTTTTGGATTGTATTGGAGATTACAACAAGAAGTCTGGTTACTTATTGGTAAAGGTCATGGTTTTGTTTTTGTAATGCTAGGATCCTTTAGAGCACTCGAACATGACCTTTGTCAACTCTGGTTCTTGACCAAGATGCTTAACTTGTACAATGCAATTTTCCATCCAGGGTAGAAAGGGGTAGAAATTTGCACTGAGAAACTGACATTCCATCCAACAGAAGAAGCAACACCTCAGTATTTCATGATTTTGGTCATTGGAGTCATGTGTGGACTTTTTGTTTAATGTTTGGAACAAGCAACTGATATTCTTTTCCAGAGAAGCACACACGAAACTTTGTCTGCTTGGTTCCCCTATGAGACTTAAAGAAAGTATATTTTTTTGACATGTTGTCTCATATGTTTTTGTTTCCTATAGATTCAGACCTTCCTTTTGCAAAGTGTTTTATCTGTGGGGAAACAGGTCATATAGCAAGAGCATGCCCTGACAACCCTAAAGGACTCTATCCTAATGGTGAGACTTGTGTTCAGATAGGTTTTGTTGTTATGTAGACTACAAGCAGTCCCACTTTTTTTTCAAGAAAGTCTGTTGTGAAAGTGAAAAAAAATCAGCAAAAAATAAAACTGATGTCAGCAGGCTGTGCCGAACTGTTATAGTGAGGTGTGGCGCTAACATCTTTTTTTTTTTTTTGCTGATTGTTTTTTTAATTGGAGCAAAAAATCCTAACAAAAGGAAGGGGGAATGGCAATGAGTCTGGTTGTTGTGATAAAAATTTGTACACCTTTTCCTCACCTTTTGAGAAGTGTATCCTGATAAGTTTTTCTTTTCAGGTGGAGGATGTAAGATTTGTGGATCAGTGGAACATTTTCGAAGGGACTGCCCTGAACTAGCTAGAAACAAATCAAACACAGGTGACAAATTACTGTTACTACCTTAATGAATTTTTTTTAATCATTATGAACAAATCCCCTGTTTTTTTTTCTCGCTTATCATTTTACATCATATACTCACTTTTTCAGGCAGTATTACTCTTCAAGAAATATAAACTTTGGTCTTAAATAGGTCTCTACACTTCACCACACATATTTTAAAAAGTAGAAAATTATTTCAAAGTTGAATAGAGAGTGGTGAATTTGTGTCAAAGTTTTAGTCATTTTTTTTTCCAGTGACCACTACACATGCTGGATACATAAACAATAAAAAGGGACATTACAGTGCAGATGCTGAGTTAGAGGACCCAGGAGGTACCTCCATCAGAGTACCAAAGAAAAAAGGGACTGACGTTGTCAAGTTTTAAAAACGCAACTGAACTTTTGATTAACCCTTTAAACCCTACTATCAGTATCCATATTCTCCATACTTTTCTCCATACATTCTTGAAGTGCAGACAAGGAGAATTTATGTAACAATCAAGAGCTTCTTAAGTTGGTGATCATTTCCTTTATTCTTGCAACTTTAATAAGTGATTTTGGGGTGAATCTGTGAGGAGAATTTAGATGCTGCTCACTTGTTTCTCCTTTTTAATCAAGTTTTTGTCTTTGTGATAAAATGAAGCAGTCCTCTATCAGTGGATAGGAAGTTCATCCAATATAAAAATGTTCTTTTTAAAAAGGCATTGATACGCTAAAACAGTAAGTCCATTTTCACGTGGGAAAAGTAATAAAAAATAAAGAAATTGTCACAATTTTACCAAACTTAATCTTATGCCTATTTTCTTTTTATATAAATGTCATTTTGGTTGTTTAGTGAGTTTTGACCCAAACAAGGATGTTATCCTTTACTAGTTGTTACCGAAGGTTACTGAATAATAATTACCGTAGATCAGATTACTGGTTTTCGTGGTTTTTTACGAATTCCGGACGAGTCAGGGAAGTTGGAGATCATGCCCATTTCAAGGTTGGCATGTTATTTTGAAAATAAGGGTCTTCGTTTTCGGATCTTTGTTCATAAAACCGGGTTTTAATGCATGCTTTATCATTATTAAAAAGATTTAAAACTGGAGCTAGATATTTTTGGCGAAAAAAAATCATGATAAATTAAGAAAATAGTGGGGTCTTTATTTTTGGGTCTTCGTTTTCGTTACAGGCAAAGGAAAAAACAAAAAAATGTGACTGGGTGTCATAAAGTGCACAAAATAACAAAACTTATTAACGAACCTTAGTCTGAAAATCTCAAACGGAGTGAAGTGAAATACCGATGCACTCCAGACAAATGATTTTTTGCTTCTTACTCGTTTTAATAAACCTTTTTCTCTAAATTACTCTCGACCGCTTGTTAGCTGATTTTCCTGGGGCTTTCCTACGAAGAAAACATCGAGGCCAGTTTATTGAAAGCCAATTGACAGGTGATTCAGTGAGAGGCCATTTAAAATGGCCCTAAGAAGCAAACAAAAAAAGAAAAAACAAAACACTGCACTGACATTTTATTTCACTTTCTTGAGATTTGAAGACTAAGATGTCGGTATCCCAAAGCACTCTATGCATGTATATGCAGAGAAAAATGTAGATTTTAAAGACGGAGCGTCGTTACTCGAGTTTTACGCACTAACAAGCGAATAACAGACTGCTGGTTTACCATACCAGCAGAATGCGGCGCTTAAGTTTCCAATTTAAAAATTCATTAACGATGGGAGTTGTGTTTTTCACTGGCAGACCTCACCATAACCCTCATGATAGATTTGTTCCCATGCGAAATTTGCTGACCAGTTCAGATCTCTAGTTCAGTAAGTCGCGGGCTCCTAAGATGCATAGCTTCTCTGATAGGCGTAAGTTCGAATGAGTTGTAGCGGAATGGGGGTCCTTCACAGTCGTTTGCCATCTTGATGTTGCGCCACTTAAGATCACATCCTGTGTTTGAGTCCTTTAACTCTCCTTTGGTTGTTTTCGGTCGCTGAAAGAGAGTTTGTGGTGTCTGTGGTTTTTGAACCTTGTTTTAGATTCTCTCTCTGTCAAGTCGATGTAGATGCTCGTGTTACCGGATGTTGTTGTTACAGTGGCCTCAGGGATGGTATCATTTGTCAGATATTCATCATTGACTAGAACAAGAAGATTAACCGTCCAAGGGTGCTGAGGGTAACTTAACAATAATTGCCATACTGATAGATCGTATTATACGCAACGACTACAAGATTCCAGTTCCAATTTCATTGCTCGCTGGCTAAAAAGTCCAAAAGGAATCAGTAAAACTAGTTTGGAATGTGCCGATGACACGATATTTTTTTCGCGTAAATATTTAGCTTATCATATGTACAAACCTATTCCGATAGAAAAAAAATTAAAAAAACTTGATGAAACGATCGCTCAAAGCACGATCACTACCTCAAGTGTCATTTACCGGAAGACGTCATGTCGAGAATATCTCGATGAATAATTTTTGTCGAGTGAATGGACGGTTAAGATGTACTTCTAGTGCTTGCTAGATCATGAAAGGCTCACAACGGATGTCAAGTCTCGATATTTTCGCAAACCACCCAATCGATTGATCGTGATCGCCGGCTCACGTAGGCAAACGATGTGAAAATAGATTCGGAGGTCAACCACAGTCAAGTACCTCGGAACAAGGATTAGTCTATCTCCTTGTTTTTTATCCATGAATAATTTTGTTTCCCAATTTTCTAGAAACAAGTGGGTTAGTTTGAAAGCACGTACGTACTAGTATATATGTCTTGTCAGAGAAACATGGATCACGAAATGCAACAAAATACTTGACCTTTTCCTTCATCGTTGGAGGATTTACTTGATTTTTTGTTATGTACTATATAGGGATGTCATTATTTCTTCAGATACGACACAACAGGTCTCTTCAAAGGTTATTGCACCCGAAGTGATTTCTCGTTTTTTTTTCATGATTAGTGTGGGGTTTGAGGCCATACTAGGCGTTTGAGACCGTTTCAGAAAGATTTCAGCGTGTTCTAGTACAACGAACGTGATATCGCTACCCCCGCCTGCCGGTAGTTAGATAACGACGTGACTAATACAGTTTATAGACTGTATGATTTTACGCCACTATCAGCCCCCAACCATACAGAGAAGAGACGACCCTTTCGAAATTCAGTGTAAGGAAATAGAAATCCAAAAAATTGATTGGCTTGCCTCCTCTTACGTCATAATACAATAAAGGCTCATCTTATAAAACCATGTTCGATCGACCGGACGAGCGAAAGAAAGTAGCTGTTGTAACAAACAGAACGGACTGGCTATCACTATGTCGAAGATCTGTATTTTGCTTTTACTCAGTTCATTTGCTATCGCATTAGGGCTTGTTCCACCGCCTGGCGACCGAGGTAAGTTACTGTTTTCTTTTATGTCAAAATGTAGAAAATAGAATTCAAACTGGGCCATGAAAATTTAGGAATAGATGATTCGAAATTTTAGTTACTGTTATGAAATTTCGAGGCTAGTTTTTTCTTTCTACTCTTTTAAAAGAACGTAGACTCGAGTTATAACTCAATGAACAGTAGTTTTGCGTGCCGTGTTTGAATCAACGGTTGTAGAAGCACGTCCAGGTCCTACGATTTGGCGCCAGTCCAAGATAAGCTGTAGCACGTATGCATCCCGCGTGACAAATCATTTGATACGGCAACTGATATCTTAAATTGTTATTATTTGTTATAATTGATCCCTGCTTGATTTAAATGTTAAAGAGGAGTGTTTCACGAATACTGACATTGACAGGATAGAAAAAGGTGACCTCCTTTTCCTTCTCTGGGTGATATCAAGTGTTTTACATGAGTTTTTGGGATATTTCATCCCCCCTCTTCACTGGCACCTGACTAAATACAAAGAAACTTGCACGAAACTTAAAAATACTCAAACTCATTCAAGGAAATCTTCACATGGATGGTCATTCGAAATCAATCAGATGTGCCTGTGAACACATTTTTTTTTGTCCTGTTTGATTTTCTGCGGGTCTGAAAGCTTTAAAATTTGTATGTGGAGTGTTTGGAAGCTCCTTTGTAACTGACACTTGCATAATTTTTCTAATTGACCGCGGAAAATGTACATTCATCTGTTTCACAGTTACTGGAAACAGATAACGTCATTCAAAAGAATCATGTCTGGCAAGGTTCTACACCGTCTTACTGACTATCTGAGATTTTAAGTAGGATTTTGGTTTCATTCACCTTTCCCCCTCCCCTGCTTCTTATAGCTACGCCTTCAATCCACATTTCACTTAATCATTTTTTTTTTACTTAAAGACAAACCGTGTGCGCCCTGTTCGTTACCATGGCAATTGGCATACTCGCATGATATCGACGGAAACTCAGTAAAAGGCTGGAAATACTCGCTCGTATCTGCTGTGTTGTCAGGTGCACGTGTGCGTGTCGTCATTGGGACAGGTTACAGCACTGAAGCCGACAATGTGCACGTGCATGGCGGCCACGTGTTTGCTCAGCTTCTACAACACGTCAGCAAGGCCTCATGGGATAGGTTTCAAGATAATGCTTACTGGTGGTGGGTAATGGTATCCACTAATGGAATTATGGAGATGACCAGGTACAACGTGGGCTCACATCAGCATCGTGGAACCAACAGAGTAAGAAGAAGCATTGAATGGTATGTACAATTGGCAGGTCTTCTTCCAAAGCCGTCTTATTCTCACCAGGCTAATGGAAATGGAGTCCAAGGTGTCTTATACGATCTCGAAAGCAACGTTAAAAAGGGTCAGGATATTCGCTGTGTCAGCAACAAACGGTATTCCTTCCCACTCCAGAATGTCGCCATTGCCTCCAAGGGTGAATACGTTTCTGGGCAAAGCTTGGACCACATAAGCATTAGCACTAAAAGCAATTCTATAGGGTTTCAGAGCAATGCGTACTGGTGGTTTACTATGTTGACCACTCGTGGATCGCGTGACATGTCACGCTGGACTGTTGGAACCCACCAGGACCGAGGCCATAGCCAGGATACCGTAGCGATGGAGTGGTTTGTTGATGGCTGCTGGAAGGAAATCTTTGAACACGATGCAAATGGGAAGCCTCTTTCTGGATCACGCCAAGCACTGACAACAGCTATATTGTCCGGTCATCGTGTTCGCTTTCAGTTGCCTCAGCGGAATTACTACACAGCTGAAGCTGACAACCTTTCTGTGCGAAATGGCCATGTGACAGCGCAGGCTTTGAAACATGTTAGTAAGGCATCTTTGGCTAGATTCCAAGATAATGCCTATTGGTACTGGTTGATGGTCTCTACCACGGGAACCGTACGTGCGACAAGGTACAATGTAGGTGAACATAAGCATCGTGGCGATTCCACTGGCAAGCTTAAGGTGAAGTGGTTCATCGACACAAGACCATGGGGGCAAGTCCTGTCGAATGATCCATCTGGTAATGTCGTAAACGGAAGTCGTACTCATCTGGTACACGCTGTCAGGACTGGAGCAGATGTTCGCTGTGTGCAGGGAGACAGAAAACAAGGCTATTCATTCAAGGCTCAGAACCTGGCGGTGTCACCAGATGGAAACCATGTGGCCGCCCAAACTCTTAACCACGTGAGCATGCAGTCGGCACCCAATCCGAATGAGGTGATGATGCAGCCAAGAGCATACTGGTGGTTCACGATCGTTTCCACCAAAGGCCTGAGAGAGATGTCCCGCTGGACCGTTGGTAAACACGAGAATCGTGGTAAATCGTCAGATAAAGTTGGAACAAAGTGGTTTGCCAACTACTGATGCTCGATGATTCTGACTATGATATGGTCGCACTTTGCTTTTTATAATCGAATCAGTTAAGCGTTAGTGTTGCATTCTAGAATATCATATCAGGTAGAGTAGCGCTCAGGAACTAGATTACAACTAGATTGCAATTAAAGATTGCAATTAGATTGCAACTAGATCAAAATAGATTCAATATTCCCACTTGAAGTCTCGTAAACAATGCCGAGGGGCATATTTTTTGAAAAAAAGATGAGCAGTTTTTTGTTTTGAATCATTTTTATCTATTAAAACATGTGACATATCAATCTGAGTTGCACTTTCTTAACTGGGCCATACTCGGACTAAGAAAGTTAGGGAGTTGTTACCCCGCCAGCGCACGCTTTTAATCCCCGCCCCTCTGCCCTTGTTAAAAATAGGCTCCACCGTCCCTGCGCGATTGTTCATTTCACAATAAAATACAGAAAAAAAGCCATGGCCTCAACGCGTGAAAACGCCAACTGCTATTTTAATCACGATTTGTTTTAACTTTTCGAGTATTTTGAAAGATCTATCGAGCATGGTGAAAACCAATCCTAATTTAAAATTTCTTTTAAACTTTTAAGTTTAATTTTTTACAAGCTCGATTCATTTCTGGAAGTAAACCAAACACATCGCAAGCGTGGCATTACCATAAGGGAGTTCACCATCTCCTCAAATAAGGTTCGCAAAAATAATTTGGTTTCTCCGCCGAATATGCAAACAGACTAATGTGGTTCGTCACTTGGGAGACGATTACATGACATAGCAGACAATAAGGAATATAATTATTTAAACTTGCAGAAACTTCATTCGTGCGACGTTGTTTAGATTCCTGTATTGTTTGGAGATCATATAGCCCCAGTGGCAACTTCCATATATTTTGAAAATTGGTTCCGACGTGAAAACTCAGCAGAAATGTTCAGATCATCTGAAAATTTCGACGCCCGATGCGCTCCGTGCGTAAACAATGCTACCTACAGGACTCCTCCACAGGAGAAGAGGCCATTGCTACTCACCCTACCCTTACCTAAGCTATGGAGTATCGAAATCGTCGGGCAAACATGGCGGACTTCACTCTTTGCTCCTTAGCTACTGACATCTTACTGTGTTAACCAGACAACTCAGGTAAATTCATATCCATTCCAAGTTCGTATGTACTTAAAGCAATACGTTCCCTTGTCTCCTTTGGGAGAAAGTTTGCTATTGTTTCAAAAGAGTTTTGGAGGTAGCGTTCGTTCATTTACGTCACGGAAATTTAGCTAATGTCTAACCGGACCAAAACTTGTGATGCAAAACCTTTTCTATTTCGTGTTTAGCTGTGGCTGTTTTCTCTCATACATCGCTCTATTATAGATTTTAAAGAAAAATGGCCTTTCTCCTTTGTTTGTGAAGTCTTGAAACGCTATGTTATAAACTGTTAGCACATAGCGATTTAAGTAGAGCAAATTATTTGGAGTAGCACTCTCGCAAGATGCTTGGTGTAATAGCTGTGATTATTTACTGCCCATTTTGTGATGTCAGCACAGTTGAACGTTTACCCAAATTAATTTTAAAAAGATCTCTTTTAAGCTTTCGTCGTGCAGGTTATTCTAAGTGTTGAAAAATTGCGGAAAATTCAGCTGTTTTAACGCGAAGGGATAAAACTGTGACGAACTACAGTTGTTTCTGTGAGGTGTTTTAAACCCGATTTCGTCTATGTTTTTTGTCCTTTACTGTCTTGATTTATTTCTCGGTATTTGAAGATGGTACAAATCAAACAATGCTATTCTTTTCGTCAAAATTGGTCACCCACATGAGTTTAATTTTACTTCCGGATTTTCTTTTGTTATTGGAAGCGATTGTTTCTCTTTTCGTCAAAGCCGAATTTGGGAAAACAATCTTCAACATAAGAGTTATTTAAAATTTTGGTACCCAGCGTGGCATTTAAATGGATTGACTCTAAGTTTATGTCTGAGATTCAGAAATACAGAAAGGGTAAATACTGAAAATAACATGATCATGAGCAAACTCAGTGTTCAATAATGTTATTGATAAGCTAGTAATCTTTGATATTTTATGGTGATAAACCACATTATATGATGTGATTTTTCGGCCAAGTATTTACTGACACTATTGGTCAACATGGATTCATGGTATTCATCAAAGATTTGTATTGAATTAGGCTGTCAAATATCAAGTTTTTTTGCGATCAAATTATCATCATATTTTGCTCAGATAAATGCCAGTGTGAATTATTTATTTAGCCTGTATAGCAAGGCACTGACAGGGAAAATGTAAAAGGGGAGAATAGGGAGAGGGAAATGAACCTTAATTCTTCTTCCACATTTCCCTTGAGGCCTCTTCTTCGTCCACATCTGGGGGCTGTCACACATACTTTAGTCTGTGCCTTTTTTTTTGTCCCATAATTTACAGATGAACCATTGACAAGGTTACAAGAAAACATCTTTGGTGTACAAGTTTGTGTACCTGTGTGAGAGTAGTGCAAAGCCATGGAAGCTGGAGCTCATGATGGTACTCCAGAAAATTCTGATACTAGTGATGTGATCAAAAGTTTGAGTCAAAAATTTTCACCAGAAGCATTGCAAAGTGCTTTGAAACTTGCAGTGGCTATGAAGAATGCTTCTCAAGAGGAATGTGATTCCGTGATGAGGTCGACATCCCAGCCAAATGAAGCACTAGATTCTGAGGAGAAACCGTCCTTAGAGGTTGACCGTTGTGATAATGATAATGGCCTTGAGAAACTTCAACAATTATCTGAATTATTAGATCAAGTTGATGAGGTCAGGAAAGTTGAAGAGGATAATAGTGAGAGAGGCAGTGTTGTCATTAACGGACTGGGAGAGGGTAAAGACAACCATATAGCAGATGAAAACGCAGCTACTGATGATAATTCTTATGAAACAGAAGGTAGAAGTGTCTTCACTACAAAGGATGATCAGAGGTTTTCTGAAGTGGCTGATGAAAAGGACAAGATAGAAGATCAGATTAGATTTGAAGATGATGGCAATATTGGTGATTGTGTCACAGCTGTAGCTATTGATGATGTTAATGCCTTATTGGATGGAAAGGAGGATTGCAAAAATGACTGTGTTACTAATGAAAACTCAGCACATCAACTCAGAGAGACCACCAGTAACAGTTGTGTTAATTCTGTTGACAAAAGCATTGTCACTCCAATTGGAGAGCAGATGTCTGAATTTCCATACAATGATGAAAGATTGGCAATAACATCGAGTACTGCACATGAAAATTCTGAGAGTTCCTCAACAGGATGTGCTAGTTCAAGCGAAGATGAAGAATTACCTGAGTTATTGCGAGGCAAAGCTGAGGATAGTTTCTCTGAGATTGAAGATGTAGATGGGAAAGAGCCTGTGGGAGTTGTTTCTGTGGAAAGTGAGACCACTGAAGCCTCTGTTCTAGAGGGAACACTTTCCATGTATCATGCATCTTCTGTACCCCAGTCAGAAGCTGTGGAATCTGATAAATCCAAAGAAGATTATGCTGAATCATCATCTTCATCAGATGAAGATGAAATGGTGTCATCTACACATTCTGTGGTGGCATCAAGTGAAAGTGACCTATCAGAGGCTGTTGTACCAAGTGGATCATTAGCTAATCAATCAGAAAAGTTGAAGGGGAGTGCAAAGCAATTGGTTGAAGAGACCCAACCCTCCTTGCTAATGACAGGATTTAAGGATGATGAAGTTGCTGTTAAAGATGATGAAATGATTCCTGAAGATGTCAGCAAAGAACCTCCATATGTCACTGCCCCAGTCTTAGAAAGGATGTCATCATTGTCTTCAACAGGCACACAGACATCACTTGAAAACCTGAACCTTGTAAAAGATCCGATACTTTCCGCCCATGGAAACCTTGACAGCATCCTTAATGGCAAAGAGCATCACACATCAAAACTTCCTTTCTACTACCAACCACAGATTGTCATGCATGAAGAGAAACCTGTTTTAGTGCTTCAACCTGTGCCATCATCAACCTCTTCATCAAATGGTAATGCCAGTGTTCCAGGGCTAGAAAGTAGTGCATTTAATGCTTCACTTCCAATCATTTTACCTTTAGCCTCACCAAGCATTGATAAGAAGACAAAGGAAGCACTTTTTCAGAGAATGAGCCAGGCAGGTACATTTCTTGTGGACAAAGATGATGTTGAAGAAGGTGATGCTAACGAGAAAAATTATCTCAGTGGTTTGTTATCAAGAGCAATTTCTATCATTTCACAACCAAATGGTAAAGAAAGTGGGGAACATTTACTGGACTCCAAAGGGTATGACAAACCTACAATCAAGATTCCAGCAGCAGAAAAATATTCAGAACACCAAGATGGAGGGAAATCTGAGGGATTACCAGAATGGGTGGCTTCATCCGAACTTGACAAGGCTTTCTCTGCAGCAGCAGAGAGAATGCCTCCAACAACAGAACAACAATCACCTGCCATACTTGCATCTCCAAGCGTCAGCTTCCCAAGTACCAATCCTTTTGCTAAAGACTTGGTCGTTCAGAAATCTGGACATTATGATGTTGAAGCAGATAGCTCATTAAACCCTGGTATGGGAGAACCACCACTATATTCTTTATTTGGTCCTCCAAGTTCGCCAACTGTACTTCAGGGTGCAAGACCAAAGGAATTCAGGGCTTACCAGGATCCTGGGATTGGTGACAGCGGAACAAACCCATTCACTCCAGATCCTCCAAAGAGTACCAAGCAAAGAAGAAGACATGAGCAAAAGTCACCCAGTTCTGCTGAAGTGGTAGTTGCTGCTGAAGTGCATTCTTCTGAAGGCCACCCTGGAGAGATAAATGGAGTCTCACACAGATCTCCTAGACGTAGACTGTCAAGCGAGTCCATGGTTACACTGATCGAGACATCATATCCTGACACATCTGCTGATTATGTTGAACCACCTGGTATAGATGAAACATCAAGAGCAACCAAAAATCCTCAACTACAACAGGAGAGAAACGAAAATAGCCACGTTGTACAGAAACCACAAAAGACACTGCAGGAAAGTGGGGAAATCCATTCAGATACTAAAAAAGTCAAGCCCAAGACAAAAGTGGTAAGCTTATCATATATTGTCCAAGGTAGCCCATTGTTTTGCGAGGGTTCTCCTCAAGTTGATTGTTTTGAGAGTGCATCAGCATTTTTGTTGATATAGAACTCTGACTAGCAGGTCAAACTTTATGCTTTAAATAATCTTTTTTTTTTATTGAGTTTATTATGGGAATATTTAGCATCTTTTTATTGTTGCTGGTATCAAACATGCAAATTTGCCTTTCTTACAACCAATCGCTTTTATTTCAAGAATTTATTGAAAAGTGTTCTCATTATAATTTTTCTTTCTTCAGATGTTTGAAAGAATTCTCTATCTGGTAAATTTCCCAAAAGCAGCAGTCTCTGAAAGTCATTGAATGATACAATTTAGGCAATCAGATATAATGAACCTTTTAAGTCCAAAGATCCAACCCTTCTGACTGCTATGCATTTTGTTGTAAATTATATTGGAGGATTTGGTGTAATATCAAGGTGACACCTTCAAGTTGATAGGTTTGTTTGTTCATATTACCCTTTGGCAAGATGAGATATTGGAATCACAAGGACAAGTTACATGTAAATCACTTTTGGGATTAAAGGGTCAGGAAAATAAAAATTTTGATTAAATTTGTAGTTTATTGACTTTATGTGTGACTGTTTGATTACAACTGTGTCGTCTAATGGGTGGACTGGTTCAGGAAATTACATCAAGTATTTGATTGTATGAAGTTGAGATATCAAGAAAAATGGTGTTGTTTTTTGTTCTTTTTTTTTTCTAGCCTGGGAAAGTGGCCCCTTTCTGGATACCGGACTTTGCCTGCACCAAGTGTACTGGCTGTAAAGTAAAGTTTACACTTTTTATCAGAAAACATCATTGCAGAGGTTGTGGAAAGGTAATCAACTTTTCAACTCTGTGAGATAAAGATTGAGAAAGATTATCATGGAGCTAGTTTCTCTAGCTATGGGGCATCCTTGCATTAGGAGTGCTATCTCTTCTCAAAGCTCTTAGTTATCTGTTAGCCCTTGGAACCCTAAACCTGACTAGCTTCTAATTTCTCCATGTAGTAATTCACCCCTGAATCACACATGAACCCTTTAAATCCCAAACCTGATCAACATGAAACTTCTCCCTATCATATCCTTACAATACCTAGCAAACAGCTAATGAGAATATTCAAACTTATTAGGTAAAAGTTGTTGTCTTGATCTAACACCAAGTTCTCTTAACTAATTTAGTAGGAAATGTGTAGCAGCTAGAGGGGAGAGTTTCCAATCAGATCTTGGGGGTTAAAGGGTTAAGGTCATGAGAATAAAGGAAATGATCACTGACCAAAGGATTTCTTGATTTTATGAAATTTAAAAAACGATCTCTGGCTAAAACTTTTAAAAATACAAGCTTTCGGCTGTTTGCGCTACAGCCTTCAATGGGTAAAATGATAAAAAGGTAAATTCTTAGTTATCAGCATTTTTAATTTTTACTTTGTACTTCATACCTAGTATTTTTTACCTTTTTATCATTTTACCCGTTGAAGGCTGTGGCGCAAACAGCTGAAAGCTCGTATTTTTAAAAGTTTTAGCCAGAGATCGTTTTTTAAATTTTATAAGATGTTTTATCCTGGCTGCGGCCCCTCTATGATTTCTTGATTGTTAAACAAATTCTCCTTGTTAGCACTCAAGGAAATATTTAGAGAACAGTATGGAGAATATACACAGTGATGTTAGGATGTAAAGGGTTCAAGGAGCTTAAAGTAATTTTATTGATGGTGACCCAGTAACCAAGAAATACAATTGCCCAGTTCTCTTCTGCAATGTAGAGCTTGTCACAATTGATGAAGATCATTGTACAACAATTGCAATGGAATTTTGTGATATGAAAAAGTATTGACGTAGTATATGTATTGTTTTTCTATTAACCAGATATTTTGTAACACCTGCTGTTCACAATTAGCCAGATTTCCCTACCTACAGTTCAAAATTGGTAGAGTTTGTAAGTCATGTACCAAGGCAATAAAAGAAGGTAATTTCCTGAATAATTTTATCGTAATTTGTGTGAAATCTGGCACAAATGGTCCAACATCCTTCTGAATCTTGAATGTGTTGTTGATAAGATTGATTTCAAGGGCATGTGAACTTTATTTGTGAGGGTTTCTTTAGCATGGAATGAGTTTATCTAATTCAAATGTTTAGTAGCCAGATTGGAGAATTTCTCAGATTGGAGAGTTACAGGGTAATTATCGCCGTTTAATTTTTTTTCTTAGCAACTCAGTTGAAGTCAAAGGAAGACGCATCCAAACAAGAACAGTTGCAGCAACAATCAGACTCGCCAGCTTCAATCCAGTATCCAAAGGGGTTGTCCCAGAGAAATGAGGTGACCAACGCAAACGGACAAGGAAATTCACCATTGCTTCCACATAGTTCAGTCTTGCCTGCCACAGGCTCACTTCCCCTTGCACAAGGTCCAAGGACAGCCACGCCGTCCAGTGGGCTTGTGCCAGTAAATCAAGGGTTACAGGGAAGTGTTTCAAGCCAGTCTCTTCCATATCAGCCATTAACATGGCCACCAGTGTCTTCCGGGAGAGTTCAATATACTACAACACCATCACAACCTGTTGTGCCCTCAAATAACCCTTTACAAGGATCCCAGAGTCATACCAGACCTGCTCAGCCAGCTAAACAGTACATGTGGGTGCCTGCTTCTCAGGTTCAACAACCAGCTGTACCAGTTGTTTACATGAATCCTGTTGCACCTAATTTACAAGGGGGACCCATGTTGATGACCTATCCACCAGGGCAGCAGTTCATTCCGCAGCAGGCTCCAGTTATGCTGCTTGCTAACCAACCATCTTCTACTTCATCCTTGGTTCGGACAACTGAAGCACCTAAGACCTCGAGTGACAGTTTGAAAGGCACAGTCCCAGTTTCAAACCGATCTCCATCTGGGACAGTGACAACTTTTAGTGTCTTGCCACAACATGTGGGACAGAATGCGGTCCTTTCTGCTCAGGGCTACAATACTGGAACTGTGAAAACAACAACAACGACGACGACACCAACAACAGCCGCAACTATAAATAATCAAGTTTCCAGCAATTCAAGTTCAGCTCCCTCAAGTCAAATACAACCTCCCTCGTCACAGTCACTTCAGAAAACTATCCCAGAACCCGGTGAAGAGGCTCTCACTACAAACCACAGCCTTCCTTCTACTTCTGCACTTGATCACACTCCTTCTCATGCGATTACCACCACTTCACCATCTCCAAGGGTATCCTCTTCTGTGATGAGCAGCTCAAGCGGAGACCATCAATCTCAAGAAAGTCTTAGCAGAATCCAACGTTCAAGGCAATCGGATGGTAGTGTTCTTGTTACTGATGAAACAGACCCAAGCACTAAAGAAATCAATCTACCGTTTAGAAGGGCAGGAAGGACCATTACGTGGCGTCACAGAACTCAAGGAAAGAGCAAATTACAAGAGCAGAAGAAGTCTTTAGCAAAAGATTTGAGAGGTTAGTGTTGCCACTCATAAGGAAGGGACAATTATGACTATGTTTTTCATCGTCTTTTGAATCTGACATTAAACAATTCTGTTCATTTGCTCTGACGAAGGGATAAGTCTCAACATGTCAGCCTTTAAACTCTTTACGGTGGCCAATTTATGTTATGTAGTCGGTTGATAATATATAGATTTAGCCAAGCCTTATAGTGGAGCTCGCATTTTTTTTCCCGCACGTCTCAAAGGGCACAACGCCTTGCCCCGGCCAGGACTAGAGCCCAGTGCACTGACCACTGGACTACTGAACAAAGCCTTAGCGTTGGCGTGCCCGCGGTACAGTTGACCACGCATGTTAAAAGTAGCACCTTGTACGGTCGGTCGTACGGTCGTACATCCAAATTTTTTCGGCTTGATGGGTTACTACTATTTTGTATAATTATGGGGCTACGCTCTGCGAGCTCCGCTAATACTAAATTACCCTGTTATACTCTCCCACCGACGCAGCATCACAGTTCAAAAACTTTAAACTTTAAAAACTTGCCCTCTGAACAAATTATCTATTCCCTTTGATAATTAAGGTGAAAGGAAATAGTTTTCAGTTTATGATGAAAATATACTTGGAAATCGAAAGTTGTTGAATCTCTAAATTTTTCGGTTGTTTTCTTGACGCTTCAGACCTAACCGATGGCATAACAGTTCAGACCACAGCAGACCTCCTCGTTCACGTCAAGAAAATGAAATGTAAGTCTCTGTTATAGAGTTAACGTAGTCTTAGCCTAAGATTCCATTTTATTTTGAGGTTATTTGGGTATTCTTAACTAAGCTGTATAATTTTTTTGGTTACCTATTTTGATTCAAAAATGTTACTTTTTTACAATATCACAAGAGAGTAAGGAAAACTCCCTCACCCCGAAATTTAACCATCCAGAAAAAAACAAAACAAATCCCAATACATACTTTTCTGCTGCAGTGTTTGATCATAGTTAGACTATTTTTTTTTTCTTTTTTTCGTTCCAGTAAAAGAGGGAAACAAAGTCATTACAGTGTGGTGCTACCAGAGTGAGGGTCTCACCAAGTTTAATCACTTGGAGGTAGTGGTTTTGTTGGAAATACGGAAAAAGGAGGAAATCTTTCCTGAAGAAGTTTTGCGGGTCTATAGAGGCATTTTACATCTTGCTTCAAAATTGGGTGAGTACTTCACAGCAAGGATACACCTAATGACGTTGTCATAGGAAAAAAGCAAAGACAAAAGAGGAAAAAGCCAAATAGGAACTTTTTAGCATAATACGCTACCATCTGGCCATGTGCCCAACAGCCGAACAATTTTCACAGAATCTCCACAAAAAAAATTATTTCAAACTTCTTGGAATATCAGATATTGTTTGAAAAATTCGAAGCGATTCCAAAAAGTAAAAAAGAAAATGACATGTTTATGGCGTCTGTTATATGCCTATAAATTCGACTTTGGCTTCATCCCTCTTTTCCTTTTTCTATTTTTTATGACAACGTTACCGCTGCAATAAGGAGTATTACTTACTAATCGATTATCAGTAAGGGTTGAGGAAAGCAGAAAAGTAACCACGGACAGACCAGCACGGACAGCGCTAAACACTGTTTTCCGACCCAAGAATCAAGAACGTTCGCAACGTCAACCGTTCAATATTTCAAATCAACATTTTGTTAATAATCGAATGACTCACTAAGTGTGTCACTTACCAGCCGATGCAACTTAATAGTTTCCTTAAAACTGATAACTCTGCTCAAAAATCAGCAAGGGTCAAAGGAACTGCGATTTCCTCATGGCCCGTGTATTTATTTGTCTAACTTGGTTTGTTTGTCTTGTTAGATTATCGTTTTTACCATTGTAACTATTTGTCGAGCAACAACCAGTTTCTTGACAGTCCAGATGATGCTGGTTTTATTCTTGTCTCCAGTGAACTTAAGGTGAGAATTAATTTAGTGAATAATAATCACCGCCGCCTGGTTAGCTTGTTCTAGGTGTTCACTTCGTAAACCGGGGCGAAATTGTAAACAGCGCGATAGTAGCGGAGGAATGAAAACGAGGGACTCGACCCAAGCCTCACTCCTTCTTTAAGTCTTCCGGTACTATCGCGTCGTTTACTATCTCGCTTCGTTCTAATTCCTAAACGCGTGGAACAAGTTACCGCCTGGTCAGCTCAGGTTGAAGAGCGCCAGGCTACCGTGTGGTCACTGTCCCAGATGGAGAGGGCCCAAGCTTCAGACGGGACTTGAGATAACTGAGGAGAATTTTCTGCCTTTGCTATAACATCTGCAAATGGTTAGACGTTCGAATCTTCTCAGATGAGGACGATGAACAAAAGGCCCCGTCTCCTGCCCCTTCTCTGTGCTGGTTAGCAGGGGACGTTAAAGAGCCCACGCACCTCTCTCAAAGAGTAGTGCACTTAGTTCCCGTTATTGTGGTTCGGGTTTGATTCCAAAATTTTCAAAATTGGGGGCAGCTTTAAAATTTCCTTTCAAAATAGTAAACTGCTTGTTAAAGTCTAGCCAAAGACCTCGCAAATTGTTGTGAAGTGCATTAGAGTCACATCATAATAATATCAATAATATGGATAACAATAGTTATGATAATAACGAGAAAAAGGAAAACGGGGGAGGGGAGGGCTGTCACCACAGGGGCATCTTATAATTGATGTATATTTATATTGATACGTTTTATTAAATGTGCCATTACAGCCCAGACCTATGGGATTAAAAGGAATCACGACACCTTTCTTGTACGGAATCCTGGTGAAAAGGTCGGAACTTTCTGCTGCCATGTTTACACCAAGCAGGCTTCTTCTTCGATTGGGAAATCAAATGAACTGTAAGTTCAACGGAGTAATTCCGCTTTACATAAGTAAAGTACCATTCGGTTATCGACTAGTGTTGTGTTTAAGTAGTGAACAACGTTTTAAAAAAACGTGAAAAACTTTAATCGCTAGACTCATACCACTTGCTTACTGAACTAAATCCAACCTTATGTAACCTAAGTACCATGAATAACTAATTATATTTACACAGCTACTTACATAACATTACGTGACGAAAGGTGATCACAACAAATTATTCGCAAGTTCACACTAAGTGCGAAGCCTATTTACAATCGACACTACAACTAATCGTTGGTTGATTTTGAAAATAACTTAAAATGAAAAGCGGTGAACAGGAGTGTTACTCGCGTTTGCTCTTTAACACCCACGAGTGACCAAGATGGAATTTCTCCTTACAATATCAATACGATATCAAGCAGACAAGAGACGAGAATAAAGGAAAATGTCAATTAGGGAGTTCCTAGTTGGTTCAATGCCAAATTCTTTTTATTATTACTCTATGAGAATTGTCTAGCAGACAGTAAGGAGAGTTACTAATTAGATATTGGGAGTGAAAGGGTTAATTTACGTCGGGAAGGTGCCTGCAGGGCTTCAATTGTCGAAAGTCCAAAAAAACCCTCAAATGGTGTTTAGTCTGTGAATCGCTCGTTTCACTAGATTCACCTTTTGTGCAAATCTACCTTGGTTATAACAGAGCTGAGGTTTATCAAGTGAATTCCTGTGTTGAAATCGATTATCCACTGGTCGTTTGTTTATTAAGATAATAAATTAAAATGGAAAAACTGCGAAAAGAGTTTTACTCGTATTAAGTTGTGTCAGAATAGTGCGTACAAGGTCTGTGAAGCGCTCAGTCTTTTCAGTACAGTAGTTGCACCTCAGATATCGGGTATTGTAGAAATCTACCTTGGTTGTAACAAAGCTGAGGTTTATTGCGTTAATTTTTTTAAATTCATAAGCAATTTCTTTAGGAAAATTTCGGTGAAAAAGAGCGGAGGTTCGCGCGTAATCCGTAAAATTTAGAGAGTCAACAGACCCAAAGGGTGTTATTGCACAAATACATTCTACAAACTTTTACGTTGTTGCCTCTTATATCAAGACGTGGTACTCAGTTTTGTAAATATTATTGTTTTCCAAACAGCTTAAATAGCGGTATTTGTTTCTTAAACAGGTTACCCGTTTCCTGTGTGGAATAATCGAGATCGAAGGCCAATATTTCTCGGTAACGAGCATGACGACAGATTTTTTCACACTGTGTTTGCCATGAACAAATACTTGGTACGTATGTTACATTTTCCGTTTGTTCTTTACAGATGACGACTTTTTATTCAGAGCGCAACCACGATCACGAGCGCGGTCTGAAAGAGGTTTGAAAGGTGTCTGGCATTTTCAGTGCCAGACCTCCGGCAAACCCTCCCGCGACTCGTCTCCATTCTTCCCATAGGCGGAAACGCGCGTCCAGCAGCGCTGACATTGAGGGTCTACTCACAGGCTATCGTGCGTATTGCTGGGAAGGAGGGTAGGGCTACACGTAGGCTAGGATCAGCAATGTAGAAAGCGCCACGTGAGTAAATAGAATGAGACAGGTGATGATTTTTCTCTTTCTTTGTTTAATTTATTTCGTATTTCCTTTCCAGAAAAACGGCGTGCCCGAGGCTATGATTCCTGGCCTGTATGTGATTAAGGAAGGAAACAAAATTGTCTTACAGATCCCCAAAAGTGGGCAGAGCGCGGTATGTTTATGTTTCCATAGTTATCCGTTGAATTGTGTAATTCTCCCAAGACCAATTTCTCCTTGTCAGCACCCTAGGAAATGTATAGAGAACAGAATGGAGAATTTGTATATTGATGTTAGGGCGTAAAGGGTTAAAGGAGCCGTGCTGCGTTTCGGTGCGTCCAAAAACGTTTCCAAGTTCGTCATGTGCAACCCGTTTCAATGTTCTCCTTCTTTACCATTGGTTTTTATTGAAGCTACTTTTGCACGTTTACGCGTCATGAAAAGGTCGCTGCTGCTTCTGTTGCTCCTCTACCACGCACAATACCAATTGTAGTCTACTTCGCAGCTTTTCTTTGGCATGTCACGCACTGCCCCCCCAAAAGAAGAGGAACGTTGCGTGACACTCCAGACACGACCGTCATAAGGATTAACTCATTGATTACCATCTCAATTCTCCCAGGTTGTGGGTCTCTTGGATCGTCTGATAAAGAAGGAAGATCAAACAGCCACTGTGCCTCTTTTGGCTGACATACCGCCATATTTGGATAACTGTAAGGTTGTGGTTTGCGGTGAAAACGGGAAAAAGACAGTGAAATCGTTCGGAAACACAAATAACACTTCAGGTAAATAGATAGTAAACTTCACGTTGATAATTCTCTCCTTTAAACTGTTCGCGCACTGATCAATCTTATCTGCTCACGGTATTCAAGTGAACGATGGGTGAATCTTGATCCATATTACTTTTCATCGGATGTTAGCTGTGAGATTATTATGAATATTACATACCTTCGGATTAAAGAGTTCTTTTCTTTCATAGGGCCGCGCGCTCGAGAATCCACGCTTTTAGAGCATTCAAGGGTCGCGCGGCTCACTCGAGAATTCACTCTTTCGATTCGGCGTTGTTACGGAAAGGTAAAAAAAAACTACAAACAAACAAACGAGGTTTTTTTCACAATCTAAATAATTGGTTTTGCTTCTCAGTTGTAGGTCTGAGTTTTGTGTTGCTTCATCTCGGAGTTGATGCTTCCTCGCCTCTTAACTTTGGAGGGGAGCTTTTGGACGGTAAGGGTGAAGGAATGAGATAGACAGCACATTGTGGGGTATTTAATGTACAAGGGTGTCCTAGAGGGAAACCATTCTATTATATAAACTGAAGTGTTTTAGAAGGATTTCCAGCCATGAGAAAAGCCGTAACTGCCCACGTGTACAATTATGAATATTTTTTACGTGTGTTTGATATCAACAATCAGCTGCTAACACGTCACTTACCTTTCGCAACACTCTCTCAGGTTCACTGATTAACAAATAAAACTTTTCCTGTCAGTAAAGGCCTAGGGTGTTTATATAACAAACACATTGATAGGTGATGGCTTGAAGATAAGGAGTTTCTCTTCTCGTGTTCATCTTATATCTCACTCTTTTGCTAGGCTCACTCGTGAGCTATCGTGTTGAACCTTCGAAGAGAAATTCCATATCTACGCACTCTTATGATATATTACTGCCTGGTTAGAAGTGTAATGGGAACTGGTAATGATGAAAAATAAAATTGTGTCTTCCTCTCAGAGGATATGCTGGGTTACGGACCTCTTTGTCGATCAAAATTGAATATCAAGTGGTTGGGAGAACTACTTGATCTTCTTTTCGTTATTTGAAGCTTGGGGTAAGATTTAACATTTTTCATTTGCAGATGGCGTCCTGATTTTCTTCTCAAAGGCTCACACGCTTAAGCTCCGACAAAGCTTGCAAGGGAAAACCAATTGTTATTTCTTTCTGGGCGATAAATTTGATATCGCTCATTTTGAGCTTCGTTGGATGGCAGACGTTAATTATCACGTGTTACCGTCACCGTCCCAAAACAGCGAACATTATCCTATGAGGACGACCACTGAGGATACGACACCAAAAGAGCCAGGGACCGCCTCTTTTCCAGGCCACGCAACCATCAATGTTCAATACTCGGGATTTGGAGACGAGGTTGAACTTTTGAGAAAAGTGTTTGACGACTACGGCAAGATCCTGCGAGTCTTGGAAGGAGACATTCGTCAAGCATGTACGGAGCCACTCATGAAACACTCCAAAAAAATGAAAGCAGGCGACACCGAGGAATTGCAATTGCGTGTTGTGCTCAAACCAAGTTACAAGGTAAGAGAAGCGTAATGAAAAGTGCAGTGCTCGCAACATCTTCTTCGCTAGCCTGTCGGGCACTGAGACTATATTTTGTGAATAGTTTTTGTATGAATGATTCTTTTGTGTGAACTGTCAACTTTCCAACAAAGGTGGAGCGAGGAACTTTCGAATTTTGACCTCTAAGTTGTGATCATGATTATTATAAACTCTGGTTTCAACTGCCTTTACTGATTTACTCAACACGTGGCATTCTTCTATTCCTGTATAGAAATGGTCTGTAGGTCCCAGTAATTTGCCAACAGCTTTGATCCGGTCTCTTCAAATGGTTCTTCACACGGTCAAGGTTCCCATGGTCTTTGAAGGAGAGCTGGTGATGAGTTTCTATGTCAGTGTTCTTAAACAGTAGTATTCCTTAGTGGTACGTCCATGTTGCACTGGAAACGTAAGGAAAACGTTTTTAACTGGTTATAGCATTTATTAAAAAGTAGATATTTAAGATAAATTTACATGTGTAGATGAAAGAGTAATCTTGGTATCCAAGTAGTGACCTTCAGAGAGTTATGTAGAAATTGTGTAATTATGTTTAGTTATAAGGATAGTGTAAATGTTGCCTTTTGATGGCTGGTCTCATTTATCTCCGTCCAGGTCAGGTAAAGCTAAAAAAAAATTATAATGCAGTTATTCAAAGATATATAAATATCATTGCGGCCCAGAAAATACATAACACATATCTGGCTGTTCGTAAAAGTGTTGTGCGTGATATCTAAGAAATCTCTGCAAAGTTGGTGCTTGCAATGTTGACTGGGTTTCTCTGCAAGCAGATAAATAGATGGTTGATCTCGCTAAGTTAGAAGTTAAATGATAAAAACAAAATGATTATCTGATTATTTTTGTAGCGAAGTAAATAGTACTCGTCTGTTTCGAACTTTTGATACAGCCATTTATTTGTACGGACGTATACTGCCTATTACTGCAGGGGTTTTTTCGTAGATAGAATTGTCCCCCCAATCTTTAGCCCCGTGACTAACTTACCCAACCACTCACAAAAACCCAGCCTCGAAAATGAAGCTTGTGAAAGATACAACCCTTAACGGGCGGGAGGGGTAAGCTGTTTTTCCCCATACCAGGTTCATAAAAGTTACGTATAGTTTACAGTTTAGTGTTTAAAGTTTGTTAATCAGCGTTGTTCGACAACCATAAAAGTTTAAAGGAACTTTTAAATTTATACAACGTTTCTAAGTTTATCACACCTCACATGAAAGGAAGGACTACGCCCTAAATAATCATGAGGTGGGTACTTGAAGGGAGGGTATTTCCTGATGGCCCTTTCACTCCAGTGATCCGACAGGTAACTGTCCGTTTTAGTTACCATAGGTTTTTTTTGTAACATGTTTAAGAGAATCAATGTCATTATCTGCCTATTGACAGAGTGAAAGGGCCGGACGGGAAAATGTTTGGCACGAAGTCGTGATGTACTTCATGTTCGAGTGTCCATCTTTCCCTCCCAGTTAAATATCCCACATTATGTGACAGCCGGTCTTTCTTCGTTCTTGCATTTTGCATTTTGCATTTTTCAGGGCCGTAAACATGGCTATATGGCTTTTTCCGGCCGTACTTATTCCATCAAGTATGGCCCACTTATGTTAAATTAAGATAATATTCTTCAACTAATGTGTTTGTCTTAACTTACTACCTTTCTGATAGATTTTGTATTGGTGTTGTGAGAACTAACAAGTTAATTGCTTTTTCTAATTGAAGAGACAACCAAACATGCAATAATAGATATAATAATGAAAAGCTGGCCTATCGAACGCCAATATTCTGACCTACAACTAACCTGCTATCATGAAAATGACCCCAATGGGTCTGAAATGATTTGCAAAGCTATGAATGTAAATTCTGTAAAAGAAGACTTCAAGTAATATGTTAGCTGTGGGTGGATTGTTAGGCACAGTGTGGGCCCGTTTTCAGCCGTCCGATAGGAATGACCTTCTCTGAAGGAAATTTGTTATGGATTAACCAGTCTAGGTGATTTTTTTATCCTTTTATTTTTCAATGGTCGGTTTCTTGTTGTCGTCAGTACCTGGGCCATTCCACTCCCAACTTCGAGTGGGAGTGGGGTGGGAAGAGGTGGAAGGGTTGGAGCTGGGGATTGACATCATCTCTAGACAATTGTCCAAGCTTTGATGACGTGCTAACCAAAGTGTCCTCACATCCTCCCTCTTCTCTTGTTCGCTGTCTTTTCATATCCCTGTGTTTCGATTTGCAATCGTCAAATTCGTCGTTAAAATATTAATACTTTTAAATTCTAGTGTCTCTAGTGATTCAACTTCCCTGTTGTCATCACCCCCACCCCCACCCCCACCCCTGTTGTCATCATCACCCCCCACCCCACCCCTTTCCACACCTAATCCGCGGGATTTTCGCTTCTGAGGGACACTGGGAACAACAAGCTGACCTCTTCCCGAAACCTACATTTGCGTATGAGTACGATTAGGAAAAAAATTGTTGAGGGTTGTTATTATGCTACATGCTGTGATTGTACAGCAGCGGTTATTGCAACTGGGACAGACAATTAAGAGCTTAGAAGTAAATTATATTTTCTAAATAAAAATGCCCGTGGCCCATACTCAGCGCAGGGTTATAGGGTTGAGAGCTTTTGTGAAGGGAGTTACACATTTTGCCTCTCTACGATCAAATGGTAATTTTTTTTCACAGGTATAATTTTGATTTCAATAAAGTTTCAAGTAATGATTAAAGTTAAACTTTGTAAAACAGAAATTAAAATATTCAATGTGTATAACACAACTTTTGTGGATGGAACTTATTAGTTTTGCTTGAAAAGAGTTAATTGTAAAAAGTAATATAACGGACGGCATATATTTGACTATGTATGTTTTATGCTATTTTGCATAGTTACACTCATTACTTTGTTATAACACCCGTTAAATAATATTAGAATACCTTTATTAAAGAAACTTTCGAAATTTGCATCGCAGGGTCTTCAGTACTTGTGTTTACTTTTCGTTGGGTGAAACAAATAGTTATCTCGAACATTGGCAAATTTAGCTGCCAAACAGTTTGACAATCATGAAGAAATAGCACAATAGTTTATGATCGGCATTATCAGGGGTTGAATTATTTCGCGGAAATCTCCAAATGAGCCGTTCCGTCTTGAACCCTTTACACCCTAACATCAGTATGCAAGTTCACGCTCTGTTCTCTATACATTTCCTATAGCACTTACAAAGAGAATTTATCGAACAATCAAGGGCTTTTTGAATACGCCATCATTTCCTATATTGTTAAGACCTTAATGTTTGATTCATGGGTGGTACCGTTGGGAGAAATTGGGTGAAATCAAATTTGTAATTCTCCTTACTCTCAATCATACAATTCCTATAATGTTAGTTCAGAGAATTTAGTGGTGGATCAACTAATTATCCTCAAATTTATATTTTCTTTATTCTCATCACTTACCTGGTTGATATTGTATTGATATTGTAAGGAGAAATTCTGTCTTGGTCACTCATGGGAGTTAAAGGTTTAAGACTCAAGATTTTTCTATCGAGCCAGTCTATCAAATTACACCCTTGGCATCGCTTTACCTTTCAGGCGGTATAAGCGAATGCAGAAAAAACCCTGGTCGTTGTCAAGGTAGCCTTTTGCTCCAAAGATGTAGTCGTATTTCTCTGCGTCAGCTTCCACATTACATTACATTTAATTTCATTATTCACCGATTAAATTTTGAACCCGAGGTTTCTATCGCGTGGTAATTGATGAGGACAAAGCCCGAAATAACTATTTCATATAGAAATCAAGAACGAGTAATGTAGTTGTTTTAGTATAAATCAACTAGTCTTCCGAAAGAATAAAGGGGGTAAGTTTCTAAAGAAACTGTGGTGCTGCGTCGGTGGGAGAGTATAACAGGGTAATTTAGTATCATCAACTGAGTTTATTGATAATACGTCAGACAAAGGGCTAGCGCTCGAAACGTCAGCTTTGAGGCTCTTTTACGGTGGCCAATTTACATTATCAACTCAGTTGATAATAATGAATTACCTTGTAGTCTTCCAAAACTTGACAGCAAGACAAGATCTTGTTTTTATTTCATTTCTTCTACGATCGTGCACTCTAAGGCGACTCACTACTCAATTTCTATCAGGGAATAGTTGAAGATAAACTGCGAATAGGTAGCCAATTATAAAGAACGCCAGAAGATTTGTACTATGATTTTTAATCGATTAAGTTCTGTATCAAGCTGTTAAGTTTTCCCAATCTCCTCATCTGTTTGATGATGGTGTATTGATACTGCACGAGGAATTTGCATGTTAATCACCTGCTGACGTTAAAGAAATCACTCTCCTATTTTTAAGGATTTGCCGATATGAATTAAAACAAGGGTCGACGGATGATACAAAAGTGTACTCAAATTATAAATCTGCTGGTCAATTTTATGAAGTATGTTTAGGAACAGTAGGCTTTAGTTCTACTATCATTCGCCTACATTCAATTCGGTCCACAACAAAAAGGAGACATGTGGTGATGAAACAGAACTTTCCACATGAGCCTGTAATGCAACAACATGTTCACTTTATGTTCTATTCTACGCGCAGAAGTGACCTTTTCCCACAGTTCTGTAGAACCTTGCGCCACGACTCAAAGAATCGAACGGCCGGAATAGCGAACGTGCTTGTTATTCAGACGTGAAAATGTTACGATTGTGAGGTTTCAGCTGACTGTGTGCTAACTAGCTCAAGAAAAAACACATTAAGATACCTTTTTGAAAATAACTTTGTTTTGCATTACAGATGAGATATCTTCGTTTTTTTACTTGTTATTTGTCTCTTCTGTGAGTAAAGCTTAACTCCATGGCGCTCACTTAGTGTTTATAGAATTTTATTTACTCTCACCACTCACCAAAATAAATTTATCTTGAGAATAAAGAAAATTGTTAAGTAGGAGATATCAGACCTTAAGCAAACCACAACGGCATGGCAACGAGGACGTGGCACAACTAAAGATATAATGGGCTGAAATGGGTAGAATGATAGCTCGGCACGTGCGTTTTAAACTTTGTACTTGTATCAGTCGTCCTCTGCAAAAGAGGAGAGACTTTTTGCAAATCACGACAGCGATATCAGTGAGGACGTGGCAAAACAAGAAACTAATTGGCAGAACAGTAGCTCAGCACGTGCGTTTTTAAACTTTGTACTTGTATCAGTCGTCCTCTGCAAAAGAGGAGGGACTTTTGGCAAATCACGACAGCGATGTCAGTGAGGAAGTGGCAAAACAAGAAACTAATTGGCAGAACAATAGCTCAGCACGTGCGCTTTAAAACTTTGCCCATTTCTTGGCCATCCTCTTTAAAAAAGTTAGGTTACATCATCAAAACTTTCGTGGTCTGAGAACCGAACCCTGATGGCAAATAATTATTTCAGTTTCCATATGAAACTCAATGCTGCTCACATACGTTAACCCTTTAACTCCCATGGGTGACCAAGACAGTACTTCTCCTTACAATATCAATACAATATCAACCAGATAAGTAATGAGAACAAAGAAAAATATCAATTTGAGGATAATTAGTTGATCCACTACTAAATTCTCTGAACTAACATTATAAGAATTGTATGGTTGACAGTAAGGAGAATTACAAATTTGATTTGGGAGTTAAAGGGATAGGCTGAAGTTGAGGTGTGGCGCCGTAAGAGACGGTAAACACATTCAGGTATTCGCGAAATTCTAACGAAAAATATGAATTCAATTTTTAATCGACGTCTTCTTTGGCGTTACTTTCCTGACTGCTCAAGGTCCTTATAGTCTAACCTTGAATTAAATCATCAGAGCTAAAATTGTAAGAATGAGTATGGCAGACAGAGAAGAAAATCGTTTTTTTTTAGACAACTAAAATCATTATGGGAATTACCATCTAAAATTGGCCATATTTACAAATACTTGTAAAAAAGAAAAGTATATATAGGATATACTTTCAACCTAAAATAAATTTTGAATCTTTTTTTCCTTTTTGAATTTTAAAATTAGATTTTTTTCCAGAAAAAGAAACACCTGTTTGAAAAAATAACTGTTATTTTAGCAAAAGGTGGGTGTTTACTTTGGCATTGTAAATTTTCCTTTAATTATCCTCAGTCACCATTTGTCTGGAGGAGGGTCTATTTATTTTCATAAAAGATTGTATTTATTGTCACGCAAAGGAGAATTCATTGCATTAAAGCATGATAATATGTTATGTTATAAGAAATAAATAAAGAAGACCTTTCTGCAAGTTTAGGACTGATCTTTGACCTGAATCTCAGATATTAACTCAAAATCAGTAACTTTTGTTACGCAATAGGTTACAGAACTCAACAGCTCAGATGAAGTCGCCGGCTGAATTACATGCAGAATATCAATTGGTTACACAGTAGGAAGCAGGGGAGTTATGACTGCATTAAAAAAAACTGACAAACAAACACCAAAATGTCATGGAATAAGAAGGAAAAGATTCCAGTTAAGAATGGCAATTCACAAGCTAAGTGACTCCTTGATTCCGAATGAAATCCCATTTCTTGTGGCTGTGATAAAGTTTTCATTGAAACCTTGAGCAAAAATACGAGTTTCTCTGAATATTCGTGTCGTTGAGTTATGCTTTACTTATCTCTGCATGATAAAAAAAATCTCGCAATTAAATCGTTTAAGAAAATCAACCTTTTACTTGCTTAATATAAGACACAACAGTAAGTTACAGACAGAGATATTAACGTCTGAAGCCAATGCCATCTTTAATTTTGTTTTTATAATTGAATTGGTTCTTGAAAAACAAAAACATATAAACATTTAGAAGCAGTGTCTTCTTTCAGGAGAATATCGTTACTTTTGTGAAAAAATTACTTTTAGTTTTTGTTGAGTAAGAGATTGCAGTTAAGAATGGGATACTATTAAGAGATTCTGAGTGTATTTTGTAAATCGTTTCGTCAAAAGAGAAATTTATATATTATATATATATTGTAGTTTCCATTTGAGGAAAAAAATGAGTTTATCATGAGATCAAAGGTTATTTTGATGTTGCTAAGTATTTCAAATTTACCAAATTAAAATAATTTTTCTGATCAAAAAATTAGAAAATAAAAAAAAGTAATAATAAAATGAGATTAAAAAAAATTGAAATGAGCACCAAGCAAAAATCACGAAATGTTAATTTGTTTTAAAAGTGTGTCATTGACTTCAGAAAGTGCACTTTTCAAGTTGTATTGTTTTCTTCACTGTATTGAAAGTGTTGTTTGCATAACAGGACACGCAGGATTTTCTTTAGAAACTACGATAATAACTTTGTCGGCTTTTTTTTTCGCTAACTTTCATTTTACTCCTACCTTAAGACACCCTGAGAATTCTGAATATTCCTCTGCGTGGAACCCAAAAGAATTGCATTGGAAATCATAGCGGGCCATTTGCTTTAGATTGCACTTGTTTTAAACGTATTGTAACAATTGCTTTTGTAGATAACAAAGTGTTTGCCAGTTTGAAAAGGTGTTTCATACAACATGAAATGTGAATATGATTTTGACTGTCATCAGAAGTTTCGTGTTGAAATATGCCAATGATAGCATCTAATGTAAGTAAAATTCATATCATTTTCTTGAGCAGATGGATTGTTTTATTGACAGTGTTCCAAAAACTATCCTGTAGTTTTTATATTGAAACCGTCAGGAGATCAAAAGCAGGAAATGGCTCAATTTTCTTGAATAAATTTCGCACACCGAGGCATTCTCCTAATTAAGCATTATAAGACACTTTTCTCGGTATAGAGGGGATTGTTATTAGTTTTGGACGCAACTTGGAGCCACTTTTCGGCGATGTGGTGTTTATGTACATACCACAAAGGTATCTTCATATTTTTTAACCTAATACACTCTTTGTTGACCTTCGCGATAAAACTTGCCGGAAATTTCGCGAAAATTAGGAATGTTTGTCTATAAACAAAAGGCGCCATTAGGTGCAAAAATATGCGCGCATTATATTTTTCCAAGAAGCGAACAGTTCTCCGAGAGCGAAGCTCGAGGAAAACGGCGAGCTTCGAGGAATATTTAGCGTCTTAAGACAAAACTGTGTGGGCATTTCTGAGATAAATGCAAGCCGTCGAGTCAATTTTTCCATGTATTATTCAATGCGTGCAAAATGTTGATAAACAGCTTATCACTTTCTGATTTGACTTTTCGTGGTCTTTCATACGGCTCTATGAAAAAAAGGAGCTTCATTGTCTTTTTGAAATAAATGAAGACTCTCCTTGAATTAAACGTAAGATTTTTAAGTTAGGAGATTTCACCGGATATTCTTTAGACTTAGATGGAGCTTATTCGCTTATGCTCCACCTCTAGACCAATCGGGCACAAGCGAAAATATTTGATGGATTGTAATTTGTTCACGTCGCTCAGAAATATAACTTTTCCACTGAGAGAGGATATATTTTATCCTTTACGGAGAGTAAAGACGGTTTTATTTGCCAAATGATTGTTTTTCGGGGAAGTTCTCCGGAAAATTGCATATGCAAATATGACATCAAAAGTCTTACTACTAGCCTAAACATGACCATTTTTTTTTAGCAAATACGGTAATTTGTCTTAATGTTATTCTGTTTACACTTTAAGGGTTAAAGGGAAGCAACAGGGGAAAGGAAAAAAAAGAAATTAAAAACGCAAAAAGAGATTTTTCCAGATGTTAGGAAATTTAATTTTGGATGGCAAATTGCTGGATCAGTTAGAAATCTCCCACAGGAAATGTCAATTTGTTTTGGCTACATAGCGACGATTAATTACTTATTTGAGCGTATTGTGCGTTACGAAGAAAAGCCTTTTTTCTTATTGCTTCTATTTTAAGAAAAGAAAAGCAATAACAAACAAACCCCCTTTTGATCAATTTTAAGGATGTAGGTGTCGATTTGGATCCAAGATTGTTCATCGACGATAATTTCAAGAACACTATACACAGTTTATTTTGTCTTACTGTATTTATTAAGACACTTGCATTACGGATACATCAATTCTACTGCAGGCATCAATTTGTAATATTTCATTCTTTCTCCGTATGTTATCAATGACTCAGTTCTATAACCCTACAAATTCTGTATAATATTTATTTTCTATTTTTACTGCGACTATGACTTCCTTCTTTTATTTCGCATATCTTTCCATGTAAACGCTTATTAATTTACCCTCAGGATGTAAAGTTGTCGTTAGATAATTTTCTTAAATATGTTATTCCTTGCGGTTTTTACGTAATAAGTTACATAAGTTTTTTTGTTATGCAGTTTAAAATCATACAGAGCCATCTACAACTTTAGCTAAAATGCGTTTCATGTCGCAAAATGATGTTTTCCATATTTATACATATATATATATATAACCAAAAGAAATCAAAACTAACAAAAAAGTGAACGATGCAATAAAATGTTTTTTTTCTCAGGAGAAGATGAAATTCAGAGGCTTTCGGTCTCTTAAGAATATATTTTACAGATGTTTCCGCTTCAGTTCAATGGTTTATGGTGATGGTTTGTTTAGCTGCCCGTAGGCTTCTTGGTGAAGGAGAACGTTGCAGTGAAGTTTCTAAACTTGTCCCATTCCTAACGAAGCCAGCGGTGAGTCCGTCTGATTGACTTCGAGTGAATCTTACACGAGTGAACTCATCTTTTCTTCGGCACATCTTCACTCCGTGGGCACTCAGCCAAGTGCGTATTGTTCTTCGGAAATCGCGTTTGCAAAACGAACAGAACACTGGATTTGACATTGGCGGAATAAAACGCATGAACATATACACACACAGCTCCCACGAATAGACTTGGATTATTTCCACCTTAACGTGATCTTGTAGTATAAGAAGATAAAATGGGAGCCAGCAGCCCGTGAACACGACCAACATTGAGATCAGAATCGCTGTTCCTCGCAAGTCTCGCATGATAGAGTGCACGGGTTCGTCGCCCAAGTTCGTGCGACGTGCTCGGGTTGCAAAGAGGAGACGAAGAGAAACAAAGAGAATGTGGCTATACACAAACAACATGTAAAGCAAAGGTAAAGCGAAAAAAACTATGATGAAAATAAAAAAGTAAACTTCGTCTTCGCGTTTCTTTTCTCTCACGCTTTCACTGACGTCGTACCATGTCATCTGCACCGTGGATACGGCAATGGATGTGATCCAAACTGTTAGAAGAGCACATACCACGCGCGATCTTGTTACGAGCGTGTTGTAGCGCATCGAATAGGTGATCATGGCATAGCGATCAGAGGCGACCAACACGAAATGGAGCACTGTTGAAACGGTCGTGAAGCGCATGAATAGGGCAGATGCGATGCAAGCACCCAGTGTCTTGGTGACAGCGCAGGCGAAAAGTAATGGGATACCCACTAACCCTGACATTAAGTCTGATACGGCCAGCGATACGAGGATGATATTGGTAAGAGTGCGTAAGCTTTCTTTCCAATACACTAATGCTATGACGACAATGTTAGAAGCGATGATCAGAACGCAGAATGGAATCATTGGGCCATGACTGAACCACGTAAAGCGCCCGTTGCATACAAATCCTCCATAGGAAGTCTCGTTGTTTACGAGGCTGAAATTAGTGGCACTTGAGTTGTTCTCTTTGAGTGCGGATGGGGAGATCATATTCTTGAGGAGGTATTCACTCGGCCGATGCAGATCGAAGTCGGTCCTTAATCCAGCGATTCGATGTATATAAACATTAATTCTCATGTTCTTCCCTAGTTTTTATGGACAGGATGTGTATATTGTGATGTGTAGAATGCCTCGCCAATCAAATTCGCCGTGCATAATCAAAATATGAATATGCACTGCGGTGCCTCTGTAGGGTTATTCAGATCTCAAACCCTGGGGAGAATTGTTAGTCTGAGTAGCTTACATCTCAGCATCAGTTTCCAGCTGAGTTTGACAATATTATCACGCTTTGATGCTCCGTTTTTATTTCAGATTTACTGAAAATTTAAGCATCACTTATTTCAACTTCTCCTTAAATATATGTTTGCTTTTGCAACACATCCGCTTCCTGTGGACAATAGACAATAATAGAGGTACCGCCCAAACTGGCCTCACAGAAGTTCAATCTACCTTCAGCATGGACTAATGACTGCTTGGGGGTCCTTAAAATGCAACAATGCGAAAAAAGAATTGAACGGAAAAGGAGGTCTATTGTCTGAGTGCATCAAGGAATCACTGAAACAATTACCGCACGATTTCTGATTGGGAATAGCTCTCTAGTTTAAGGGAAAAATATTACCGTGGGATAACTCACAAACATGTCAGGAATTAAGATTTACAGTAATACCAAATATCCTCCTTTTTAGTGGCATTAGAGCTTTTAACAACCATCGAAAAATCCAGTTTATCATAAGTGGCGAGAAAATTACTAACAATTGCGCAATATCTTTTTTTCGAATACAGTTTCATTTTTTTCTGTTCAGAGAAAAAAAATTTAACCAACGATAAAATCAAACCACAAAATGTCCTTTTTTTATTCTTGGATATCATAGGTTGTTCTTGGTAAGCAGCTGTTTGAACCACACAGGCAAGGCGAGGAACGGGGTGATACTTTGCATTAACATGTAAAAAAAAAAAAAAGATTGTTTTTTCTCAGCGCACTGAGCAGCAGATGTCTTATCACGTGATGTTGCTTGGGACTAAACAAACGTGAATATTATAAATAATAATTGGCTTTTACCGGCTGCATGTGTAAACCTCCTGACAATCATAGACGAAGGCTTTTAAGGCTCTTGATTATATCACAGCAAAGTACAAAGTTTGCTTACTAAAAGGAAGTTATTTAGTCAATGCGTGAAAATGTGTGGTGTTAGTTAAAAACGATTCATTGCTTGAAGAGCAAAGTTTGCATATTTTTTCATGCCATCGCCCCCGCATGATATTTTTACCGCATTTTCGCGACTCATTTAGCTTTATCAAGAATTGCTGAATTGTTTTCTTTGTAGATAACCTTTTAAGATTTAAGAATGAGCCCTTTGTTGATGAAAAGATGAATTATGCTTGCAAACGTGAAGAACAAAATAAAAAATTGGCCGTGAAGCCGAGTTTCTGCTTTTTGTATAGTCCCTAAGTAATGTCATTTAGTGCCTTTTAAATACAGTTTTAAATACACTTTTGAGATCGAAGGATCAGGCTTTTTTATTTGAAGGAAATCAGATCATGAAAATAAATGACCTTGACCGTAGATAAATGACGGCCATAGCCTTTACGTGGTTCCGGACTACATTAGCAAAAGGGAAGGGATAAGGTCTGCACAGCGTACGCAAACATTACCGTCCACCTCGCAGTATATATTCTTGTGCGGTAGTAGATCAAATTTCGGCGGTCTTTCGTTATTTATTCCTAAATGAGGGTTTTCTTGTTTGTTCTCAGAAGGAAAATGAAGTTCATGTCACACATTGTTTTCATTATTTTCTCACCACCTTTTCAGTCTGGAATAAACAATACCCGGAAAAATCAATTATTCCCGCGGTATTCTTGAATCTAAAATAAACGATGGGATATGGTGACCTTGTCTCAATGTTGAGCGTAAGGGCGCCCACATATTTTGCAAGCCTGTTATTCTTTACCTAAGGCGAAACGCTCATAGCTGCTGCAATTCTTCGATGTCTTGCAGCTGATTACCAATATAGCGTGTCTTGGAATAAATATTTCTGATCTGTTCCTATCGGGAAAAATTTCGTGGTGAAAAATATGGCCTGTCGGTGCCCACCTAAGATATTGGGATAACATTTGGCCAATAGTGAATGAGTAATTTATTCGTGTACTAAAAACAGCTGTTATCAGCTTTTTTTGTTGAAATTTTGTGGTAAAGCCGCTTGCGTCTCCCTCAGTGGGAAGGCCGTACAATTCTCCAATCAGATTCTTCTCCGATGTCGCCTTTGACAATTAAAAAAACCGCAGGTACTATTGACAAAAGTTATGTGAACTTACTTCGCATTTTATCGATTAAGTGGCACGAAAAGCGGCTCGCTGTCTGAAATGATAGTAATGCTAAAAATAATTGTAGAAATATAAATCTTGTAGGCGTAGCATCTGCTCGTCATTTTACTGCGCTCATTTTCCCCCTCGAGTTGCAGAATTATGAATGTCTGTTTTTTATTTCTGTATTATTCCGTACTAATTTACATAAGCTGCATTCGATGACACGTCGAGAGGCAAAAGAGGAGTAGATATCCATGTAAAGCTATAAATCTTCGTAAATACAAAGCACTTGACGAACTTGTGGAACGCTTTGTGTTTATCGAGTCTCAATCAATCTGTGTCCCCTTATCAGTATGGGTTTCTCCCAAGCTACGTGGTTTGACACTTCAATTAGGGCTTTATTTATTTATTATTATTTTTATTATTATTATAATTATTATTGGCCCAACATAGCTTCAAAAAAGGAAAAACCCTTGTTTAATTCCTGGTCGCAGAACTACTTTTTTTTCTTGGCAAAACAAAATAAACCAAAATTTACAATTAGAAAATGGTCATCAAAAAAGAAACATAATTTGGAACCTTTATGAATTTGTTGGTTTACTTAGTTGTTCGTGCGCTGGCTACTATGTCCGAAGGCTCGCTGTATTGAGTTTACACGTCACTCACACAGTTCCTCTTTGTCGCCATCCATGTCCAATACCACAGCTCGTAACGACCCGTAATAACTGACCTGTCTATCCTTACGGTTTGGCCAATATATTCGCGAGTCGTAAGTCTGTGTTTTTCATCCATGAATCTCTCATTTAAGTTTTGGCCACGACGGTTAACGATCTGTACGATCCATACGATTCATCGGGATCTTCTTATGTATTCATGAGTTCATGAGTCGTACGACCTACACGGAGAAATATTGTACATGTCTGCAGGGAACAATTGACCTAACTGCGTGTTTCAAAATTACTGGAGACGTGGGCTGCCTTCCAAATGAATAGTCTTATTAAACAGCATGTCAAAATGAAACCATACCCTCCGGTTTGTGTCCCAGTTTAGCCAGATAAAATCGAGTTGCCTGACTTACTTCAAAGCTTGCCTCCCTTTTCCATCGCTTACTTCCCACTCCTGCGACGTCATGATCAATTTTCCGATTGGTTGGTTTGCAGCCATTTCCTATGAAAAATAAAGCTAACTTAAAGTTTTCGTTGTCTTTGATATGCTTCTTCCAAAAACTTTTTTGCATCTACTGCGACCACAAAGTAAGCTTGAAGAAGGTATCTCCACTTTTTGTCGAGTCATCAGAGCCATGAAAGGGTCTCAATGGGGTCAACAGTTGGCCGTGAAACGACCACAAAATTTAGCCGTTAGGCGTCGAAAAATTGACAAATTTTTAACATTAGTCATAGGAAAGGTGACCGTAAAAAAACTCCCTGCGATAACAGTTGAAAGAAATTATCCGTTAGCCCGAAATCGGCCAAAATTTTAACCTTTTTGGCCGTGAAATCCATCACACCGTTGAGACCCTCAAAAATTCTCGATAATATGTTATAATCGATTCCTTCCTTCCCACGCTTATTCTGACTTTTCTTCTTCACGATCGTAACAGAGTCGAATATTTTGATGATGCTTTTTAATATTCTCCTTCAACTTCTCTGTGCACCCTACAGCACCGCACAAAGTGCACAGACAAAGTTCTTAAAGTACCTCAAGAAGAACACAAACAACAAGGGTATTTCTCGTTCTAAAAAGAACCGCGTAAAGTATACAACATTCTTAAAGTACCTCAGGTGCACGTGAACTGCACAAACAACAAGTGTATTCCCCGCGAAGTGCACACACAGCAAAGATATTCCTTGGTCTTAAAACACCATGTGAAGTGCAAAAAAAACAAGAGTATTTCTCGTTCTAAAAGTATTGCGCAAAGTGCACAAACAACTAGAGTATTCCTCATTCTACCGGCAAAAAGCACGGCGCGAAGTGGACAAAAAACAAGACGGTACATCTTACGAGACGAAGATGGGATGTCTATTGGAAACGCACAACGTATCCCTTGTTCAAGGGGGAACCACGCTAGGTGCCCAAACAACAAGTGTATTCCTCGTCCTAAAAGCACCACGCGAGGTGCACGAACAATAAGTGTATTCCTTGTTCTAAAAGTACCCCGTAGAGAGTACACAAACAACAAGAGTTTTCTTCGTTCTATTAAAATCACCACGCAAAGTGCATTAGCAAATGTATTCCTCGGTCGTAAAGCAAAAAGAACAAGAGTATTTCACTCGTTCTAAAAGTACTGCGCGAAGTGCACAAACACTAAATATGTATTTCCCGCAAAGTGCAAACACAGCAAATTTATTCCGCGGTCTTAAAACACCATGCGAAGTGCAAAAAAAACAATAGTATTTCTCGTTCTAAAAGCATTGCGCAAAGTGCACAAACAACTAGAGTATTCCTCGTTCTACCGGCAAAAAGCACCGCGCGAAATACACAAAAAATTTGAACTAGGAATAGTGTTTTCGAAGCCTTTGGGGTTGGAGGGCAGGGGAGTAATAAAAATTTTTTTTTCTTTCCTCTATTAGCGGCATTTGAAAAGAGTGTGGATGGGATTTCTATTGAAAACGCAACTTTGTGAAAGGAAAAAGATAGAATGTTTTATTGTTCTCAGAAAATAACAAAAGGTAATGTGAACTCTGTTTTAATTGAAGGAAAGATTGAATATACGATACACGAAACATGAGAGCAGAAACGAGCACTAGCCATAATTAGGGAAGGAAAAAATCACATATTTTCGACGGGACCCTCTAGTCGCGTACCCTTAGAGTATCGTGTACGTGCGTTAGTATCGCATTTGACATCAGTCGCATTAGCAGGAATACGCGTAGCAAAAATTTTGTGTTGATGAAAAAGGGATGCATCCAAGGAATCTTCTCGAAAAAACATTTAAAGAATGATTCCTTTACTCCTTCGAATAACAAATTGATGGTCACGATAACAAAGTTTATAACGGGAAATTCCTTTGTTTTGAAACCTTGTGTCCCCAAAGTAAAAAACTGCTTTGAAAATAATTTTAAAATCAGAGACCGTTTTGTTGTTGTTATGGGAGAAAGTAAGAAAAGTAGACGAGAAGAAACCGAAAATTTAACATTCCACCTAAAGTGTCAAATCGACACACCACCATACAAAACTCAGGTCCACAGATCGAAAGTACGCCCCGTGAATATATTAGACAACTCAGTTCGGGTCGTACAACTCGTGAATACATTCCACGACCCGTACGGGTCGAACGGATCGACAGTTTTACGACTCGTTATGATCCGTGGTATTGGAAAACCCTCAAGGGTCACTGTTATGAGTTTGCACCTCACTCACAGAGTTTCTCTCAGTCCCCACCCAGGAATATGTATTGATTTAACTGGATTATTATAAACTGTTAAGGCGGTAGTGGATACGGTTGGGGACTGGGGGGGAGGGAGGGAAGACGCTAACTTTCACAAACTGGTATGCTATCTCTAAGGAGAGTGTTAAATATGTTATGTTGGCCAAGCTTGGGATAAAAATGTTTGGATGTTAGAAGGAACAAAGCTGCCAATCATTAGCTTTCTTGCTAGCAAGGATAAATGATCAGAAGTCGAGAGTCGACTTATGTTCTCAGTACACAAAACCAACATGTTTTTTTAGGTTTCAAAACCAGACACGTGGCGTTCTCGCTGTCATGATTTCGAGTAGGATAGTTTCTGATTAGTAAGAATTCTGTATTGAACAACACAGCAATGTACTTACTTGTTCCAACCCATTTTCTTGATTTATTTATCATTGAATATTTTAGGTTCGGTAATTAAATCATGATTATCCCATAGAACAAGTTATGTCGACTCATAAACTCAAGGTCATAAGTTGTGAATTTAGAATAAATGAAATGCCTTTTATGGAGAGAAGAATCTTAATGACGCACCCTGAGTTACTTTGGCGGTTTTACGAGGCATTGGGACATTATATGCTCTCTGGCTTTTGACCGAGTAAAACAATAATCATCGTTCTTCAGAAGTACCATACAGTGCCTTCTTAACAGGGGCTCAGTCACAAGGCCCACCAGCGAGGCTGTGAATGTGCCTCCTCCCATGGCCACTACGATGTATCCCATGGCGAACTCCTTATATCGATCATCGAATCTGTCTCTGAAGAATGCCAATGCATTCACGAAGAAAACTCCGATGGTAACCCCACCGGTGAATGACAAAACCAGTACGATCCAAACACTCGGTAGAAAACGATACCAGGCAGAAAAGAGGAAGAACAGAAGGTGCATGACTTCTATTGTCGAAAGGACCCATAGATACGGGAATTTAGCTTTTTCGGCCCATTCTGCTTTGACATAAGAGAGTACCACGAGGTAAGACCGTCCCACAACCTCACCCCCCAGGAATACGAAAATGTAATACTGGTAGTGGTCACGTGGTCTGAATGGAGCGTTGGGAAAAGCCAGAGTTGTAATCACGGATTGGATGATCATGTATTCTGAAAACCAGGCAATAAAAATCGGTATCAAATTGGGAAGCATTTGAGAAATGATCATGAACTTTTCTTGATAAGAGAGGGAGTCGTTGTTTTCACTGTCTTCGGACTTCGTTTCTTCAGCTTGGGCGTCTGTCGAAAGCAAATGAAAATTTTATGCAGAACTAACTAACATTATATGTATTAATATATCAAGCGGAGAGCAGCTACTTACCAAGCTTATTCAAATCATCATTTCTTGAATTTGTATGGCTGCTATTTATTACATTATAATTGCACCGTGGGTCGACTATCCATTATTGAGTGAGAATTGGAGCTTGCTTAAGTATTTCTTGATGAAATGAGAAGTTGTTTAATAATTAAGAGCTTCTTTGGTTGGTGATTATTTCCTTTGTTCTCGTAACCTAAATATGTGATTCAGGGGTGACATTGTTATGAGAAATGAGGTGCTAGTCACTCTTCAGGCTCAGAAGGTTAATTTTATCCCTCGGTGCTCTTATAACAAACATCGGTGTTTTTCTTTACTCTTTGGACCGAAGAAGTCAGTTAATTCAACTTGGGAGCCAGAGGAAGACATTTTATCTTCCATCGCTTTCCGACTCCACTATGCACCGATCTCTTCTTTTTAAATTGTGGTCATTTGTTTGCATCTAATTCGCTAAGCTTACCATCAGTCTCTATTGGTGTGTACTTTATTCCTCCGCATTCACTAGCCGCGGGGGAACTGGGAGACCCAAGATGTTTCTTGTCCATAGCGTAGTAACAGACGAAGATCAATAACAGCATGGCCGCCATGATTAATATGGTGGCGTTTGGTGAAACACAAGCCCATGTTGTCATGGCTGCAAGAAAGAAACGATACAAAATGTTTCATTGCAGCCTCTTAAATTCAGGAACTCCTTAGAGACTCTAGCTCAACTACCTCGAACTTCCTGTGAACCAAAGCGTCTTATTTTGAAGTGAACTTTAAAGTCCTCTACCATAGGTGATAGAATTGTTCAGGGTTATTTCCTTTTCCCCAAGCTATTCAAGCTGGCGGAGTTCTAGAGTGGTATTTAAGATTTTTGTGGCATTTCCAATACAACTCAATGCAACGGGTGAAAATAACTCATTTTCCACCACCAAAAATGATTCGAATTATCACTCATTTTCTTTAAAGCGATTGGAGATTAAAGGATAAAGTACATTTAGCTTGCACAATGCAAAGTCTTAAAATTACAAAGTTACAAACTGAAAAAATTGTTTCCTTTTTTCTTCACAATTCTGGTCGTTGGCGTCAAATGAGGAAACTTTCTTATCACGCTTTTGCTTAGATTTAGAAATGTACACATTCTTCACTTATTGTACGTGCCTGCTTGCATTCATAGAAAAGAATAAAGCCACAAACAAGGAAAAAATGAAACAAAAGGCAAATTAATAGAAGACACGTCATGCACCACCGAATTCACATGATTTATTTTTACAGTCTCTAGACGCTCGCTTGATCAAAAATATCCCTGAGATTGTTAGAACTCTAAAACAATTTTGTATTAAATGTATGATTTGCTTTCAAATGAAAACATATCTAAGGTGGACTCATAATTTTCGTTTGCACTACTTAACATCAAATATTAATAACGGAAATATGAATTTTAAATTTATTAAAAAAGGATCAGCTTTAGTACAAACAAGAGGTCATCGAAAACCCAGATACTGAAGTCATTGCACAAATAAACACAAAATACATACCTGTGTAATATAAAGGTGCGATTATGAATCCCGCTCCTGTACCCGCTGAATATGCACTCACGGTGACTTCGTGATAAAAAGACGTGAGCGCCAAGAAAGTCACTTCGCCGACTCCATAACCAAACGATGCTATCCCGACGCCCATTAATTTCCAATGAACTTGCTTAGCAAAGGCAAGCATGAGAAAGCCACCGATTCCAGTCAGGAATACCGTCGCGATTCGAACAAAGTAAGGAATCTTTTGCATAAAGTATGGCGCAATTAATGTGACAACGAAATATGGTCCGATGTCCGCGACTAAAACCATGGAAGTCTGAATGAACGTTCCCGCGAGAATATCTTGAGCGCCCGCTATAACCAACGAATATGTTGCGTAAATCAGCGCCCCAAACACGAAAAATGCTGCCACTGTTCGCAATCGTTCTCGCTCTTTCTCGCTGGGTTTGAAACCACCAGTTTTAAGTGGCGTCAGTGCTGTGTCTTTATCACTTGACATTTCACTATTCGATTTAGAAGACGAACACGCGTTTGTAACTCAAGCCGGCTTTTTCCTTCACAAATAGGATTGAGTATTCCTTCTTGTCTCAGGGTTTTCACGGTTTGTTGATTTTAAGTACAAGCACACCTTCACTTTTTTTTTAGTCGAAGCAGCTGGTGTTCTCATACAGTGACGGAAACTCAATCAAAGAACGCGAAATCTTCACCTTACAGGAATGATTTTCTATTTTCATTCGTTGAATTGCGTGTGTTTGAGTGAAGTTTTCACCCATCAAATACTTCCTGATTTGAGAGCCTGTTTGAAGCCTCGCGAGAAAAAATGATATTTTCTCTGATCACCAAGGTATAAAAGAGCAAAAGAATTATTGATGAAGATATAATTATTTTCGAAAAAACAACACATTTGCATTTTAGATAATTTGCATTGTTTTGATAACCAATCAAACTTAAGGTCGTAATCGTTAAGTAGTATTTTTCTTCCTTCGCAAAATATGGTTTTGAAAAATCAATAATCAGTCAAACTCTCTAATCTTACCAGGTGTTGACTGAGATACAAATCTGAGTTTTTCGCGACCCGCCGCGGTAAACACCACGATGAAAAAAAAGGTGTCTTCGTATGGATGTAAATAAAGTAATCAAACATCGAGAATGCAAACCGCAGTGAAGGAAATAATGATAATTTGACGCATGAATGGAGATTGATTTTAATCCCGCTCCCCATAAAACCACTAAGAAATAAAAAATAGTTTACTATCTTAGAACACTGAAAAATCTTTTTTTTCCAACCAAACAAAACTTATCCTACAGTGCCGGGTTTCTTTCGAAGAATATTCTGCACGATACACAAATAAATGTCACAGTTGTATCATACTAATACGAAATTCAACGATCTTTTCAGAGCAATTCAGAAAATGTGACATTCAAATTAATGTAAAATAAATCTGAATCGATTTAGCAACTTATTGAAATAAACAAATTGTAATTCGCACGATTCAGAGAAATGAGGAACAGTGCGATCGTGTGGCGGCGAATCCCGACAGAATACGACCTTGTCTCGACCTTGTCCCGAAGAAGGACGACTATATCACTGTACGGTGTTCATAGTTAGCCGAAAATCATTCCGCTGCAAGTGAGAGTCATTTTGGCACATATCAAAAGGCATTTCGTTAGAAACGAAAGTTTGTTTATACACAAATTGTACTTTTATTTCCATAAATTAATAAAGTAGGTTCATTGTGAACACTGACTTCCGACGAAGATAAGAAACTGTCTACAGATTCAGTTTGGAAGATGAAAGAAAGAACTCTATAAGCCATCTTGTTCACGAGTGAGAAATCTCTGGAAACCAGATTAGACAAACTCTTCTCTGATGGTAAATTCGGCACAAAAATAACTCGAAAAGTGAACTAAAAAATCATAAATAAAGAGGAGGTAATTTTCTAGAAGTCCTGTTAAAAAAATTAACTTAAAATAAAGTACTATAAAGGTGTACTGAGCATCACTCACTGAGGAAGACAATTTTCACACTAAATACGAGATGATTGATATCTTCTTTGACATCTTGTCGTCTATGACAAAATCATGATATATGTTTTCCTCACTAGAATCCCAAAACCAAAATTGATGAGCAGAAAATTAGTAGTTGAAATGATATGTCCATTTACAGCAATTTTGTGCATCGAAAAATTCATGAGTGACTATAAAGCAGATGTTTCCTTATGCTATTTCCCTGTGGACATCTTTAAGTTCACTTGATTTTTAACAGACTGAAGCTTGTTACAAATTTATACTGAACTTTTTTGGAACATATTTCAAATTTAATCAAGAGAAAAAAATATTTTCATCGACTCGACATTGGAGAAAACACCTGCACGTTACATTGACGGGCACAATAAAAGGTAATATTTTATATGGCAAGCAAGAGAATATTAATCAGTTGATATTCTCTTGTATGCCAATTTATTTTTCGCCTTTTGTGCAAAGGGTCAATGAATGTTTAAGCACACAGATTTCAATGGGAAAATTAGGAAAATTAAGACAGAAGTTTTCAAGATGTTTGAACGATAACAAAGCTTCTTAAAGAACAAAAGCGATGAAAATCAATGGTTAATAATCAGGGAGAGCCGGAATAAGAATAAGACCTTCTGTGGGGGCCGTTTTGGGGAATATTGGCCCGAGGTCGTGACAGTAGGAACCAAGCGCAGCGAGGTCTGTGCAAAAGCGATCGAGGGCCAATATTCCCCAGTAAGGCTCGAGCAAGCAAAGATAGTAATTAGTTTATTTAATGGCAGTTGGAGCAACTTGTTTATTTGGAATTTGCCAGCTTTTGCGAACAAATATATACGGCCTATGACCGTTTCCGTGGAAACGATCCGTATAGAAAATACGGAGGAAGCAAGAACCAATCAGAACGGTCGGTTTTACTTTAGGACAACCTTGCCACATAATAATTCAAGTTATTAGCACAGCTGATTATCACGGTTTATCGCACGTACTGTTATTTTATTCGATAAATGTTTTTTGATGGATAAAACGATAAGCTGAATAACATAAAGCTTTCAGTTCTCATTGGACTTGTATCTCTTGGCGAGCATTGATCTAATTGATAACAAATTACGAAACTTCCAGGGAGAAGGCAATTTAAACAGATGCCAAAGAAGAGGCTTCTTTCTAATCAGCCAAGAGTTGCTTCAGTACAACGACAACGTCAATTTCATAGTGTAGCAAAATATTGATATGAAAAACCACAAGGTGAAACTATTGGATGAAAGAGGCGATAACGAACTGACAGCAAATCACCAGCCTGAACGCGCGGGACTAGGCAAAGTGGCAGCGTTTTTCGGACTGGGAAGTTTAATCAACACTACGTTCTCCTTGGTTACAGCTGCTACTCAAGATATTTTGGCGGAAACGTACTTTCCAACTTCTACGGTTCTTATTGCAGACACTCTACCGGCCTTCCTTGTCTCTCTGATTGTGCCATACTTTATGCAGCGCATCCCATATGTTGGCCGCATTGCTCTTGTCTATCTGCTAAATGTCAGCGCACTCATCATGCTTGCACTCGTAAAACAACTTTATTGGAAACTCATTGGAGTAGTGATGATTTCATTTGCAGCTAGCGCTTGCGAAGTGACGGTACTGTCTTTGACTTCGTTTCATGGCGAGTTAACACTGACCGCGTTTTCAGCAGGAACAGGAGTAGGATTTGCAGTAGGACCCCTATATTATACAGGTGTGTCTTGGCATGTTAAGTTAGGCTGAACTGCTTAAGGTTCAACTTTAAATTTTTTCTCAACTTTGATTATTGATTTTCAAAACCATATTTTGCGAAGGAAGAAAAATACTACTTAACGATTACGACTTTTAGTTTGATTGGTTATCAAAACAATGAGTCTAAAATGCAAATGTGTTGTTTTTTCGAAAATAATTATATCTTCATCTGCAATCGAGTTTAAGTTTTGTTTCAATTTAGCCTCGGAAAGTGCGAAGGTACAGTGTAAATCATATAAAAAAATTCCCTTAACCTTTCAACTCCCAAAAAATAATTGTCACTCATGGGAATCAAAGCGTTAACACTCGAATATTTTTTTCTTTAGCGATGACTACGTGGGCCTGCATTTCACCAAAAGCCACCCATTGTATTATGGCAGCCATGATGGTTCTGATCTTCGTTTGTTATTACGCCACTGGAAATTCAGTGTCAAAGCCACCCACTTATTTAACTGCTGAGCATGTTGGAGTGCGCTTATTAGCTTTAAATACTGATGGTAAGTTCAGCATTTACGTTCAGTTAAGTGTGCAGATTTTACAACCACCATCATCCCCTGAAAAGTGCGATGAGTTTTACCAGGTATAACTAATCCATACCATCGATGACATTAGTGAATTCGCCATGTCATATTAAAATTTACCTGATCCCCTCCCCCCCCAAGGTTCTGTAGTATTCCTATGACACCCCTCACTGGCAGTCAGTTTTGTATAGTCCCCTTGTAAAATTTGTTAGCGACTGCTGATTCCCTCCCAGTTCCCCCTGATTAAATTGTGATTCCCCTCATAATCTTTCGATCCCCTGCCGGCGATAAGTTACTACCGGTCCCATTGTTAACTGGATGAACCTCCTTTGTTCATACCTTACAGCACACAATGTATACGACACTTCAAACGAAGATTATGACGAAATAGGCGAAGATACCTCTCTTTCTAGGCGCCAAAAGTTCACGGTCATTCGTCAGATGCTACCTCAAATGATACCAATTTTTTTTACATTTTTCGCACAATATTTCATCATTCAAGCCGTCGTCACAACCCTGGCATTTCCCAGCTGCTCTTTCAGCCCAAGTGACCATTATGAGTATTACATCCTTGTATTCATGGTAGGGGAGGTAGTGGGGAGGTCGTATCTTGGAGTGCTGTCCTGCATAAAAGAAGACTGGGGCGACAAGGCTAAATTTCCTTACCCTTGGATTATGTGTCTGGTTCAAATCATGGATCTTCTGTTTTTGGTGCTAGCAGCCTGGTACCGTTTTCTATCGAGTGTCTGGATTGTTTTGCTCCTTGTGTTTATCTCAGGAGTGGTTGTTGGTGCCTTTTATGTCAACACCGTAATATTTTTCAGAAATTGTTTCCAGGAAAGGTACAGAGAGTTTGCCATGGGATATATCATTGTAGGCTTGCATGCAGGGGTACTGACAGCCGCCATGTTGGGCCTGTACATCGAGCCCTTGTTACGTGAACACTGCATGACCCTCGTGGATAACACAGACTTTTGTTTTACGAGATCGCAGTCTTCAAATGGTTTTACTTCATCTTGTTTAGTAAAATGAAACTGACATCTCCGTTCGTTTCTGTACCTGTGCGCTTGTGCTTACTGACTTTTTAAACATTAAATAAACTTCCCTTGGATTGATATAATTTTACTAGTAGCTACCAGTGGTAGCTTAGTCTCTGTTCGCTACTAGGATTTCGTTCAATTGAGCCTCTCTAACACCCTCATAG